AATCTCGAAAACTTTTACAGGGGGTATTCCGAATGATAGTTACGGGTTTAACAACTGAATCCTTACAATCTAGACCATCTATTAGCCATTCCAGAATGTTTTTTTGTTCAGGTTTCAAATGTGTAATCGAGAATTTGTCAAAATATGTTTCGAAGTGTAGTCGCCAATTTGAAATTAGTGCCGTAAAGCACGAGAAAGCTGCCTTCTGATTGGTCATTCCATTGGTCGGTCAAAGTTCGCGCAAGGTCGGTCTGACGTGAGCCATAATTGGATGTCCTCAGATCTTTGTTTAGCGGTAGCGAGAACTAAGATCTGATTTTAATGAGATTGGCCTTCGACATGACAAGTGAACACTTTAACCACTGGCCTACCCGACAGTCCCCCTAAGACTGACGTGTTTATGATAATGAGTACAACAACATTTAATTTTCCGTCTTCACTTTCAGCTGTATTCACAAAGTTTGATATTTCCAACAACATTCTGACTTTGGTTGTGACAGAAAATAGACTTGAGTGAGTGAGTGAGTATGATCATACGTCGCTTTTAGCAACATTCCAGCAATATCACACCGAAAAATGGGCTTCGTACCCATGTGGGGAATCGAACCCGGGTCTTCGGCGTGACGAGCCAAAGCTTTAACCACTAGGCTACCCCACCGCCCCGAAAATAGAAATGACATCATTTGCTTTCACTATCTGTGCCCCAAACATCCGAGTCTACTCGCCCGATGTAGTCTCTTGACAACATTTTCATGGATTTTAGTACAATGTAGACTTGCTTCGCTGAGGGTACTAGACACAATAATATGTTACTAGACTCGGGCTTCGGACTAGTGGCTAACATACAATCTGCTTTCACGATTATTTGCAACACATTTTAAAAAAGACGAGAAGTTCATTTATGTTCCATCAGAAACGACAATATTTTCAGAACTGATTAACAGAATCAGTTGAATTCAATAACACAATCTAGTTGATGGAGAGACTAGCTTGAGATATGAGACCGAACAGAATCACTAAAAAACAACAAAACAACAAAACAACAAACTGAAGTAAACACACAACCATAGACAGGGAGTCGGAGATATGTTGGAAAGGTTGCGCTAACAAAAGGGATCATGGCTACCAAATAAGGCAGTAGGGATTTCAGATGGGATTAACCAAGTTAATTGTGAAACACACCTAAACAACATTGTTCAAAACCCGTCAGAAAATGCTGCCAGTCTTAAAAGTTCACACACTACCATGACCATTTAAAAAAATATGCAAAACTTATGAAATAAAAGATCCTCTTCATCCTCGGTGATGCAGGGTATTATATCTCCACTCTTTGGGGATAAACACCCTGGACTCCTTCGCCACCATAGCTTCGTTAAGCAAGTAATGTCACTGTCTCCATGTTTATCACTAACAGAATTTCTCTCCCTCAAGAGTGAGTGAGTGAGTATTGTTTTACGCCGCCTTAAGGATTATTCCAGCAACATCACAGCAGGGGTCACGATAAAATGGGCTTCACACATTGTTCCCATGTGGGGAATCGAACCCGGGTCTTCGGCATAACAAGCGAATGCTTTAACCACTAGGCTACCTCAGCGCCCGCCCCTCTCGGTCATGAGAAAACTTTTACTAGATGGATGGTTTTAGCATCATAGCATTTGTATGGCGCTTAATAAGGAAGCTATCATAGTGAAGGTTCCTGGGTCTTATCAGAAACATGAAGACAAAAACTACCCTTGATAAGTGAGGATGATTCAAAGACAAACTTTCAACGAATCTTTAAACAATATACCAATCTATAAAACAGTCTCTTAGTTTAATTGAGAAACTGTATAGTGCTGGTATTTATCTAAAATCAGTTGTACATACAAGGTAATTGATTTGTAAATTTGGAAGTTTTTACGTCCTTATTTTTTAAATGAAACAAATTAAATCAATATTGATTAAACTATCATGGCAATAAATTATTCAGTGAAGAAACAGATATCAACATCTATGACATAGATACGAAATAGTTATAACATTTCTCATGCACGTTATTCTTCTATCAGGCCAAACCAATTTATCTATTTGTTTTACAGGAGCAACATGGCCGACAAATGTGACACAGAGTAAAATTTAACTAATTCTCTCCTTGTTTTATGCATACGTCTAAGAATCTCATCATAATGTCTTTTTATATCAAATATACAAACACAAGTTTGTAAAAGTTTCAAACCTTGAGGTTTGTCAAGGATAAGATTTTATTTATCATCCAAATCATACTTCCAACAGTAAACAGTAACAACCAGTGTCTTGAGTGTAAATGGTACTACCCGTGAAGATCCAGGGTAGAATAGGTCTTCAGCAACCCATGCTTGCCGTAAAAGGCGTCTATTCTTGTCGTAAAAGGCGACTAATGGGATCGGGTGGTCAGACTCGCTGACTTGGTTTATGCATGTCAATGCATCCCAATTGTGTGGATCGATGCTCATGATATCAATCACTGGATTGTCTGGTTCCAACTCGATTATTTACTGACCACCTTCATATAGCTGGAATATTGCTGAGTGTGGCGTTAAACAACAAAAAAAGAAGAAGAAAAAAAGTAAATGGTACAGGTAACCAGCTTCAGAGGCAGAAAGCTTAGTGATGTCATTTTGATTGTGATGTCATGGTAACCATGGTAACTGATGATTGCGATGTCAAGGTAACCCAAGTGATATTTCCGGTGGAAGTCAGTTTTGGATGATAAATGCATAATTCTTGTTTGAACTTTTTTTTCGAGGGTTTTTTAAAGAAATGACCATAAAACAACCATGACTTGTGTTTTGTTATTCTGTCTCCTGCATCTTGCCTCTTGACAAAAAATGGGTAAAACAAGGAAACAAACAGGTCTGGCCTTATTACAAAACATATTTCACCATTCACCAAAACCAAGGCCACTTCAGTTTTGACACGTCTATTAAACCGCTCCCTCAGCTGTTAACACACAACACATCTAAATGACCTGTACATCTTCGTAATGTTACCTCACTGTATTAGTAAAGTGCATCTTAGGCTAAAACATATGCATAAATGTCTCTCAGGCAATTCAAAACTATGTCAGAATTCACCCAAGAAAGTGCAATGTTTTAATAAAGATGAATATTGTGCCTGTGAAAAAAAAAGATTTTCAGCCTTTTGTTTTCTGTAAAGCTGACATGTTTGACATGTGTCAAATTTACACAGTTACAAAATGTAGGCATAAAAATTAGCATGTGCTAAGGCTACAAAAAAAAATAGTCTTGATTCTCAGGCAATGTCCACATCATGAAGTATGCCGCACGTTTCGTTTTTATTTCCATTTTTTTAAATCCTCATACAATGCACTGCTTCACTGTGCATCTTGTGTTATGGTTATGGCTGCTATTGGAGTTTGTATTCTTGTTTGTATAGGGAGGCCCTCTCCCAGATTGAGGAAAAACAACTGTTTTTTGGGTACATCCTTGTCTGAACAAGCAAAAAAAACCACCGACCACCGCCCGCCCTATATTTTCAAAAGTCATGAGAACCAATTTTTTCATTTTTTAAAGCCTAATATATCCTTGCATACTCTATTTTTTAAATATTTAGGACGATATTTCTGATATTTCGAGGGAGTGTATCCAAACACAAATTCGGGGTCATCCAAGTAGGTGATGTCTTCAACAATAGAATTCCACTTTATTCCAATAGAAAACAGAAGTCCTCACCAAAAGGCGTGATCTCCATTGCCTCATGTGAAACTTCCACTGCATGACAGTGCCTTCACCTGTTTTCGAATACCTGACTGGTTCCTTTTGTTTTGTTTGTTTGTTGTTTAACGTTACACTCAGCAATATTCCAGCTATATGACCGTGGTCTGTTAATAATCCAGTCTGGACCAGAAAATCCAGTGATTGACATCATGAGCATTGATCTACCCAATTGGGATATGATGACATCCAAGACAGACTGTTTTGACAGGTGTACTGTAATTTACATGAGCTAAAAGCTGACATGTTTGACATGTACACGGACATGCGGGCAGTTTTCATGACGTCACACCCCTCATTATAATACAAGACCTGTGAAGATCCGGGGTAGAATAGGCCTTCAGCAAACCATGCTTGCCGTATTAAGGCGACTATACTTGTCGTAAGAGGAGACTAACGGGATCCGGTGGTCAGGCTCACTGACTTGGTTGATGCATGTCATCGTGTCCCAATTGCGTAGATCATCCTCATGATCTCATTTACTCATGATGTCAATCACTGGATGGTCTGGTCCAGACTTATTTATTTACAGACGGACGTCGTATAGCTGGAATATTGCTGAGTGTGGTGTTAATCAACAAACAAATGTCATAAATCACTATCAACATAACTGTTCGAAAACAGGCGTCGTTTGAAAACAGGGTACTTGATATTTCATAAAACAATAGTATCAACGATGCAAGTTCTATCTCACAGCGGCAGGAGTCAGTGCCAGGCATATCCAGGAATAACATAAGGAAGAGAATGGAACCTTGTGCCACACCCACACAGTATCATGGTACAACATGACCTCCAGTAATGCTGTCAAGCATGGACCAGATGGCGTGGACATTGATCCAAACTTTAGAGATCAAACATGTCAGGCAAGAGATAGTGCTTCATAATGAAGCGTAACCCCACTTCCTTTTTTTAGTAAGATCCCACTCACCATTTCTAGGTCAATTTGAATAGATCACTGATTAATTTCACAATAGATCACTGATTAATTTCACAATCTGATTACGGGGTACCATCGACTATTGGATCTACCTTGAAACAAAACAGTAATGCTGAACATACCTCTCAAATGACTATGGTAATATGAAAGAATCGAGTGGTCCTTAACTTCTTTAGAGTAGTATAATAACACTCAAGAAAACACTACAAATGACCATCCTGTGTCCGAAATAACTGCCTGCCCGTGGCTAGTAACTTTTCTGTTGGGCTGCATGAAATTTTCTGACTGTCTGGCAGATAATTTTAAGACTATTTATGTTTTCAGTTTTATTATAACTTCGTGTAGATTCTCAAGTAATTGTTTATTATTTCAACTGAATCAAGACGTGATTTGTCTCTTATTTTTCCCCGATTTTTCCATTCTTAAGCTGTCTGAATCCGGGTAGGTAACTTTGAAGATGGGCTGGCAACACTTATGGGTCACCTGTCCGACTGTCTTTGGTTTTAAGATTATTTCAAACACTGTGACCATCCGCTATGAGATAGAACCTGGGAACTAAAGTATTATCCTACACAGTATCTGATGTTAGAGGTTGATGTTGGAGCTTATGAAGTCTTGAATCTTGAATGAGGACTGCACTATCAGAGGCTGGTTAGCCAAACACCAGGCTGCCTTACATCGGTATTCACCACGAACACCAGAATCTCTACTTCGGGTCATACTGGCTCCGTACTAGAGCTGGGACGATACACCATCTGTGCGATCCAAAATGTATCACGATACCTTATTCACGATCCAATATGTATCATGATACTTGCATGTGCTCTTTCTGTGGTGCGTAAACCATCTTTTTCATAGACAAGATATTCAAATACCTAGCACACTGATGATTTACAGTTGACAAAGTCAAGTATGGCGCAATGGATGAAAATATTTGTTTTCACTATTAACTTGCACTACTGATTAGTGTTTAGTGGAACAGTTATTAAATCAAACATTTAAGGTCATAATCTATATTTTTTTACTTAGTGTGTGACTGTGATCGATACTTGTATCGAGAAGTAAATAATCACGATCCACCGATGTATCGGTGCATCGTCCCACCACTACTCAGTAACAGGCACTGACACAATGAATCCAACTCCGAGTGACAGTGACGTGAGAAATACACTGTATCCTTTGTCAGGGCTGTGATAACTTGGTTATCAGCCCTAACTGAGTATCATGTATCATTAGAACAGGTAGCAGTTGAGCATGTTTACAACAAGACCCGATCCAAACACAGACACGACAAATGTAAACCCCTCCGGCTGGCCGATCATATTCCGTATCCACGTGATTGCCTCCCTCACATAGCCCTTCTTCATCACCTTGGGTACTGGCTGCAAAAGAAATAAATGCTTGTTTATGTGAAAGTATTGATAAGGAATTTGATTTTGAATTTCACCTAACCCCTCACCCTCCATCGATCCATCCATCCACAACCCTTCACCCTCCATCGATCCTTCCATCCTTCACCCTCCATCGATCCATCCATCCACAACCCTTCACCCTCCATCGATCCTTCCATCCTTCACCCTCCATCGATCCATCCATCCACAACCCTTCACCCTCCATCCATCCATCCACAACCCTTCACCCTCCATCGATCCTTCCATCCACAACCCTTCACCCTCCATCCATCCATCAATCCACAACCCTTCTACCTCCATCGATCCATCCATCCACAACCCTTCACCCTCCATCGATCCATCCATCCACAACCCTTCACCCTCCATCCATCCATCCACAACCCTTCACCCTCCATCGATCCTTCCATCCACAACCCTTCACCCTCCATCCATCCATCAATCCACAACCCTTCACCCTCCATCGATCCATCCCCAACCCTTCACCGATCCATCCATCCACAACCCTTCACCCTCCATCCATCCATCCACAACCCTTCACCCTCCATAGATCCATCCATCCACAACCCTTCACCCTCCATCAATCCATCCATCCACAACCCTTCACCCTCCATCCATCCACAACCCTTCACCCTCCATCGATCCATTCATCCATCCATCCACAACCCTTCACCCTCCATCGATCCATCCATCCACAACCCTTCACCCTCCATCAATCCACAACCCTTCACCCTCCATCGATCCATTCATCCATCCATCCACAACCCTTCACCCTCCATCGATCCATCCATCCACAACCCTTCACCCTCCATCAATCCACAACCCTTCACCCTCCATCGATCCATTCATCCATCCATCCACAACCCTTCACCCTCCATCGATCCATCCATCCACAACCCTTCACCCTCCATCAATCCATCCATCCACAACCCTTCACCCTCCATCCATCCACAACCCTTCACCCTCCATCCATCCATCCACAACCCTTCACCCTCCATAGATCCATCCATCCACAACCCTTCACCCTCCATCCATCCACAACCCTTCACCCTCCATCGATCCATTCATCCATCCATCCACAACCCTTCACCCTCCATCGATCCATCCATCCACAACCCTTCACCCTCCATCAATCCACAACCCTTCACCCTCCATCGATCCATTCATCCATCCATCCACAACCCTTCACCCTCCATCGATCCATCCATCCACAACCCTTCACCCTCCATCGATCCATCCATCCACAACCCTTCTACCTCCATCAATCCATCCATCCACAACCCTTCACCCTCCATCAATCCATCCATCCACAACCCTTCACCCTCCATCGATCCATCCATCCATCCACAACCCTTCACCCTCCATCAATCCATCCATCCACAACCCTTCTACCTCCATCAATCCATCCATCCACAACCCTTCACCCTCCATCGATCCACAACCCTTCTACCTCCATCAATCCATCCATCCACAACCCTTCACCCTCCATCGATCCATCCATCCACAACCCTTCACCCTCCATCGATCCATCCATCCACAACCCTTCACCCTCCATCAATCCATCCATCCACAACCCTTCTACCTCCATCAATCCATCCATCCACAACCCTTCACCCTCCATCGATCCATCCATCCACAACCCTTCTACCTCCATCAATCCATCCATCCACAACCCTTCTACCTCCATCAATCCATCCATCCACAACCCTTCACCCTCCATCTATCCATCCATCCACAACCCTTCTACCTCCATCAATCCATCCATCCACAACCCTTCTACCTCCATCAATCCATCCATCCACAACCCTTCACCCTCCATCGATCCATCCATCCACAACCCTTCTACCTCCATCAATCCATCCATCCACAACCCTTCTACCTCCATCAATCCATCCATCCACAACCCTTCTACCTCCATCAATCCATCCATCCACAACCCTTCACCCTCCATCGATCCATCCATCCACAACCCTTCTCCCTCCATCAATCCATCCATCCACAACCCTTCTACCTCCATCAATCCATCCATCCACAACAGTTCACCCTCCATCAATCCATCCATCCACAACCCTTCACCCTCCAGAGATCCATCCATCCACAACCCTTCACCCTCATCCTACCACCCACCCCACCCCTCCCTCCATCTCACCTCGGAGAGTCCTCTCTGTTTGATGTATTTCATCAGCTGTTGGTCCTCTACATGCATCACTGGGAGGTATTCAGCCTTCTTTTTCCTCAGCCACCAGTTCTTGGTGGAAAATCTGTACAAAAGTTTAATGGAATCAATAGTTGGTTAGAACATACAGAACAGAACTGTCTACAACAGCTGAAGTTATTAAAATGTGTGTAGTCTTATGATAGGGTTTTCCTATCAACTACCAATTAATAATAGTTTCCTATCATCTTCCTGGGATGTATAGTATAAATAATAGAGTTTTCCTGTCAACTACCTGCCAAGTGTGGTATTAATGATACAGTTTTCCCATCAACTACCTGGGATGTGTATTGTAAATAATACAGTTTTCCTATCAACTATCTGGGATGTGTTGTATTAATAACACAGTTTCCCTGTCAAACTACGTGCCATGTGTTATATTAATAATACTGTTTTCCTATCAACGACCTGGGATTTGTAGTATTAATAATATAGTTTCCCTGTCAACTACTAGTTATGTGTAGAATTGATAATACTGTTTTCCTATCAACTACCTGGGATGTGTATTATTGATAATACAGTTTTCCTATCAACTAACTGCCATGTGTAGTATAAATAGTACTGTTTTCCTATCAACTATCTGGGATGTGTAGTATTAATAATACAGTTTTCCTGTCAACTACCTGTCATGTGCGGTATTAATAATACTGTTTCCCTATCAACTACCTGTCATGTTCGGTATTAATAATACTGTTTCCCTATCAACTACCGGGGATGTGCGGTATTAATAATACTGTTTTCCTATCAACTACCTGCCATGTGTAGTATTAGTAGAAGTACCTGTCATGTGTGGTATTAATAATACTGTGTTTTTCTATCAACTACCTGGGATGTGTGGTATTAATAATACTGTTTTCCTATCAACTACCTGGGATGTGCGGTATTAATAATACTGTTTTCCTATCAACTACCTGCCATGTGTATTATTAGTAGAAGTACCTGTCATTTTTCTTGCTGCTGGAGGTGTAGTAGTAGTGATACAGTGTTGCACGGATGTACTTTGGAGGTTTGCCAGGGAAGGGGTTCCTTTTCAACAGCTGAAGGACTTCTTTCTGGTTGTTAAGCAGGCGGTAGACGAGGTTGACGAACCACGGGTTGTGTTGGTAGTTGCCGAGGGCGGCGAACCACATCTGCCAGTCAAGTCGGGGCTGATGGGGTGCTGGAGATACATCATTCACTCAGTTAGGAATATCCATAAAAGATGGGTGGGATTTCTTTCCAATAATATCATAAAAATGTTTCAGATAACTTGTGCCCCGTGGCAGTAGTGTGAATATGTTTAGTAAGAGTTCAAAGTAGCAAATACTCCAGGAATACCACGATTTTGTATATCTGTTAGACCCTTGAAAACCCGTGAAGACCTGGCCTACAGCAACCCATGCTTTTCGTAAGAGCTAGTGACTAATGGGATCGGCTGGTCAGACTTGGTGACTTGGTTGATGCATGTCATCGCATCCCGATCGCGTGGATCGATGCTTATGGATCGAGTCTGGTCCAGACTCGATTATTTACATTCTGCCATCATAAAGCTGGAATACTGAGTGTAGAGTAACAGACCAAACATTTATATATATCTAGGATATGTATACATACACCATTCATGTTTATTTCAAAATGATGATGTTGTTGGTTTGTTGTTTTATGCCAACTCAGCAATATTCCAGTTATATGACTGCAGTCTGTAAATAAATGAGTCTGGACCAGACAATCCAGTCATTGATATCATGAGCATCAATCCATGCAATTGGGATATGATGACATGCTTCAACCAAGACAGCTAGCCTGACCACCCGATCCCGTTAGTCGCCTCATACGACAAGCATGGGTTGCGGAAGAGTTTTTCTACCCCGAATCTCCACGGGTCTTCAAAATGTTGAATATGCATACCAAATATTTGCATCCCTCTTACCGACTCCCGAACATCCCCTGAAAAGACCCCCACGTATGAGAAGGGGCTGGCAGCCCCACTGGCCTGACTACACAAATGGAAGTGGGGACCCCTCGTCACATCAGTCACTACTTACCTACAATCGGGGGTCGGAGAGAGATATCGCCTGGTTTATAGAGGAACTCGTACTCTTTCCAAACACCGTCTTTCTTGTTACTTCCTTCAATGATCACCTCGGGGCGACCTTCCACTCCCGTCATCCTGCAGAACATTCACATTATACAAACATGGAACATAACTGATTACTTCATGAATTATTCCATCACTATGAGACGATGTGCATGTGTGTGGCTGCTTTTACTAGTCTGGACTGATACATGATGTAGTTCAACATGTATAACCTCTCAGACAGAGTATACCAACTCCGAGCCGACCAGTCCTTGTTTTAGCCCCATAATGCTGAGCACCAGGCAGGTAACAACAAGTACCATCTTTTCACGTTTTTTGGTATGACGCTGGGGATCAAACCACCAACTGTCCACACTATGGGCAGACGCTCTATCTACTAGATCACGGAGGTTGTAAAAATGTGACGTATATGAATCCAACAGTAAATGACAACTCTAATTTCACTGAAACAATGCCTTTGTTGAACATGTTACTGGTCATAATGTCAAGGCCTAGAGTGAGTGAGTGAGTTGGGTTTAACGCCGCTTTTAACAGTATTCCAGTTATATCACGGCATGTCAGCTTAATGTGGGAGGAAAACCTGAAGTGATGCAGGTCTCAGACGTTTACCACTTTGGTAAAACCCACGAGCACTGATATGGTAATGACAAACCTAGAAACATAATCGAGGCGAACAGGGATTCGAACCCACAATCATAGTTTTCTGGCGTGCCCAAGGATAGTTTAGGAAATCGCGGCTCCTTTGCCAACTGGGCCACCCCTGCCCCCATCAAGGCCTAGAAGAAAAATGGGCAACATATGGGATCATAGTCGCTCATTAACACTGCTTAGTGTTTCCGTCGTACTGATTGTTGTATTCAGATGAAATCATGGATGCAAACCATGGCTGTAGGATCCTGTAAGAAGGTAAGGGAGACAACTCTGCATGTGAGTTATTGCACCCTTAACCACCAGGTCCCACTACAGAGACGCCCAAAGTGACCCAGTAAACACAAGAACTGTATCACTGACAGACCAAGGAATGAATTGAAGCAATCTGGGCCTTAAACCTAACAATAACAGTCCCTGGCAAAGGCTACAGGATGAAGCCCTGCACACTCTTCAGACCATGTCCCAAAATATAGGACCCGTGAAGATTCCTGGGTAGAATAGGTCTTCAGCAACCCATGCTTGCCGTAAAAGGCGACTATGCTTGTCGTAAAAGGCGACTAACGGGATCGGGTGGTCAGGCTTGCTGACTTGGTTGATGCATGTCATCGATCCCAATTGCGTGGATCAATGCTCATGATATTAATCACTGGATTGTCTGGACCAGACTCGATTATTTACAGACTGCCGTCATATAGCTGGATTATTGCTGAGTGCGGCGTAAAACAACAAACCAACCAACCAAAATATAGCAGGGATTTACCAAGACCTGCTGAGAGCCTGATATTATGCCTGCAGCAAATGACATAAAAACTTCCCAAATTATATAAAAAAAATCCCAGTTCATGTTAATTAGAAGATAAACCTACTGTTTTTTAAATTTGATGCAGTCCCACTGTAGAATAGATACCTCTTATTTTAATTTGGATCTGTGCGCTTTCGTTTCAAATGTATAAATAAAAGGTATGTACTCTACAGTGGGACTACATCAAATTTCAAAACACTGAAGGTTCATCTCCATTCTACTATGACAGCAAGCGCGCTTGGAAAGCATCGCTCTCTTGCAATGTGTAACGACAATTCCAGGTTTGTCAGCACTATACCGGTGCTCGTTGGTTTCACCAAAGTGGTACACATCTGAGACCTGATTCACTTCGTGCTTTCCTCCCACATTAAACTGAGACGCCGTGATATAGCTGGAATTCTTTCGAAGTGGCATTACACCCAACTCACTCACTCTCACAAACTCACTCCTACCTTCTAAAGAGTCCATAGGAGCTGGTGATCTGGAAGGACTCCAGTCTGTTGTGCCACTGTCTGACGGCCGGCCACAGGGACCTGTGAGACTTGCCTTCAATAACTGTGTGGGGCACCTGCAAACAAACACGGAGACTGTGGGTATTTTCTACAAGCTTGATTCACTCCTTCACCTTCACCTCTGGACTATTGCTGATTTTATAGTGCTAGCCCACTGAGATACCATGCCACAGTTTAACACAGATAATCCACTCAGACACAATACACTGACTCCAAGCGAACCAGCCCTTGTTTTAGCCCCTTAATGCCGAGCGCCAGGCAGGGTAACAACAAGTACCATCTTTTAACGTCTGTTGGTATGATGCAGCCGGGGACCGAGCCCACGACCTTCCGGACTCCGCTCTCCAGACTCTCTACTGCTATACCATGGAGGAGGTCCATGTACTATTTTCAAAAACTCATTAATATTATAGTAAAATAATTTTGGCAGAATAACTAATATTGTTGACAAAGTCATAATGTCTTCATCTTGCCGAGGCAAGGGAGTTCACTGACTAAAGATCCAGTTTCTACCCTTGCTGAACTAGGCTGTATTTTCTGTGTTCGATCGTAGCACCACCAGTGGCTATTACGAGTTATGTCCCTTCTATGTCCCTTCTATTGACCAATCAGATTCCACCTCTCATATCACTTGCATTTACTTCAAACAAAATGGCGGCACCAGTCAAGACGATCTGATCGATATTCAAGATCTATATTGTAATAAAACGTGTCTTACTGCACGAATTGCATCAAATCATGTCAGCACCATTTAAAAAAAGATTTGGCAAATATCTGTTGACGCTAATTTGATACACGATTTGAAAATCCTGCAGTCGACCTAAAAATGAATGCACTGGACTTTTATCGTCAGTTAACTCCCTTGCCTCGGCAAGATGCAAGCTCCTTCCCAGCGCGTGACATCTTCGTTACACTCTCGGTAATATCGCTGCCACCAGTGTGGGTGCGGCCATTACAAGAGTCTTGAAATTTGCCCTCTAACCCCAAATGTAGTGTCATATATACTTTTGTTTATGTCTTTGGGAATGCCATCATAGTTTAATTTTGAAAAGGTTTACGACTGACCATGTTTTCCAGATGAATTTACTTTGTTGTTTGTATAATCAGATTGGTTCGAGATTGCAGACTAACAGAAAATCAACCAACTTCTCCCTTACATTCTTACTATATCAATTACATGATAGTTTTAATGAAATAGAAATTCAAATTGACAAACAAAGAGAGTAATTTAGCAGGGGTAAGTGTATTCGGCGTCACGACAGTCGTCACTTGTTTGTAAACACAATAGTCATTTGGTTGCGAGTTCAACTCCAAGCATGGCTGTGGCCACCTATCACAGTGGGGAGTTTTGACTGGTGGCAGCGATAGAATAGAGAGCTCCGCGACGGGTTATTGCTGTGAGGAGCTTGGGCAAGATGTTACGTTGTTGTAACAAGAGTTATCTCCCCTTACCAGACTGATGGCAAACATTCCCGCTGCTACAGCGCCAAACAGGACACACTGAATAGTAGCAAGGTTTTTCCTGAAGAATCCTTTCTCTTCTACGGAAGACCTGAAATATTGGCATCAACACATTCAAAAGGACATCTATCAAGTCTTAGATACCTGTTACAGGATACAATAATGTGTGGGCTGGTTTTCATTAGAGCTGGGACAAGAGGCGACTTGCTTGTCGTAAGAGGCGACTAACTGGCTCGGGTGGTCAGGCTTGCTGACTTGGTTGATCCATGTCATCGTATCCCAATTGCGTGGATCGATGCTCATAATATCAATCGCTAGATTGCCTGGTCCAGGCTCGATTATTTACAGACTGCCGTCATATAGCTGGAATATTGCTGAGTGTGGCTTTAAACAACAAACAAACAAACTATTGTCATTCTTGTAATATAACCCGGATCAATGTTCAAAATTAAGAAGGGTCCTGTATCTTTTATGTTTTTTTCTAGAGTGGGACGAAACACCAACTGTAAGATCTGATACTGATCACGATACCTTACTCACGATCCGATAAGTATCACGATACTTGCATGTGCTCTTATCTGTGGTGCGTAAGCCATGTTTTTCATAGAGAGGATGGCCAAATACCTGGCACACTAACGATTTACAGTTGGCAGTGAGAAGTATGGCACAACAAATAAAAATATTTATGTTTTCACTATTAACTTGCACTGATTAGTGTTTAGTGGAACAGTTATTAAAGCAAACGTTTAAGGTCAGAATCATTATTTCTTACTTAGTGTGTGACTGTGATGCTCTCACCTGAGTATTGACAGGAATATTTCAAAAGCTAAAGAAATAGCTCCAACGTATATAGTGTACGGCATCACCCACTCCAGCCAGCGGTTCAGGTCCGAGGACTTGAAAGCTGGAACAAGAACATCCTTACATTGTCTTCCTTGTTGATACACAGAGGATTAACATGGGCATTGAACCACTGACATGCCATTCCACAGCAGACTCAAAACACAGAGGAGTATATCTACATTTGATTTATGTCACATTACATATTAGGGCTGCAATGAATACACTATAAGGCGAAAGGGGTGGTTGGGTAGCCTAGTGGTTAAAGCGTTAGCTCGTCAAGCCGAAGACCCGGGTTCGATTCCCAACATGGGTACAATGTGTGAAGCCCATTTCTGGTGTCCCCCGCCGTGATATTGCTGGAATATTGCTAAAAGCGGTGTAAAACCTCACTCACTCACTATAAGGCGAATACGATTCGTATAATGACTATAGGGTAACGAATACGAATATTTATTCACGAATAGTAACAAGTCAGCAGTTGATGTATTATTTATGATATTCAGTGAAACAATAACAAAATACATTATTCGACATGGTTTGTTAATTATTAATTTATTATACATTAATATACTTCACTTATCCAGGTACTAGTGTCTGCTCAAATGCGACAATGACCAGTGACTAAAATACTGTCACTGAAGAAATCTATGCATATAATATGTTCTTATGGATATTTTAAGGGTCAGGGTATGTAAATGCAAATGACTGCATATTCATGAATATTCGATTCTAGTGACCACGAATAACGAATTCAATTCATGAATGGATACGGTTTGATTCACCGAATACGCGAGTGAATCGTAACAGCTCTATTACATATGCATTTGATTGATCAATGATCAAGGCAACTCATTCTAACTCATGGGCCCAGGGATTTGTAGGAGGACCCCCCCCCCTAATCTGGAAGACTGGATTTCAGTTAGTTTCAAACATAACCTACATGTCTTGGACTGTATGGTGTAGTCGGGCTGAACCTTGAGGTCGAAGAGGTTGTAGGTGTAGTAGCCGATGTAGCCGTACACCAGCACAGGCACAATGAAGTTGGACACAAAGCCCAGACCATTCCACAGGAAGGATCTACGTCGACGGGCAGCTGAAACAAGTCATCAGTCAATGAGGTTGTGCATTTCCTTGTGGCCCAGAAACTATCCTGCTCAACCTTTGATAGGGATATACACTCATGTATCAGGGAAAGATAAAGAATATCCCTATCAAGTGTGGAGTAGCATATCTGTCTAACGTAAATCATGAACATCAATCTTTATGTGATGGTAATTGATATCAATAAGTGTGTTTGTGTGTTTGTTTGTTTGTTTGTTTGTTTGTTTGTTTGTTGTTTAACGCCACACTCAGCAATATTCCAGCTTTATGACAGCGATCTGTAAATAATCAAGTCTGGACCAGACAATCCAGTGACTGACATGAGCATTGATCCACACAATTGGGATATGATGACATGCATCAACCAAGTAAGCGAGTCTGACAACCCGATCCCATAAGTCGCCTCTTACAACAAGCACAGTCGCCTTTTACGGCAAGCATGGGTTGCTGAAGAGCTCTTCTACCCCTGATCTTTGGTTTAACGTCGCTTTTGAACAGCGTCATGTCACAGTGTGTCAGCTTAAATGTGGGAGGAAAGCATGAAGTGATGCAGGTTTAGACGTTCATATAAAATAAAAGAATTGGTTCTCAGGCAATGTTTTTTTGAAAATATAGTGCAGGTGGGTGGTGTCTTTTTTTTGTTGTTGTTCAAACTAGTATTTAACCAATAAACAGTTGAGTAATTAATAAACAATTGTGTACAATCAACCTGGGAAAGGGCCTCCCTACATAAATGTATTCCTTGATGAGTAAAATACTGGAATACAGTATTTGACTCTTGTTGGACTTAAGTATTTAAGTATTTAAGTATTTTTCTTTTTATTTTTTTTAAATGGAAATAAAAACGAAACGTGCAGCAAACTTTATAATGATGCAGGGCCTGAGAACCAAGACTATTTTTTTTTTTAGCCTTAGGTGAAATTCCCACACCCAGGCCATTGGTAAACTCATTGACACTTGGTTAACGCATCAATCGCAGGTTACACTAGTTTACTGATGCAAGTGTAGACATAATGAGTATATATAGATATGACGTACATTTCCGTCTGCCAAGAACATGGTCATCGACGAGGGAGATGCACAAGACGATGGTGAGGAGGTTGAAGAAGTTGTAGTTGCCCGTGGCGATGATCAACACCTGCAGTAGCACCTGCAACAAGACGGAGTGAGTGAGGAATGAGTGAGAAATTATTAAGGAAAATAAAACTTCAAGAAACCCCAATTTGAAACAATAAAAAGATCTTTTCCCCAATTTGCCTGGCAGGGGCACTAAGTTTACAATCCAGGGCCCTGTTCCACAAAGCGATCGTAGTGCTATGACAGTCGTAAGTCTATGTTAAAGTATAGGAGTTACGACCGTCTTAGAGCGAAGTCATTTTTATCGAGACTGACCACCCGAACCCGCAAGCAGTCGCCTTTTATGGCAAGCATGGGTTGCTGAAGACCTATTCTACCCCGGAACTTCACGGGTTATACATTTATGGGCTAGTGATAGCAGGTTAGTTTCAATATCACATCAACAACTCTCTCCATTGAGACAGGTATTGTCATTCGTCCAACCTCACATTAATTAACAGACTGCATATTTTATCGTAACACCAAAAAACCCAGTGACTTTGTTCAACGCAATAATGCAACACAAAACCCACCTATTCTATTATCAGCCAATCAGGAAACAGTTGTCCGTTATTGGACATTACCATATTTGGCTATGGTTAATGAAAACCAAAATGCAATTAATTTATTTCAGATTTATTACATCCAGTAAATGGAAATGATGACCTGCAATAAATGAGGAATTCTCACGTAATAAATACCACGCACACTCCACTTTTCGAGGACATAGTGTCTTCAGTCAACAGTACCTAATTCTACCCCTGGTTATTCTAAGCAGGGTCAATCAGTAGTTAACTTAATGGCTATTATTGTTCAACACACTCCCAGATGTAACAGCTATTATTGTTCAACACACCCCAAGATGTAACGGCTATTTTTGCACAACACACCCCAAGATGTAACGGCTATTATTGTTCAACACACTCCCAGATGTAACAGCTATTATTGTTCAACACACTCCCAGATGTAACAGCTATTATTGTTCAACACACCCCAAGATGTAACGGCTATTATTGTTCAACCAGCCCAAGATGTAAGGGCTCATATTCAGAAGTATGGCTAAAATACTCATCTATCTGTCTGAAGTATTGATAAGATATTATCATATGTCTAAAGGTCAAAATAATTTAACAGCTTTGATTACACATCTCCTAGAGGTTGAGCAGCACAGGCAAAAAAAAAGAAAAATTGTTCTAAAATTCCATATCCTCAAATCTGATTTCCACATCACGTAGGTTCAGAGGGGAGATAAACAATTCTTAAACAACAGACATGCCAATAACTAAAAATTCATGTTTATAAACATCTGGTGTCCCTGCCGTGATAAAGCTTGATATTGTACAAAGCAGAACAAAACCCAACTCACTCACTCACTAAAACAATACCACAAAGGGAGGTAATCAGTGTTTATGTTCATGATTCATTTATTATTTGATTAACCCTAACTAAAAGACTTTTTTTTTTAAATTCAGAAAAACAGATGATATGGATTTACCATATTGATCAATCTGGATGGGAAAAACATACATGGTATTTTAATCATTGTTTTCTAATTTTCCCAAAATATGAAACTGTTCCCTAAATTAAAAATAATTATATTTACCGTATTTGATGTAAAAAGTGCCCAGGGAGCTCTCAAAATTAGAAATAGGGGGATCTTATTAGAATATTATTTTGGTGCAAAAAGCAGAGTTGAAAGATAAATATTGTGGTTTATGCTGACAGCCTGAAATTTTTATATACGACAGATATATTTTTCCAGAATTTAATTGCCCATAATTAAGGGTGCATATAACACACGAGTGTGTATTTTACACGAATATATAAGTCTTGTGTACATTGACCAAATTGGTGCAAATTGGGATTGTTCACTAGCCAATATATTAACAAATATCGCCGTGGGCGCTTATTAGAGCGGGGTGCTTATTACGTCGAATACGGTTAGTTTTATTTAATGAACTCTAGCTATAAGGCTTCTTTTTTAAATTCAGAAAAACAGATGACATTTTTTAACCAGAATGATCAATCTGCATGGGAAAAACACATGATATTTTTATAATTGTTTTCAAATTTCCAAAAGTATGGAACTTGTCTCTAAATAAAAATTATTCTAAATTCAAATTTATCTTTCAAAATGTTCATTTCTTCATGGAACACAAACAGCTGTAGTGGGTGATTGATTGATACGAGTTGAAGGCTACAGCTGTCAGTGTTACAACAATGTCACAGTGTCGAGTTGTACCACACAGAAGACAGGTAGTGTACCGCGCCTCCCTATTGTAACACAGCACAGACATTGATCATCTGTAAACAACACTTTGTATCCAAGTCTATCTTCCCATATCTCCGTCTGACAGTGACAAGTAAGCAAAGACCATGAAAGCTCTTTTACACCTCATTGTTTACCTTAGAAACGGGGGCATACTTGACTCTCTGATAAACCCTGGGGTACCTCCCTCGCTATAACGCTCATGTAGGGAACCATGGTGGCAAAGTTTATGTATTCACACTCACAAATTCTACAATAATTCTATTAAAACATAACATTAATTTGGCACAAGAAACATACTTTTATCAACAAAAATCTATCCGTGAATAAATCGCTGTATAGTGAATTGTCTCAACTTTAATGGGCTATACCAAGTGACTTCATTACAGATAAAATCAGTAGCTGTACTATTGCCAAGTCTTACACCGAATCTCCAAACAAGTTATATCTTGCGCACACATACAAAGGCTCTATTCAGCTACTTAGAATTACCAGCTTAAGCCATTGTAGTAAGGATTAAGCAATGAGAGGCACTGAATTGCCCATGCTAATGATCAGGGAGGTGGGTTTGGGTATTGAGATCACTTCACTGGCCTGTGCCCAAAGTTGAATGGTCCTGAATTGTGATTGTAGCAGGTCAGACGTAGCTTCCATGCCATTACAGATTCATGACTTGGAGCACAGTCTGACCTTGTCTTTTGGATATTTGAGGACCCTGTTGGACAAAGTTGCTATATTGTGGGCTGTGGTATAACTGTCAGTACTGGACAAGACGTGGGGTGTATGGAGGTTGAATGTTCTGGGACTGAGGCAGTGAGTTGGAGTCATGACTACCGACACAGGCATGCAGTATAAGTGACAATACAAGTACCAGTGACACAAGGTGAGTACAGTAATCCTTATTACAGTAACTCAACAGTATAGTAACTCTTCAATCTCATTAAAATCAGATCTGAGTTCTCGCTGTCTCTAAACAAAGATCTGAGGACATCCCATGACGGGTCACGTCAGAACTATATTTCGCAAACTTGGACCAACCACTGAAACGAATAACAAGAAATTGATATCAGCCAGTGAGAAAGCAGCTTTCTCGAGCTTTACGGCATTCGTTTCAACCTGGCGACTTCCATTTCAGACTACACTTGAGAAATATGTTGACACAGTTCTCGATTAAAAATTTGAAAACTGAACAAACGAACATTCCGGTATGTCTTATATGTGATTGAGATTGTATGGCAGTGCTTCCCACATACTGTGCAACCCTCCCACCGAAGCGACAGATACTTTGACGGAATCAGTCATAAGGGCCGTAACTGTAGTTTCGGAATACCCCATTTTAATATTTTCGAGGTTGCATGATCAGAAAACACATTCTGACTGTCACTTTCATGATCTTGGTCGGATGAAAGGTCGTTCTGACTTGACCCGTCATGGGATGTCCTCAGATCTTTGTTTAGCAATAGCGAGAACTCAGATCTGATTTTAATGAGATTAAGTAACTCTTCGGTGTAGTAACAGTATAGTAACATTCTGTCCAGTGTTTAACAATGACAAACAAAGAAAGTAATTTAGCAGCAGTAAGTGTATTCTGCGTCACGACAGTCGTCACATGTTTGTAAACATAACAGTCATTCGGTTGCGAGTTCAACTCCAAGCATGGTTTTGGCCACCTATCAAAGTGGGGAGTTTTGACTGGTGGCAGCGATAGTATAGAGAGCTCTACAAACAGACTATCGCTGTGAGGAGCTTGCTGAGCAGACCCTGTGGTGTGGAGTATTATGCTTTTTAATTGGCCTGTTATCATTAATATTAGTCTGGTTTTCTAAATATATATTTTTCTGGCATTTTTTAAAGGACATTGACATATATCTTAGCTGACATTCTTATACTTGAACAAAATAAAATGACATTTAACTTCACTGGAAAAAATGTGAACTAAATAAAAAATAAAAATGTATAGGGAAAGGGTTTTTTGTCAATGTAGCAGACAGTAGCCATACCTTCACAACAAATGTTCACTATAATGATAATACAAAAACCTAAGCGTGAGTGAGTGAGTGAGTGAGTGAGTGAGTGAGTGAGTTAGCGAGCGAGTTAATGAGTGAGTGGGGTTAAACAGTATTCCAGTTATATCACGGCGTGTCAGCTTAATGTGGGAGGAAAGCCCGAAGTGATGTAGGTCTCAGAAATTTACCACTTTGGGTTAAAGATTCATAGTACAGATATTGATTACAAAATATAAAACTCTTTCTGTACTAAAATATTTATCCATTCCATAACTACAGTTGGAATTAACTTTCCTGTAAAGTCTACAGGAGATCATAATGGATTGAGGTCTGTGGGCCATTAGGCCTGACGCTCACGCCATATTGGATCAAAACAGATTTTCCCTGTGTAGGATGAAACTCCATACAGCTCCTCTTAGTTCCTCTTTATTCCTCTTGTTCCAAGTCATGAATTTAAGTCTCAATTTCATTCTCCCCAAACACAGTCATACAGATGATATTAGGCAGGCATACATTTCCCTGTCACAGGGGGAACTGCCACACAGCTCCAGTAATGTAAAGTCAATACTAGTGAAAGAGCTGTGCCGATATAATCAGTTTGCAGGTGGGTCACATTTCTCTTAATAGATAAATCAATAATTGTCAATAAATAGTCAATATTGGTTTTTCTACTGAGGGCAGCTTTCTGTTCACTGTGCGAGTTGTTGGTATAGCTGTGTGAGCACAGGCCACAGGGGGTACAGATTACAAGGGACATGGTACGGGCCGGGGTATGGATTTTCACAGTGGAGCTTGGAACTCAACAGTAACGTGGGGTCTCCCAGACCAGATGGACTGACATTTCTCCCCAGAAATAAAGTTATCTCATATATAAAAATACATATCTACAAAAAAACCAAAAAAAAACAAATGGAGCCCAGAACAATCCTGAGAGCTGAGGCAATCTAGACTTGCCGTATCACTCCACACTTGAGTTGAGTTGGACTCCTCCTTTAATTTTCTTCTCTCGGGCCTAGATTAGTTTACAATATGGCAGTGAAGTCACCTGGACCGGTATACAATATGGTACTGGGGTCACCTGGACCAATATACAATATGGCAGTGAAGTCACCTGGACCAGTATACAATACCAAGACCGCCATCCCTTGAGACCAATGTCTGCTGACACAAACATCATGCTGGCTCAGATAGTGCTGCATCGTCTGGCAATAATCAAACAATAGACAAAGTCTCTACTCATTTCTATAGCACAATGAAGAAGGGAAAACTTGGCAAGATTTATGACATTGTTGTGTCTTCAATGTGTAAGTAATCAAGTGGGACAAATTGGATACACAGCAGGACATAGCAGAAGCTGGTTGGATTCTGGATGTTGATACGCTTCAATGAGAAGACCAATATTGTGTGACCACAGGGAGATCGTGAGGGAGGCCCAAGCAGAGCTACACATAAGCAGCATCTTTGCATGAAATACCCCCCCACAATAATATTCAAAACCCAATTACAATTAACATGCGTACAGAAACACATGCATTAAATGAAAAACTCAAATGTATTAAAACAGCTCGCGTAAATACCCAAATGAAGCTTTTTCAGCATGTGTACAAAAGAGCTAATTTCTGAAACAAAGTTACGAGCTAAATTACTTTCTGAGTCAAGCCAATATATTTAAAACAGTTATATACATCTTAAACCTTATTTCATTTTTTTTAAATTTGAAAATGTTCAAAATTTTGGGAAAAACCCAAAAGATTGATGAACAGATGAGTGAAAAAATATTGGTTCCCCAATGAAAAATGTAATAAGCCAATTAAAATAGAAACCCTAGAGCAAAAACTCAATTGCTCAAATAGTTGTCTGAGTCCGACCACCACCACCCCCCACCCCCTTGAAAACCATCCATAGTATATGTTGTTGGCGGTAAAATTATGAGAGAGGATTTTGATATTTTGAACCCCTCCCTTTTAAAAATGCTAGATCTTGCCTTGCTGACATTGATTACTCATGAAAATCATATTTTAAAAAATACAATTTGCTACATGTCTGATGGCAAACTCTCATATTTATGTGATTGTGGTTTTAATGGACATTTACACAACATTACAGGGGTATAACTAACATTATTAGTCCACTAGTCCTTATTATGGTAACATATAGAACAACCCTTAAATTTATTTTTACTTTTTACTCATCCTTACAATACCTAACTATTGGGCAGTTTGGCAAGGACTACAGGACTAGCGCCCATTTCTAATACTGCATTAATATGTGCTGAATTACTCCTGGCTAATGCCAGTTCCAAAGTGCCGGCTCTCTGAGATACCATGTCAAAGGACCTGCTCAGCCTGTTACATGTCTGGCAAAAAAACTAACAGGAATGTAATCATGTAAAGATAATCTTAATCCTTGTGTGATCCTCCTACAGGTGAGTGACTCAGGGTCACATACATGCACACATCGCAGCCAGGATACTTACAGTGAGTGAGTGGGTGAGTGGGTGAGTGGGTCGGTGGGCAGGCTGGCGGGCAAGAGAGCGAATTATATATTAACATACCCCTGAATTTAAGAAAATAAGGACATTTAAGAATACTATTTTTTTCCCAATTTGCCTTTCAAGGGCTTGGAATCCTTGACACATCTGTGGATTTACACTTTGTACAAATGTGGGGATTCTAGGGAAACAATTGCATGTTTTTTCACACACCTGAATAAAATATTCTCCCTGGAATCAACCCACATTAACCATTAGTAAAACTCCAGTTAAACTCTGAAGAGCTGATACAGATTATTCCAGAGTGAAAATCAGAAAGTCCCACCAGTTTATCACCCATAATCAACCTTACGACCTATCCATGCCTACCAACTACCAACTAGCTAATACACCTGGTAAGTATCTAATCTGAACTGTTACGGTGCTAAGCTTGTCTTTCCATCCATACACACTCTGTAAGATTGAACTGTTATGGTGCTGAGCTTGTCTTTCCCTCCATACACACTCTGTAAGATTGAACTGTGTGACCCTATTAACGCAACCAAGTCTGGTCAACGCCCTTGTGATCCCCGACTCCCATAGACTAACACACAGTCTCAGAGAACAGTGAACATGATGTATTTTGTTGTAAAATCTTAAATCCAAACTCATTGTGTCTATGTCAAGACTTTCCCAACTTGCCTCAGTCACTGAGAATGATAAATTTGTAACGTGTACACATGCTTGTCGTAAGAGGCGACTAACGGGATCAGGTGGTCAGGCTCGCTGACTTGGTTGATTCATGTCATCGTATTCCAATTGCATGGATCGATGCTCATGATGTCAGTCACTGGATTGTCTGGTCCAGACTTGAATATTTACAGACTTCCGTCATATAGCTGGAATATTGCTGAGTGCAGCATTAAACAGCAAATAAACAAACAAACAAAATAAACATAACATTTAACACCTACTGATTTTCATTTGTTAAAAAGCAATAACAAGAATAACAAGGGCAAAAGTGAGCGTGTTTTTTGCTTTTTCCTTTTCTTGGGCAAGTGAAAGTTAAAACACAGCAGCCCTATATCAAGTTATTTTTTGAGCGCTGTGTATGTACAAGATTACATAAAATAATTCTAAAAATGAACCCTGAGTATTAAGGAACGGTCAAGTCAAGTCTCCTAGAGCTGAGAATGGGATGCGTATAGGTTTGCTTGAGCCGAGAAGGAGATGGGTATGGATGGAGGCGAATGTTTTATTACAAAGATGCTTTTGGGGAGGGAGGGGTGTGTGAGAGATTACTATAAGAAGGGGATGCATATAGGCTGAGAAGGGGGTGGGCGTGTAATGTAGGTGAATGTTTTATTATATATATGTCCTGGGGGGTGTACGAGAGATTACCACTCTCACAGCATGCCCACGTAGTCCCCCACTCCCCCTGATCCCCCCAGTGAGCAGTAAATCAGTGTGTAGGATAATCCAAAGCTTAATCCCCTTAACTTCTCATTATACAATACTTCCGTCTGTGCCTTGCATTATGTTGTTGAGGTGTGCGAGTGTTCCCATTATACACATCAGTGCAAAGCATATCCCATTACACAGTGGACATGAGCAGGCATTGAGTGAAAGTGGTCGGTACAAGTACACATTGAAACAAAGTCTCTCTGAGGTTTTCATAACACTGACAAAATACAATCCATAGCTTTGCAATTAGCAAATCTTTAAGAAATGCTTCAAGTGTCTTGAACTGAAAATGTAAGTCAAGTATCATTCAATTTGAAAGGTCCCTTGGAGATTCTGGGTTAGAATTGGTTTTCAGCAACCCATGCTTGTAGTAAGGTGCATGTCATCGTTACCCTATTGTGTAGATCTATGCATAAGATGTCAATCACTGGACTGTCTGGTCCAGACTCGATTATTTACAGACCGCTGTCATTTTGCTGGAATATTGCTGAGTGCTGCATTAAACAACAAACAAACAAACTAAAACAAACGTTTTTCATGACAGGATTCATTTTTAGAGAAATAACACTGAACTTTTTTTCAGAAACCCAAGATGGCTGACAGAAGCAAGTCCCCCCAGAGGGGTCGGACTCCATCGATTAAAGCGAGCCCGACTCCATCATCCCCTCCTCGAGGGAAGCGTACACCATCTCCTTCCAAGAAAAGTCCTACACCTTCACGGAAGACTTCTCCAAGTCAGAAACGCAGAACTTCCCCAAGTGTCAAGAGTGCAGACAAGAACAGAAAACTTTCCCCAAAAGGGAAGAAGACTCCCCAAAAGGAATCTCGACCTAAAACTCCACCAAGCCGAAAGTCATCATCATTGAAGAGCCAGAGGACAACTCCCCAGAAGACCCCTGACCTGACCGAGAAGGGCCTGAAGGTCGTGGATATGTCAGGGCAAGGAATGACATCGGTGCCCGCTTCACTGTTGACAGGTAACCATAGTAACATTTCACTTTAACCACAAGGCTACCCGACCGCCTCCTATGTTTATGATTTAATTTAATTGTTTGTTGTGTAACGCCGCACTCAGCAATATTACAGCTATATGACGGCTGTCTGTAAATAATCAAGTCTGGCCCAGACAATCCAGTGATTGATATCATGAGCAGCGATCCACACAATTGGGAAACTATGACATGCATCAACCAAGTCAGCAAGTCTGACCAACCAATCCCGTTAGTCACCTCTTACGACAAGCATAATCGCCTCATACAGCAAGCATGGGTAGCTGACGACCTATTCTACCCCGGATGTTTATGAAGTGATGTCTGAGGGTATTAGTATCATAATCATCATCTACAATGAGATTCATGATCATCCACTTCCTGCAGGGTTCATAACATATCCAATGAATGTCAGCACTCTGTGTATCCATGAATGCTCCCTTCTTTAAAAATAATCATCCATGTCAGCCTAGATGATGCAGGTAGAATCATGTGTCCAACCTTGTGGCTACTTGTTACAAGCAAAGCAGGTCCTGGGGACCCTGTGTCTTTCCTCCCCCAAATACTCTTTAACCTTTGAACATTAAGACTGTGACAAGGACAACTTGACTTTCTTATCCTAGCTACTGAAATATGATAATAGGGGGGATACACTTTTAAAGATGAAGGGACTTCAAATGAGCCTTGTTCTGCTTCTATTAAAACAGATTTCCTCTTACATTGTTATTTCCTTTATTCCAGCTCGAGATATTGGAGAACTATGTCTGGCATCCAACAACTTGCGATCACTCCCCCTGGATATCAGACGTCTGACTCATCTGACTAAACTGGACCTCAGCCGCAACGGCATCCGCTGCACCAGCCCTCAAGACTTCGGCGGCCTGCCGTCAGAGATGGAGCAGCTGACTGGACTGGAGGAGCTGAAGATCTCCGAATGCAACCTGCCCTTCGTCCCTCCTGCAATATGGCGCCTCATAAGTCTCCGCTTTCTTGACATCAGTCGGAACAAGATAAACGTTCTTCTTCCTGACATCGGGAATCTGACTCGGCTTCAGCGTCTAAATCTTCAACAAACGAACATTTCATCACTGCCCCCCGAAATTGCTTTCTGTCAGGACCTGGAGGAAATTCTACTGTGGGGCAACTCGATCGAGAGTCTGCCAGAAACATTGCCTGAGATGCCAAAATTAAGAATAATGGCCATCAACTACAGAAGTTTCTGTGGTGTTGTTGATGACTACATGGAAAACCTGCTCAGAAAAGGACAAATTAAATCTGAGCATATACCAGTTGTAGTGTTTGAATTACCTTCCCTTGAGTGCCTTGACCTTGAGAGTACAAAGCTGAACAATTTGCCTGATGTGTATAATCTGGCCTTGAAGGAATTCTATTTGTGCAGAAACTTCTTACAAACCATCCCGACGTCCATCTACAATCTGAAGTATCTGTCAGTACTGGACCTGTCCAACAACCTCATGTTAAACCTCCCAGAAGACATAGGCCGCCTCCGAAGTCTCCAAATACTGCGAGTGAGCCAAAATATGTTTGAGAAGGTTCCTCCCACAATAGGACTTCTTGGTAACCTTGAGGAACTCAACATGGCTGGTAACAGAATCCGCCGTCTGCCACCAGAAATTCGTGGACTTTTCAAGCTGAAGACGTTGGTACTGGCTCAAAATGACATTCAGTCATTACCTAACGAGATCTGTGATCTCACCGAACTAGAAACTCTGGATTTGACAGACAATTCCATCCGACAGTTGCCCATGAAGCTGTTCCAACTGAGCAAGTTGAAGGTCGCTCACTCGTACAGGAAGTACAAGAAGTACGGACTCTGGCTGTACAAGAACCCCCTCGAACAGCCTCCACCCCAGGTATGGAGGACAGAGAAGCCAGAACACATCTATGACTACCTCAAGAAGTTGGCCATCATCAAGACGGAGAACCTTCAGAGGCAGAAGATCCTTCTCCTTGGTGCTAGTCAGTCCGGAAAGACCTGCTTGGCCAATCTTCTGGCTCTCAAGAAGTCTAGTCTGACTGCAGGTCTTGACGACAGAACGAGAGTCTTACAGACAATGCTGTGGAAAACTGAAAATAATGTAGAGTTCATGCTGTATGATTTCGGTGGAGATGACACCTATCTGATTACAACGCCGCTCTTCCTCGATTCGAAGGCTCTAGTTCTTCTGGTCTACAACTGTGCTACTTTTACAGAGGAGGACTACCATGCAGCAATTGGGCAGTGGATTGACCTCCTCAACACACAGGCTCCAGGAGCAGTGGTCAAGATAATAGCATCTCAGTGTGACCTTCTACAGACATCACAGCAACTGCTTGACCTTGAGAAGACACAAAAGTCTGAGCCTGAGGAACTACCCAAAGAAGAAACTGGTACAAAAGAGGAAGAATCAATCAAAGATGATGTTACCACCAAAGTCAATGCTGTCACAGAAGAGGATGAGGATGAAAAAGGGGGAACGAAAACAGATGAATCCGTCAAAACTGAACAAGAGGTTGCAGAGACTGGGACAACAGCAGCAGCAGATGACCAAGAACCTATCAGAGAGAGCAACAACGGTAAAGAAACTGATGGTGTCACTCAGCAAGAAACAGCAAGATCTGAGGCTGACCAGGATCAGAAGGATAGCAAGAAGGACGCAGGTAGAGCAGTATCCGGGAGACCAGTGACTAATACACCAGCAGAAAATACATATGCTCGTTATGTAGTAAATACAGCTCAAAGTCAACTGAAAAATTACATGAAAGGCGTCACTGATGAACTGAACAGAGTGCTCAGTGAAAAAGCCAAAGTTGAAAAGTCGTTGAACAGGACTTCATCAGACCCTGCCAATGATGTGGCTGAAGCAGCCTTGAAGCTTCTCCGTGTCCGTCAGAACAAGCTGGAGGAGGTGCGCGGATGTCCGGTTCGGATTCTCCCGGATGTATCCGTGATCAGTTCCTCTGACTCTCTTGAAGGAATAGCTGACCTTGTGGACGAGATCGAGCATCTGGCTATTGACAAGGACCTGTTTCCTCACGCCCAGCGCAGCATTCCGGGCCACTGGGACAGACTGTGTGGCACGCTGAAGAAGAAGAGATCTCTGTACCTTCTGTGGGATGAGGTGGAGGAGATGGCACAGACCTTCAGACTGCAGGGCAAGGAGCTGAAGGACTGCATCCACTACCTCCATGACGTTGGGGATGTGTTGTGGTACGAGGATGTCACTGGATTGTCCGAAATTGTGTTCCACTGTCCTCTCAAACTCGTTGACATTTTGGCGTCCCTATACAGACACGATATCACAGAATTCATGGATTTCACTAAAAATAAGATCTTCAGTAGTAAAGGAGGACTTACTGAAGAAGAGTTTGAGGATGTCCGTGATTCCTTCCACAAACATGGTCAGGTGTGTCGGCCTCTTCTTAACTCTTTCTGGTTCTATCAAAAGATGGATAATCTCATGATTGAGGACTTGCTAGAGTTGCTTCCCCTGCTTGACCTCTGCTACGCTGTGCCCGAACCCGACATCCCATCATGCCGTCTGTTCTGCCGACCACTGATGGTCCTCCCATGGTACAACACAGATACCAGCGACAAGGACATCAGTGAACTGTGGCGGAAGATTCCACTACACAACGAGAAAGAGCTAACTGTAATATACAGCTTCCCCTTATATTTTCCAGTTGGACTCTTCCAGAAAATGAGTGCATCGATCCAAGATCTGGTTCTATCCCGCACGGACTGGTCTGATGCAGTTTTTGCCACTGCCTATAATGAACAAGTGCTAATGAAGAAATATGAACGTGGCAAGGGACATTTAGTCAAAATCTTTGTCCGAGGGCTGGAGTTCTCAGCCATTGAGGAGCTGATGAAGGAGTTTGTGCAGGTCATCAACAGCATGCTGATCCGATATCCCGGTCTCTACTGGACCCTCGACATCCCCATGAAAAACATGAGGTTCCTCTCCGTTGTGGCCAAATCACCAACAGTGCAGTTTGAACTGACCAGGACCCCTGAGGTGTAGAGGGTCATGTAAACACCTTCTATCATGTCATGCAGGGATCACATCAGAAGTCACATGCCTGTGGAACATGTCCTTAGCAAATAGGCTGAAAACGTTACAGTTGGTTGATAGACATTGAAATGAATAAGAAAATGCTTTTGCAAAAATAAGAGCAAAAATGCTCCACAATCTGGAGTTCATTTCCGCCTTGATCAAAATGTTGTAAATGCAGGGATAATTCTAGGGTGGGGCCTTGTGCTTTTAGCCCCTAAATTTGAAAAAAAGGCCACATTTTTTAATACAATGGGGCATCTTAACATTGTGTGGTATGGGTGTACCTCTTGAATATTTGAAATTTTCTTATAAAGGACCCATGTCAGAAAATTCCCAGGGTGAACCCTGTACATGGTGTGAGACATTGTCTCTGTGTAAAAAAGGCAACCATTAAATTGAGTCAGAAGACAAACGAAGAGGTTTTAAATTACTTCAATCAAATTCTCGGGGACTGATAATTGGCCCGAGGGAACCCCATCCTGAGTTCAGTTTCCCGACTTGGAGGACAGTTCCAGTTCAGGCATACTTCGAAGTTTAGCAAAGGTTGTGCTAGCAGGATTCAGTCATAACTACTACTACTCAACTTTTGATAAGGATAGTTTTAACTTTCCATGATACACAAAACTAAGTGAGTGAGTTGGGTTTAACGCCGCTTTTAACAGTATTCCAGTTATATCACGCGTGTCAGCTTGACAGCTTGACAGCTTGAAGTGATGCAGGTCTCAGACGTTTACCACTTCAGTGTAACGCACGAGCACGGGTATGGTGCTGACAAACCTTGAAACATAATGGGGGTGAACCGGGATTCGAACCCACAATCATAGGTTTCTGGCGTGCTCAAGGGACGCAACTCTGCACAGCGAATCGCGGCGCCTTAGACGACATGCCCCCTGCACAAAAACTGATTCTTATGATATGTCATAATATTTTAATTGAATGACATATCTGATTATCCCTATGATAAGTTGTGAAGTATATTAGTACTAGGACTGGAGTGTGCATTGTTTTCTGGGGCATTACAGGGAGACAACTCTTGATGAACATAGTGCTATGTTTGATTAATAATGAGCTCTTGTAAAAGTGATTTTGAGTTTGGTATCAATCTGTAGTTACTGTTGAATATTTAAATTTAAAATTTAATAAGTAGGCCGACACCAACTGGATCTTACTGTTGTGGCCGACATGAACTGCATGATAGATTGAAACCATGCTAATCATGATGACATCAGTCAAAAATCTCAGCTGGACAATCTACCCAGTCACCAGACAACCAGATCCATTTCCATCGTACAAGCACAGGTTACTGGGGACCTATTCTCTAACACAACCCCCAGGGGTAGAACTTATGTACAGTGACTTATGCAGGGTATTATGACTTTGTGCCAGTGATTCAATACTTTAGATACCTGTTGTCAGGACAATAGTACATTAGGGTTCACAGAGTTTCATTGTGTAAAGATGGATATTTCTTAATTGTCTCTGTTTGGAACAGAATAATTTATAGATGAACATGCAGATGACTAGCAGGGGGATGATACACCATCGACAGATCGCAGTTTTTTCCTTCACGATACAAGTATCGATCACAATTGCACACGAAGTAAAAGTATCGATTCTTATATTAAATGTACTCTTTATAAAATGTTACTCCAAAAACTAATTACTAGTGAAAATAAGTAGTGAAAACGTAAATATTTTCATCTATTGCGCCATACTTGACACTGCCAACTGTAAATCGTTAGTGTGGCAGTTTTTTGGCCATCCTTTCTATGAAAAAGATGGCCTTTGCACCACAGATAAGAGCACATGCAAGTATCGTGATACGTAACAGATCGTGACAAGGTATTGTTATACGTATTGGATCGCACAGTTGGTGTATCGTCACAGCCCTACAGATGACTGCATTTGAAATCTGCTCCAAAGCTAATCTGTGATATATTGATTCCTTCAGGGTAATAAGTGGTTGATTATTCATAACAGGGGTGGAATGATTCACACGTGAATTGATTCAATGTGATAGTCAATTCAACCCACAATAGACCCACAATGCTTGACTATGCATGTCGTGTTACGCAATGATATAAACAAACATAATTTATGCTGTATGAAGTATGGGAAGCAAGATACTATTACAGGCACAACTTATTATGAATAGTTGACAGTGAAGAGGACTTCTTTTGAAAACCCGAACATTTTTTTAAGATGACAGCTGAAATACAGGATTTCTGTCTTTGATAAAAACAGGTTTTGTATTCGTTAGAATCATAATGTATGCTGTTTATTTTCCATAATTGTTTACTAGGATCATAAACATGCAATTTATTTAAAAAGCACACAGTAACATATCTATTGAAGTTTCAGCTGTCTCAATTTTATTGGGCTATGATTTCATATTTTAGCATTAACAGAATATCTGTTTGTGGTAATATGTACCAAACACAAAAACTTATAGATCATGAGTAATTATGGGGAGATTTTATTAAATTTTATTTTATTAAATATCCTTGATCCATAACTTTTATTGTTCAGCATATTACCGATAACATGATACATCATATAAATATTCACATATTGAGACATGTATTTTACAGCATTATATATCCATCATGCGTGTCGAAATGGTCCATACCTTATAGAAAATGTAATCAGCACTCAAGGCACTAGTACTGTAATAATGTTTATGTTGACCCATTAAAATGTGAATCACTTTTTAAACTGAATGCAATTTTTTAAATGTGAGAAAAAGTCACATGATGACATTGTTATTACCCTGATCTCAATCGGATCCGTGCACGCCAGTAATTCAACTATTTATTAATTTATTGTCATATTAAAGACTCTATAAAATATTCATACAATATATCACGCAACGTGTTTATTATTTTTGCTTCATACATCAATGAAAGAAGAACAGAAACACATTGTTATACAGTGTTTGTTGTTTAACGCTGCACTCAGTAATATTCTCATCATGTCTGATCTTCAGCAAACTATGCTTTTCGTAAGAGTGAGTGAGTTAAGATTTATAGTCACATCGGCAATATTACAGCCATATCGTGACTAAATCAAGTTGGACATTAATAATACATAAATATAGACATTAAAATCTGTCGACAAAGGACAGTAAAAACACTAGACTATCACAGATGTAGATTTAAAACTAGCATATCATCATAAAATTTGAACAAATCATAACAGTACACAATAAAAATGGGCTATAGATCACCAATAACCAAAGGTAGGTCACCATACTAGGTACCATGGGGACTTACAATACTTCTGCTACCTGCATGGTACCCCAGCAGGATTTACACCATCCCTCTGGCTACTGCTGGTGATTGTCAGTAAGTTTAAGCCAAATCATTAAAAAACAACAAGAATACTACGATTAAAAACATGGAAAATGAAAAATACTTTGAATGAAATGGGACTTACATACCTTCTCAGGGGCTTTTCGTATGAGACAATCAGGCTTCCTGACCAGGGCCCCGTTCCACAAAGCGATCGTAGCGCTAAGACGATGGTTTCTCCCATACTTTAACATTGGCTTACGACTGTCGTAGGTCTACAATCGCTTTGTGGAACATGGCCCTGGTTAATGCATGTCATCTTATCCCAAAAGTTTTATCAATGCTCATAATAACAATCAATGGATTGTCTGGTCTCTTATTTACAGACCGCCATCATATAGCTGGAGGTGGTGGGGTGAAATGGGGTTTAACGTCGCGTCCAAGATTATTGCACTTATATAGCGAAATGCATGCACGCGTATATCTGTGTGTGTGTGGCTGCTTGTACTAGTCCGGACTGATGCAGATTTATATTGCTAGCACACTGAGATACCATGCCGCAGTAAACATGAATACTCCACTCAGACACAGTATAATGACTCCCGAGCCGACCAGTCCTTGTTTTAGCCCCATAATGCCGAGCGCCAGACAGGGTAACAACAAGTACCTGGTAACCATCTTTTAACGTCTTTTGGTTTGACGCGGCTGGGGATCGAACCCCGGACCTTCCGCTCTACCATTAGACCATGGAGGCGGTCCTCATATAGCTGGAATATTGAGTGTGGCGTAAAACAATAAATAAACAAACGATAGTCCCAGCAGATACAGTCCAGACAGCTTCACAGCATATGTTCGTACAAGTTCTGAATAAAAAGGCCGACTAACCTGAGCGTAAAAGGCGACGACACGGAGAGACCTGACTGGTGCAAAGAAGAGGAAGGGTACAGCGATCTCGATGACAAACGTTGATACGACACTCAGCTTCAGGAGCCATGTTGGAAACTGATGCCAATACCAAGCAAGGGGTGTAGGAATACACTGTTGAAGAAGAAAATAGTGCACAGTGAACCTTGAGAGTCGATATTCAGAATTGTTCAAAGTTTTAGGACATGGAACTTCTTATGGATAACAACTTCTTTTTTTGTAACATAGGCGGATGCAGATGGGGGACCCACGCCCCCCTCCTTGAAAACGAAATGTAGTATGTTGTTGGCAGTAAAACTACCTGAGAGAGGATTGAGATATTTTGGACCCCTCCCTTTTAAAAATGCTGGATCTTTCCCCTTCATCAGATGAAAGCTGAATGTATGTAAGATAATATATTTATCAAAAACTTGTTCAAAGTTTGTGCGTCTGGATAAAACTTCACATTAAAGCAACTGCATGGACATAGAGTTGTAGGGGGAAACAGAAACCTACCTGGGATTCAAAATGATGATTCAAGGCTGCAAATAAAACAAAAATATATTTATGATTTCTTTTAATATAAATCATACAATACAAAAAAAAGAAACCATAGATAGGAACGCATAGGTAATTATGAACAGATTGTATACATGTATGAGTGGGCCAGTGGGTGAGTGGGTGAGTGAGCGAGTGAGTGAGTGTGTGGGTGGGTGAGTTAGTGGGTGAGTGGGGGAGGGAGTGAGTGTGTGGGTGGGTGAATGGATGTGTGAGTTCTTGGGTGTGTGAGTGTGTGGGTGTGTGAGTGTGTGGGTGAGTGTGTGGGTGGGTGAATGGGTGGGTGTGTGAGCGAGTGAGTGATTGAGTGAATGACTGAGTGTGTGGGTGAGTGTGTGGGTGGGTGAGTGGGTGGGTGTGTGAGTGAGTGATTGAGTGAATGACTGAGTGTGTGGGTGAGTGTGTGGGTGGGTGAGTGGGTGGGTGTGTGAGTGAGTGAGTGATTGAGTGAATGACTGAGTGTGTGGATGAGTGTGTGGGTGGGTGAGTGGGTGGGTGTGTGAGTGAGTGAGTGATTGAGTGAATGACTGAGTGTGTGGGTGAGTGTGTGGGTGGGTGAGTGGGTGGGTGTGTGAGTGGGTGGGTGTGTGAGTGAGTGATTGAGTGAATGACTGAGTGTGTGGGTGAGTGTGTGGGTGGGTGAGTGGGTGGGTGTGTGAGTGAGTGATTGAGTGAATGACTGAGTGAGTGTGTGGGTGTGTCGGTGGGTGAGTGGGTCAGTGGGTGAGTGAGTGAATGACTGAGTGAGTGTGTGGGTGAGTCAGTGGGTGAGTGAGTGTGTGTGTGAGTGAGTGGGGAGGGAGTGTGTGGGTGTGTGGGTGAGTCAGTGGATGAAAGGGTCAGTGAATTCTTGGGTGTGTGAGTGAGTGAGTGTGTGGGTGAAAGGGTGGGTGTGTGAGCGAGTGAGTGAGTGAGAGAGAGAGAGTGAGTGAGGCCTACACTCTTTCAATGAATGTTGGAGTAAAGTCTGAAGTGACACACTTTGGTCAAACTCACACAGGTATGATGCTGACAAACAAAGCATCATAATCAAGTGAATTTGGAATTCAAAACAATCAGCAGCTTCTGGCACAACTAAGGGACACAACTCAACTGACTAAGACATCAACACCAAAAACGTATTTCGCAGATATTTTAACTTCTTTTCACACAAGCATGGGTCAACAGGCATTCAAGCAATTAGACACATCTGCCTTTATCGAGTCATCAAGCAACAAGAAATTGATTAATGAATCATCAGGAAACGTAATCAATTCTTCTGAAATTCTTCCTCGAATTCAATGGTTATTGCCGTCTGTCACATCTATGACATCTCTTACAACCTCTTGGACAGTATTTGATAAGAGTTATTTCCCCTTACCAGTGAGTCCCCACCAGGTGGGGCATTGACTGGTGAGCTTGACGATGCCTGAGGCAAACATGAGGCGGAAGAGGAGCCACTTGAGGAGCCACATGGTGATGGAGTCGTGCTGGTGTTGTGGGGGGCTCCGAGATCGGAACAGTTGGAAGTTGAATGGCGCCACGATAATGGTGAGGAAGCCAGCCTCAAGCAACAGGATGTCCCTAAAGTCGATGACAAAAAGTATGAAAAACATTGCCTTGATTTCTAAATTGTACTTATCAATAAATTGACTAGCTGAGTGGGTTTTCTTGACATAAATATCATATATTAGAAAATAGAATTGTATTACGTTGATTTTTATTTCGGTTGTTGGTTATCACAGCCATATTCCAGCTTTGTGACAGCGGTCTGTAAAAATATCGAGTCTGGGCCAGACCATGCAGTGATTGATACCATGAGCATGGATCCACAGGATACGATGACATGCATCAACCAAGTCAGCGAGTCTGACCACCTAATCCCATCACCTCTTACGAAAAGCATGGGTTGCTGTGGACCCATTCTAACCCAGATTTTCACGGGTCATATTACAGTATGGAGAGCGAAATAGATATTCATATTCCTAACATCTTAGCCCAAACATTGCTTTGTGCAAGTGGATTCTGGATCCTTTTCTACCCACATATTTAAACACATTCGTAACCGACTTGTGTTATTCCGGGACAAGCCGAATAGCGACTCGTGTCCCTTTCATGCCCATTTTTGCGACCGGATTCCGTTTTAGCACAAACAGGCATACCTGAAACAATTGTCAGCTCGTTCCGTAAGGGTTCACATATATTTCCCCATGTATCATATATATTTCAGATTTAAATCACATTGGGACATGCGGAATTATACAGTATGATTGAACATATTTAAATGTGTCTTGGGTATATTTTTAGATGCAAGACATGGAAAATCGAAAATTATTTCTGAGGGATTCTTTGACGACTTGAAATCATACGCGCATTCTCATTGGTTTGTCGTATTTTCGCACATAACATTCATCGATAGGGGGACGAGTCTTCTTGCAGGCTACAGAAAGGGGTGAGTGGTGACGAATGATTTAAACATTCAGCGGAAAATAATTCCGTCCTGTCCAAAAAAAAAAATTGTTGACGGAACCAGCAGCAATTTGTAGTGGCTTGAAGTAGTTTGTCTTATTTCTAGCAATAAAACAGAAATATCTCTGCCTACTCACCACTGAAACCACAGGAAGGTCTGGCCAACCTGTAAAATAAAACAATAAAACAAACCATGTCAACAAATGCAGTGGTCAAACATAACATCAACAGTCCTGAGTTTTCAGCCAGTGAAATATTTGGAATCTCACTGATCAACTCTCTATTTGACAAACCATGAACACAAATAAACAGGGTTCCTAATGATGCAGGTTTTCTGAATATTTACGTGATTTTGGTTACAAAAATAGGCCAAAGAAATATCAAGTGTGTTTAACCTGACACAACTTGACCACCCCTAGTTCCATTAAAATATTGATTACTTCTCTTCATGAAATGTAAAATTCCCTTGAAATGTATGCCATACAGTATTTGAAAGTGGTATTACGATTTACTACGTTGTATGAATGTAATGTGCTGTGTTATTGTGGTTGACCTTGGAATGCTAGAAAACTTAGACAATCAAATTGTGCAAAAATCCCAGACTTAGATCCATTTCGACGTTTTGACTTTTTATCTTTTTTTCGGGGGTGGGAGGTTAAATTTTTTTATGGACTCCAAAAATTGAAACCCAATGAGGAAAAAACAAATTCATCTCTTTATCAAACACACAGCCAGTACTTTCAGCAATGTTCAAGCTATATGCATGATATGATGTGGCCTTAAAATAATTGAGTGTGGACCAGATAAACAAGTGGTTGATATTATGAGCAGACCCCTCCAAATCACCTGGACCACCTGGGCATGCTGGGGGCGAGAACATCCCTGCAGCCCCACCCTGTCTACAGATAATTCTCCTTCCAAACTAAACTGGCAGGCAAACGATTGGAGGAAAATGTGATATTGTTCAAAATTCGATTTTTTTACAGTTCATATTTTTGTAAATTTCTTTGGACCAAAATTGAAAAACTAAATGGGAACTTTTACTGACATATGCTGCAGACTTGGTGCTGAATATTGGCCCCTGAGCAGATCTAGATAAAGCCCTGGTCTATGTGTGAGTTCATCTACTATTTCACTCTGCTAAATCTATAGTCGGTCAGCCCATACCTGGTACAGGGAGAGGTAGAACATCCACAGCAAGGTGAAGGACACGACGTCGCGCATGCGTCGCGACACCATGCAGAAGAAGGAGACGAGGATGCCCCCGAGACACAGCAGGTCCATCCCGCTCTGTATGTTCAGGCCCAGCTTGGGGGTCAGCTTCAGGAGGGTGGGCTGGCCCTCCAACAACTCGTGCCATGAGTTCGCCTCTGAAAACAACAAACACCAGGATGAGGAGACATGTTCTGTTTGTTTGTTGTTTAACGCCACACTCAGCAATATTCCAGCTATATGACGGCGGTCTGTTAATAATCGAGTCTGGACCAGACAATCCAGTGATTGACATCACGAGCATCGATCAACGCAATTGGGATATGATGACATGCATCAACCAAGTCAGCCAGCCTAACCACCCAATCCCGTTAGTTAATATCTTACGACAAACATAGTCACCTCTTACGACAAGCATGGGTTGCTGAAGACCGGTTCTACCCCGGATCATCACTGGTCTGAGAAGAGTAGAGGTGAAATGGAGTTTAACGTCACATTCAAGATTATGCACATTTATAGCGATATGCCAGCCCATTGAGACACCATGCCACAGTTTAACATGGTACCCTACTAAGACACAGTAATCTGACTCCAAACTGATCTGTCCTCGATTTATCCCCTTAATGCTGAGAGCTGACGCAGCCGGGGATCGCACCACAGACCTGAAGCTCTCTGAGTAGATGCAATCACTAGGATGAATATAGAGCCATGGCAACACTCCATTATCCAGGCTTCTGTACATCCTGTATTCCACGTAATAAGTGCCCGGGGCGCTCTCAAAATTAGAAATAGTACCCTCTAATTAGAATATTATTTTGGTGGAAAAAACAGAGTTGAAATATAAACTTTGTTTTTTATGCTGACAGCCTGAAATGTTTATATATGACAGATATATTTTTCCAGAATTTAACAGCCCATAATTAAGGGTGCATATAACATACGAGTGAGTATTATACGCAAATAAATAAGTCTTGTGTACATTGATCAATCAGCAGGGGTGCTAATCATACAAATTGGGATTGTTCACTAGCCAATATATTAGCAAAGAGAGCGGGGCACTTATTACGTCGAATACGGTATATATATATATATATATATATATATATATATATATATATATACACACACACACACAAAAATGAGGTAAATGTTCACTCGGTGTACATGTAATATATAATAAAATGATAAAGTCCACATACAAATGTTAATCCAATTGATGAAACCCAAATTGAACTCTAGAATGTATTAACATATTTCTCTTTTCAATCGTAAATGTTACACTGTTACTTTACAAATACTGTATATTTTAATTCAAATGTCTCCCTACAATTGTTAAATTACTTGGTGTCGTCGCTGGAGTGTGTAAATACATTATGACGTCACAGTTGTAATTTATGACGTCATCATAAGTATGACGTCATATTATATGTCATTGTCAGTTACACTGACGAGACAGCGAAAGTACTATGTCTGAAACTGATATAAAGAAGATGATGGACTAACATGGACTTTATTATTTTATTATATATATATATATATCTTGAATAATATAACTCACAGTACCAGACTGCAGAAAAGTGCCAAAAACAATTTGCTTGACTGCTACATATTATACCCAATGACTTTCATGCTTATGTCTGAACACAGAACATATTTATTTAAATAGACCAAAATGAAAAATGGGGAAGAATGTGTTGACCATTCATTTGTTGATGACAAAATAATGGTTTATTATCCAGACTATCTGGCCATCTTACCTGTGTTCAAAACCAAACGAGCAGGCAGTATTCCATTATCGCCATACAAGCCTGAAAATAAAAACATAATAATAATACATGAAATATCAATAGTAATAAATCAATATGGACACTTACCAAGCCTAATAAACAAAACTGCTGAAAAGTACATATCTTAAAATTTCAGCACGTCCCTTAGGCAAAATAGCACAAAAATGTATAACATTTCAAGTACATAGTTCTCTTTCAGTGTTGACATCATGTTATGATTTGTTGTCGCTTTAAGGTGAATCAATATTTAGGATGTGTACTCAGCTGGCATGGATTGTTACTCATTGTATCAATCATTGGTTTCCCTGAGAGGATCAACGTCAAGGTATTCTTGGATCCAGGTGGGTTGAGCTGGGGTGCACCCTTTTAGAAACATGCTATTCATGCTGACTTACAAAAAAATAGGGATTAGCGCACTTTAATGGATGCACTTTTTAATAGCCCTGCGCGGAGGATCGACCTCACGTTGCCATTTTGAAGCTAAGATAAGCCAATGAGTAAATCCAATTATCAAACATTTAACCATGGGAACTATCACAAATAAATAGTGCTTGTTTTTCAAGTCATCAGCACCTGATTGTATGCCTTTATGTGCATACGCTATAGCCATTTTCTCTGCGAAAGTCGCAGCTTGATAAAAATTGAACAGATTTTCCTCAAATAACCATTTAGTAATTTGCTAAAAGAGATCGCATGCCACAACCTACTCCACAACTAACCCTCATGATCGTAAAGGGGTGTTTGATCGGCATGAGGTGCCCAACCATAAGGATCATGAAGGGAGTGTTTGTTTGGAAAGGGGTACCTAACCCAAGAGCTAAGGATTGCGGTTGTGATAACCTACCCTAACAATTACACAATTAACCCTAAGGATTGGAGAGGCACGTCAGGTATGTGTACCCAGAGCCTATTAGTGCTATAGCAAGCTGTGCTTGGTTAACTGCTTTGCTACCAAAAAATACACGAAGTGATGAAAATGTTTTGGGCTACAATTAACATTGTTTACTGATTATGAGCTAATACTAATGCGCCATTCATACCCATATCAGAGTCATTTTTCACTGTTGGGTCCTTAGACAAAACCAAAAGAATTAAACGTGTTTTCTTAACCTTTATCTATATTTAGTGGGTCTTTAAACGACTCAAAATCATGACCATGCTTCTATAACGATTATTTGATTGGGATTTGATTAAATCAAATTACACGTTGGCTTCCTAAGAAAAAAAGTTAAAACTAGAAAAACTAAAAGTACATTGTCTGCAGTTACGTAAACTTCCATGAGATAATTTCCCGGTTAAAACTTAAATCCATCATCACTTAGAAATCCAAGACATATTCGCTATAAACACAGCAATTTACCTGGTATTTGCACATAGAGCGATGAAAAGGCAAACAGGTATATGACTGACATGCACCACAAAAATGCATTCCTGGTTTCGCTCATATCCCCCATTTTAACAGCAAATATTTTTGCTGATCACTGATAATCTAATATGAAAACGTGCACTTGTTGTCCTTGAACCGGAACAACGTGTGTGCACCCCATTGCAATTCAGGATAGGTTTCCGACCAAAGAAATAGTCCAATCTTGCAACTGGCGTATACAGCCGTAGATTCGTCGATATGTATTTTAAATAAGACATTGGAAGAAACCTATTTGGTGTGTTATAGGATATTTGATGTTGTGGGATGTGGATTTCAAACTTTGTTAAATTTGTTTTTCCTTATTGGGAATCCCAGTGGAGTGATATATTTAACATTGTTTTGGTCCGATCGGAACGATAACAAGATTGTTGATTGGCTGAAATAAAGCTTACTTGGGGAATTCGATATAATTGGGCCAATGAAATATCCTCTAGTATCTGCACATTTCAGGCAAGCGCGCGGGATTTTACGAATGGTAACTTCCGTCAACTAAACATCGGTGCCGTTCCCAGGTATATACATATTATTCAAGAATGTTTACGGGTAGATGTGATTTCATACATGCTCCGAAAAGTGACAATTGAAAAAAGGCCGACTAACAACCTAAACCAAACGATCCCATAAATGCTATGACAAGTTTTCTGTTGTCTGTTCCTAACGGTGTCATGATGAAACCGATATGAGATTTTTTGATTGACAGGTGTCAATAACATGTAACAAAACAGATTACATCACTGCTTATGTGATCAACATCTAATTGGCTGGAGTATCTCCACATATAATGGGATTTGCATGTTTTGCAAACGTTTAAACAGATGGTAATTAAAGTTCCATATTAACATCTGGTTGACTGTTTCTATTGCTATTTCAGAATTTGTCTTCCAGCTGGTTGCTCTCTTATCAGTATCACCTGTGGCAGTCGTTCATTGATAATGTTAAAATAATAGGCCCTAGTAGATTCTACCCCTCAACAGCAAAATTAATAGTTGCTGAGTCAGGAGATTTCCGGAACATCTTGTATTTGTAATGTTGACAGATGAAAAAAGAAGTTTGAAGCTGTTATTCTCGATCTAATTTTTAAGTGTTGTCTGAACATGTTGAGGGACAATTTCTGTTACAGTCCACTTGATGTTTCTTTAGGAACTTACAACTGACTGATGAAATATGTATCACTTACCGGAAATATGAGTATTTTAGATAAAAGCTGAGTCAAATACACATTAAGATTTCCTGAGTTCCATGGCTTCAAAACATTATGCAGGTCTAATGTCATTTATGAATGGTAAGTGGTTTTATCTTACACAAAATATTGGGTTGTTTTGTTGAGATTTCTTAAATAAACATGCTAACAGTTATATACTAAATACTTATGGCCTCATTCCAGTGACTGACGATGGCTTTGTCAGGTAGCCAGAGTGACCTTGAACAGCGGTTTGGTCATCTCATACAACCCATCCGAGACTTGACCAAGAACTGGGATATAAACATATGCAGCTACCTTGAAGACTACCTGGATGAGGTGAGCGGAATACATGTTCACGGACCGACATCCTTAGCACATCCTTAGCCATAAATAATTGGTTGCTCGTAAATTATTATTTTCCTATCTCTGTAAAGGGCTGGTACGTAGACACATTTAATATAAGCTTTGTGTGAGCTCACTCGCCGCTGCGTGCCTTGTTTTGCGAGAGGAGTTTCCGTACTAGCCGTGAATGTAGGCTTATCACGTGACCGGACACTTCTCTTGTTTGTAGTGAGTGAGTGTGTATTGTATTACGCCGCTTTTATCAATATTCCAACAATATCATGGCGGGGGCACCAGAAATGGGCTTCCCCATGTGGGGAATCGAACCTGGTTCTTCGGCGTGAGTAGGGAACGCTTTAACATGTTTAACCACCAGGCTGCCCCACTTTCCTCTGAAAAAAAAATGGTTTGCAAGTACATCAACATAGAATTGGTTGCTCGTAAATTATTATTTTCCTATCTCTGTAAAGGGCTGGTACGAAGACACATTTAATATAAGCTTTGTGTGAGCTCACTCAGCGTTGCGTGCCTTATTTTTCGAGAGGAGTATCTGGACCACGCCGTGGATGTTGGCTTATCACGTGACCGGACATTTCTCTTGTTTGTAGTGAGTGAGTGAGTGTGTGTTGTTTTACGCCGCTTTTAGCAATATTCCAACAATATCACGGCAGTGGCGCCAGAAATGGGCTTCACATATTGTACCCATGTGGGGAATCGAACCCAGGTCTTCGGCGTGATGAGCAAACGCTTTAACATGTTTAACCACCAGACTGCCCCACTTTCCTCTGAAAAAAAATGGTTTGCAAGTACATCAACATAGAATGGATATGATACAACCCAGGATGATGAAACACCATGTTATTAAAAAAATGTTCTGGACCTCCATGTCACTTTGACGCATCTTCCCGAGGCAGGGAGGTTAACTGACTATAAAAGTCCTGTTTCCACCCTTGCTGAACTACGCTGGAATTATGGAGTTACATTTGAGCTGGACTATTGAGTCTATGCATAGACCAACCAAAACCATGTAACGAAATCGACATCCACTTCGTAAACTGCCGTGCAGATTTCGGTCGTTAGCAGGATTTGCAAAGCATGTGTGCTGACAACTTAGCTTCAACAGATATTTTCCAGATCTTTTCATGTTTTCAATCAAGGTGCTCACGTGATTTGATGCACATAGCGAAGTAAGACCCATTTAATTATAATATAGATCTTGATTATCAATCAGATCGCCTTCACTGAGCGACGTCATTTTATTTGAATCAGATGCAAGTGATATGAGAGGTGGAATCTGATTGGTCATTAGGAGGGACATAGAAGGGACATAACTCGTAATAGCCACAGGTGGTGCTACGATTGAACCAACGATTGAACTGGAATTTTACAGTCAGTTAACTCCCTTGCCTCAGGAAGATGCTTTGATGGGGATATTATTTGATTTTGTGGTTTTATTTTTTTAATAAAACTCCAGATAGCAAGATATTGACCAGAAATGTCAATGATCAAACCATGTTCATGATAACAAGCTGTGGAATGTGTTTTGGTAACACAATCAATATGAAATGACTTTCTAAGACAGCACTTTTCATTTCAGGGGGCCCGTGAAGATCTGGGGTAGAATAGGTCTTCAGCAACCCATGCTTGCCGTAAAAAGCGACTATGCTTGTTGTAAGAGGTGACTAACGGGATCAGGTGGTCAGGCTCGCTGACTTGGTTGATGCATGTCATTGATCGCAATTGCGTGGATCGATGCTCATGATATTAATCACTGGATTGTCTGGTCCAGACTCGATTATTTACAGACCGGCGTCATATAGCTGGAATATGGCTGAGTGCTGCGTTAAACAACAAGCAAACAAACAAACATTTCACAGGGAAGCCACACTTTCCTCAGTGCTCGCACAAATATTAACACATTTTCAAATTATTCAATCCTGCTTCAGATAGTGATATTTTCCATTTCCATCTCCATGCAATTTATTTGTGATGTGGACTTTATGTCTCCTCCGTTCTGTTTGAAGCTTGAAAAGATCCAGGTTACCTTCGATGATGGCCACACGACCATGAACTTCGCGGAGGCGGCTCTTCTCATCCAAGGCTCGGCTTGTGTGTACAGCAAGAAGGTAACTTCAGCTCAGTTCAGATCATGAACAAATATTTCAGATACCAGGACTGTTGGTTTTTTAATCCCTTGGCTTTATTACAGATTTTGTCTATTTGGCTTTAGCCCAGGGCTTAGAAACCAAGGACAAAAGCATGATATAAAGAATGAATATCCTAAGTTTAATAAAACAATATTCACAAATGGAATGTCAACACATTTATCATGACATACCGTATTCGACATAATAAGCGCTCTCAAAATTAGAAATAGGGGGCTCTTATTAGAATTTTATTTTGGTGAAAAACAACAAGAGTTCAAAGAGCGTAAATTTCATGGTTTATGCTGAAATGTTTATAAACGACAGATATATGTTTCCAGAATTTAATTGACCACAATTAAGGGTGCATATAACAAACGTAATATGCACGAATAAATAGCCTTGTGTACATTTATCAACCGGAAGGGGTGCTAATTAGGATTGTTCACTAGCCAGTATATTGACAAATATCGCCGTGGGCACTTATTAGAGCGGGCGCTTATTACGTCAAATACGGTAATTTTCTTTTTGAACTTGAAAATTATGAGCCAAGAACACGCTCAAGACTGAAATGACAGCTGTCAAAAAAGTAACAACAAACCAATATCATAGTTGTGTGTGTCTGCCTTGTGTTTTAATTGTCATGCTGAGAATCCAGAATATCACCAACGTTAGGGGTCCAATGCGGCTTGTAAATGTGGAACCTCTAATTGTTGTTAAGGTGCCAAAACATTTTATTATTTTTTGGAAAAACAGATTCACAAATATAGCCAGTCCAATGTTATGGGTGAAAGGTTGTTCTTTAATGCCAACTCAGCAATATTCCAGCTATATGACAACGGTCTGTAAATAAGAAAGACTGGACCAGACAATCCAGTGATTGATATTATGAGCATCCATTAAACAATTGGAATACAATGACATGTATCAACCAAGTCAGCGAGCCTGACCACAGATCCTGTTAGCCACCTCTTACGACAAGCATAGTCGCCGTTTAATTTTTACGATAAGGGTAACTATTGGGATTATTTTTGCAGTTGTGATTGTTACCATACTCTGACTGCCATCCTTTCAGGTGGAGTACCTGTACACGCTGGTGTATCAAGTCCTGGATCTTCTTGCCAATAAAAAGTAAGTTCCACCGAATGATTGCTGTCCAAACTGATTTTTGCATTTGTGAACAACTGAAAATAATGTATTCTCACAAAGTCTGTTTACAAGAAAATACTCAGTTCAGGCCACATATTTCTTATTTTTCATTTCACTGGCCCACCGCCTCTACTGAAAAGCAGCAGGAAAAGAAATGAATTAAACATTATTTTTTATTGTTTTTTTATGTCTCCCGCCAGTAATATAGTCCCTCGAATGAATGAATGAATGAATGAATCAATCAATCAATCAATCAATCAATCAATCAATGAATCAATGAATGAATGAATGAATGAATGAATGAATGACAAGCTTTTTATTTTCATTTCAACCGGAAAAGATGAAATCTGTGAAACATTAAATTAAGAAAGTGTGGCCTTAAAGTAAATTGACACCTGCTTGTTGAAGGAACTCCCAGAAGCCATCATCAGTAGACAAAGATGGGAATGACAACGATGCCAACTTCCCCCACGACGAGGATGAGGAGGTTGGTATGAATCCCAATGAGCTTGTGCATGGAGTGTTGTCTGTCTGTAATCTCTGGACCACTCTGAGCATGAGCGTCCACCCAGAGAGCGGAATGTCTGGGCTTTGATCCCCGGTCGCGTCATACCAAGAATCGTTAAAAGATGGTACTTGTTGTTACCCTGTCTGGCTCTCCGCATTAAGGGGCTAAAACAAGGACTGGTCAGCTCAGTATACTGTGTCTGAGTGGGGTATTCGTATTAAACTGCAGCATTGTATCTCAGTGAGCTAGCACTATGAATCATCAGTCCGTACCCAGTACAAGCAGCCACACATACACACAGTGCAATAATCTTGGACGCGACGTTAAACCCCCATTTCAGCTCACCTCCCCTGAGCTTTAGGGGCTGTGATGTTGCTGGAATATAGTGCTAAAATCTGTGTAAAGTCATACTCTCTCCAATCTCATTACAATCAGATCTTAGCTCTCGCTAACGCTGAATAAATATCTAAGGACATCCCATTACGAGTGACATCAGAACAGCTTTTCATCTGCATTGCGTACCAGATCATGAAAGTGACAGTCGGAATGTGTTTCCTAATCTGCAACTTTGAAAAATGAAAATGAAAAAAACGACAGTTATAGGCTTTATGGCTGAATCCATACAATCTAGCCCATCTATTAGCCATTCCAGAATGTTCTTTTGTACAGTTTTCACATTTTTTATCGGGAATTTGTCAAAATAAGTTTCAAAGTGTATTTCCCGGTTTGAAACTACATGTAGTGCCATAAAACATGAGAAAGCTGCCCTCTGATTGGCTAATGTTGACTTATTGTCGGTCATTCCATTGTGAAAGGTCGGTCTGACATGACCCGTAATGGGATATCCTCAGATTTTTGTAGGGGCGGTCGGGTAGCCTAGTGGTTAAAGCGTTCGCTCGTCACACTGAAGACCCGGGTTTGATTCCCAACATGGGGACAATGTGTGAAGCCCATTTCTGGTGTCCCTCGCCATGATATTGCTGGAATATTGCTAAAAGCGGCGTAAAACCATATTCACTCACTCACTCACTCAAGTTGTGTCCCTTGAGGATGCAAAAACCTGTTTCAGATATATGCAACCTGCTTTCAACTCACATGATGATGATGATGATAATGCTTGCTCATAGTTTGATCTGTCTAAGAAGTGAAACTTGTGTCTGTTGTGTTGCAGTTTCTGTCCTTGGACGACATCAAGGAACACAAGAACGTCGACATGAAGGAGGGTGCCCACATCCTAGACAGGTCCATCGCCCCCATCCCTAAAACCCCACTCGCACTCATCCCACTGGAGGACGGAGAGAAAGGACAGAACCCACTGCTGAGGTAACAGCATGATCACTGATAGCCCCACCTTGCACTATTATTCCACCCGGGGGGTTGGGGTAGCCTAGTGGTTAAAGCATTCACTCGTCACACCAGAGACTGTGTTTGATTCTCCACATGGTTATGTGATGTTATGTTGGTTATGGCTAAGAGCAGCGTACAAATCTACAAAATGTTTTTGTTCCCCTATCAATCATCCCTCTGTCTTTTTCCTCAAGAGAAGGGTGTTTCAGTTTTATAGTGCAAAACATAAGTTTTCATGATTCAGAAAACTTTCTCTCTCTTTTTTTTTCTCCCTCTTATTTTCTCTCTCTCTCTCTTTCTCTCTCTTTCTTTCACTCTCTTTCTCTCTCCCTCTCTCTTTCTCTCCCCCTCTCTTTCTCTTTCTTTAACTGAAATGAATAACATTTGTTGTGAAATAGAAAGTTGTGAAATGATATTGACAATGTATCATGGCTCTTGTTTTTCAGTAAAACTGGCGAAGTGCTGGCAAGTCGAAATGACTTCAAGATGAACACAAGCTACGTGCATCCCTGCGGCTCCATGTTGTTAGACATGACCCACCTTAACCTCCTGGAACTGTCTCTGAAACTACTGGCGTCATCCACACCATATCCCACTAAACCAGGTACACCCTGTTATACCCTACTAAACCAGGTACACCCTGTTATACCCCACTAATCCAGGTACACCCTGTTATACCCCACTAAACCAGGTACACCCTGTTATACCCCACTAAACCAGGTACACCCTGTTATACCCTACTAAACCAGGTACACCCTGTTATACCCCACTAAACCAGGTACACCCTGTTATACCCCACGAGACCAGCTACACCCTGTTATACCCCACTAAACCAGGTACACCCTGTTATACCCCACTTAACCAGGTACACCCTGTACTGTTATACCCCACTAAACCAGGTACGCCCTGTACTGTTATACCCCACTAAACCAGGTACACCCTGTACTGTTATACCCCACTAAACCAGGTACACCCTGTACTGTATACCTCACTAAACCAGGTACAACCTGTACTGTTATACCCCACTAAACCAGGTACACCCTGTACTGTTATACCCCACTAAACCAGGTACACCCTGTACTGTATACCTCACTAAACCAGGTACAACCTGTACTGTTATACCCCACTAAACACACAATACATGAATCATTCCAATGTCAGGCCAGTTCACATCACTAATTCTGTATGTAATTTCATCTCTCCTGCAGGTGCAGCCAAACTGACAGAGGAGTGCAACGGCAACGTGGAGATGCAGGCTGAGGGAGCAGGGGATGTGCCGAACGACGGAGGGGAGGATATGCCCATGAATATGTCAGGTAACAGTTACACAATATTCTTCAGTTGAAATATGAATCATAATTTCAACATTTTCAGGTTTAGTTGTGAGCATGTTTATTATAGACTACATGATACGTTTTGAATGCTGACATGCATCTTCCCGAACTAGGCCAGAATTCCTGGGTTCGATCGTAGCACCACCAGTGGCTATTACGAGTTATGTTCCTTCTATGTCACCCCTATTGACCAATCAGGTTCCATCGCTGATGTCACTTGCCTTTGTTTCAAACAAAATATTGAATGTGTTGTTTTCTTACAGATTTCAACTGTTGTCAATATGGAAAATACTAATTAGTCATGGCATATCTTTTGTTTTCAGTTGACTTTGACGACAACGACGGTGGCGATGCACTTGGTGCGAGTTTCAATGCCGATCCTCTTGCCCCTCCGGAGGTGATTATATTTCTGTGATAACTGAATCAGAACTATCCATTGCTGACTTGATCTCATTCCATCTTACTTTTATGATTCATAAGAGAATTTATGCTTCATGATAACTTGCAACAAAACGAGAATGATAAAATTAAAATGACTCCAGATCACAATTAAAGATGCGACAACATGAACCAACAGCATCAGTCTGGTAGTCCACACCTCATTTGCCGCAAAACAGAGCTATGTCTTTCAATTGAGAATGGGACATTGGAAAGGTTTCCCGTTGCTGACAATATACATAGGACCCGTGACGACCCGGGGTTGAATAGGTCTTCAGCAACCCATGCTTGCCATAAAAGGCGACCATGCTTGTTGTAAGAGGCGACTAGCGAGTTCGGGTCGTCAGGCTTGCTGGCTTGGTTAATGCATGTCATCGTATCCCAATTGCGTGGATCGATGCTCATGATGTCTATCACTAGATGGTCTGGTCCAGACTCGATTATTTACAGACTGACATCATGGAGCTGGAATATTGCTGAGTGCGGCGTTAAACAACAAATAAACAAACAATATACATTGTGTGTTATGGGGGCAGACTTTAGTCACAGCCTCATTGTGAGACTGACATTTGAGACTGTTGTAAGAACAGGTAGTTAGTGCCATGTTTGTCATGAAGTAACTTGAATATTGTTGATGGCGGTGTTACACGACACTCACTCACTCACTCGCTCACTCACTCACTCACTCACTCACTCACTCACTCCCCCGCTCACTCCCCCACTCACTCACTCACTCACTCACTCTGTGATTCCAGGAAGGGGAGGGGTTGCGGAGGTCAGAGAGGCGAAGGGTGCAGATTGTTGAACCAGTTGCTCCACCAAAGCCAGTGAGTAGTTTGTTTTACTGTCCCATTGTCCTACTATCCCTATTTACGATTTCTGCATTTTTACTATCCCTGCGTTTGACTGACACTGTTTTACTGTCGCAGTGTTTTACTATCCCTGCATTATCCTAGCCCTGTTATTCTGTCCCTGTGTTCTACTATCCCTGTTTTACTATCACTGTTTACTGTTTCTGCAGTTTACTCTCCCTTTGTTTTACTATCCCTGTTTATGATTTGTTTTACTATCCCTGTTTACTATCTGTGTTATACTCTCCCTTTGTTTTACTCTCCCTTTTTTTTTACTATCTGTGTACTATTTCTGTGTTTTACTCTCCCTTTTTTTTACTATCTGTGTACTATTTCTGTGTTTTACTCTCCCTTTTTTTTACTATCTGTGTACTATTTCTGTGTTTTACTCTCCCTTTTTTTTACTATCTGTGTACTATTTCTGTGTTTTACTCTCCCTTTTTTTTACTATCTGTGTACTATTTCTGTGTTTTACTCTCCCTTTTTTTACTATCTGTGTACTATTTCTGTGTTTTACTCTCCCTTTGTTTTTCTCTCCGTTTATGATTTCTGTGTTTTACTGTTCCAGAGTTTTACTATCCCAGTTTACAATTTCTGTGTTTTACTCTCCCTTGTTTTACTATCCCTGTTTACGATTTCTGTTTTACTCTCCCTGTGATATACTATTTCTGTTTACTATTTCTGTGTTTTACTCTCCCTTTGTTTTATTCTCCCTTTGTTTTACTATCCCTGTTTATGATTTCTGTTTTACTATTCCTGTGTTTAACTATCCCTGTTTACTATTTCTATGTTTTACTCACCCTTTGTTTTACTATTCCTGTTTACGATTTGTGTTTTACTCTATGATTTCTGTGTTTTACTCTCCTTTTTTTATTGTCCCATTGTTTTACTATCCCTATGTTCTACAATCCCTGTGTTCTACTATCCCTATATTCTACAATCCCTGTGTTCTACTATCCCTGTGTTTCAGGATAAGCATGCTGACACAGATCTATATGAAACATGTGCAGTAATCATACCATGTAATGCAGTCACTTCTGTTCTGCTGTTTGTAAAATACAGAAGATAAAGTAATTCAACACTTATGTTCAATAATTCTAAATTTTATAAAATTTGGATCAGAATTTACATATTTCTAGGAGTGAGAAATACAAAACCTTTGAGCTTTAAGATGTTGGTAAAAAAACAGTCGACTCTTCCTGGTTTTGACTTTCACTGATTACTATTTCAGACTGTAGATCCATGGCTGTCGACAGATCCGTATGATGAAGACAAGAATAAAGCAAAAGCTCTATCAAAAAGTAAGTATGCTGAAAATTAGGGCTGAGTCGTTCCACCAACTGTGCCATCCAATACGTATCTCGATACCTTACTTACAATCCGATATGTATCGTCATTCCACATCCCTGATCTCAACAAGTACCATCTTTTGGAAACTCGGGGATCAACCTGCAAACCTTCCTCCCTGGACAGATGCTCAATCCACTTGATCCACTTGATCCACTGTAGGCTGTGACGATCCATAGGGCTGTGACGATACCTTACTTACGATCCGATATGTATCATGATACTTGCATGTGCTCTTATCTGTGGTGTGTAAGCCATCTTTTTCACAGGTTGGCCAAATACCTGATTTTCAGTCGGCAGTGTGAAGTATGTTACAACGGATGAAAATATTTACCTTTTCACTATAAACATTCATTACTATTATTGTAACAGTTATTAAAGCAATATTTAAGGTAAGAATCGATACTTTTTACTTAGTGTGCAGACCCGTGAAGAATCCGGGGTAGAATAGGTCTTCAGCAACCCATACTTGCCGTAAAAGGCAACTTTGCTTGTCATAAATGGCGACTAACGGACTCGGGTGGTCAGGCTCGCTGAATTGGTTGATACATGTCATTGATCCCAATTGCGTGGATCGATGCACAGGATGTCAAACACTGCATTGTCTGGTCCAGACTCGATTATTTTACAGACCGCCGTCATATAGCTGGAATATTGCTACACAATCAGGTGAAACAGCAGTATAGAGAATTTCAACGTATCTTTGCAGCTAGAAAGTCAGTGAGGATACCCATCAAATCTGGAGACACAACGAAGAAGAGGAAACGAAAGATGCCTGTTAAAGAAACGACCTTAGAGCCTCTTGTTTGCCGAGAGAACTTCAGAGGTGAGTGTTTAGATGCCTAAACTCAATGAATTTACCGACAAACTTGGAGCCTCTTTGCCGAGAGAACTTCAGAAGTGAGTGTTTAGATGCCTAAACTCAATGAATTTACCAACAAACTTAGAGCCTCTTTGCCGAGAGAACTTCAGAAGTGAGTGTTTAGATGCCTAAACTCAATGAATATACCGACAAACTTGGAGCCTCTTTGCTGAGAGAACTTCAGAAGTGAGTGTTTAGATGCCTAAACTCAATGAATATACCGACAAACTTAGAGCCTCTTTGCCGAGAGAACTTCAGAGGTGAGTGTTTAGATGCCTAAACTCAATGAATTTACCGACAAACTTAGAGCCTCTTTGCCGAGAGAACTTCAGAAGTGAGTGTTTAGATGCCTAAACTCAATGAATATACCGACAAACTTGGAGCCTCTTTGCTGAGAGAACTTCAGAAGTGAGTGTTTAGATGCCTAAACTCAATGAATATACCGACAAACTTGGAGCCTCTTTGCCGAGAGAACTTCAGAGGTGAGTGTTTAGATGCCTAAACTCAATGAATATACTGACAAACTTAGAGCCTCTTTGCCGAGAGAACTTCAGAGGTGAGTGTTTAGATGCCTAAACTCAATGAATTTACCGACAAACTTAGAGCCTCTTTGCCGAGAGAACTTCAGAGGTGAGTGTTTAGATGCCTAAACTCAATGAATTTACCGACAAACTTAGAGCCTCTTCATTCCTTAGACTTGATTCAAAGTATTACTGATTTATGATTGACAATGATGGACCATGATTGACAAGGGGCGGTCGGGTAGCCTAGTGGTTAAAGCGTTCGCTCGTCACGCTGAAGACCTGGGTTCGATTCCCGACATGGGTACAATGTGTGAAGCCCATTTCTGGTGTCCCCCGCCGTGATATTGCTGAAATATTGCTAAAAGCGGCGTAAAACCATACTCACTCACTCACTCACTCACTCACTCACTCACTCATGATTGACAATAGTGTATTATGTTTGCTGTTACAGTATTATGATTGGACATGGTGTTGTATGATTGACAGTGTCTGTGTACGTCTGAGTGTTGTGTCACTGTGAGGAAGCTAATGCCTGAACATTGCTCAGAACTCCAGATCAGATAAATTTTTGAGCAATTGAGTTTATACTCTAGGGTTTCTATTTTGGGGGGGTTATAACATTTTTCATTGGGTCACCAATATTATGTCACTCATCCATTCATCACTCTATTGGGTTTTCCCAAAATTAGTGAACATTTTAAGATTTAAAAAAAATGAAATAATGTTTTAGATGTATATATAACTGTTCTAAATATATAGGCTTGACTCAGAAAGTAAATTAGTTTATAATTGTGTTTTGGAAATTAGCTCCATTGTACGCATGATACAAAGCTTCATTGGGTATTTAGGCGTGCTGTTTTTATCCATTGGAGTTTTTCGTTTGATGCATATGTTTTTGTACGCAAGATGATTGAAAGTAATTGGGTTTTGAATATTTTTGGGGAGTATTTTACGCAAATACGCAGCTTATCTGTAGCTCTGTTGCTACAGACTCCGGCCAGCGGAAGATCCGAGACCAGCTGAGTGAGTTCGAGGCCCTCTACTGGGAGGAGTTCACGAAGAGGAAGGCCAGCGAGAAGGAAGAGAGGAAAATGATGGTCAGTCGCGATTACAAACAATGACTTGATACTGTGACAACAGCGTGAAATCATTGTGGTTCTCAATTCATTTACAGGCCACACCTAATGGAATCAAACGATTACCGAGTACGTTTTTCTAGTTGAGTTGATATGATATTGATGTAATCTAGTCATGAACTTGCTGTAGATGTTTTTAAGTCTCTCCAGAATAGGCCACAGATGGCGGTGTCTCGGATGGGTTAGATTCAGATGTGTAGGTGAAACAGCAATAGAAATTGGCACTAGTCCTAAAGTCCTTGCTGAACTGCCCATTAATTAAGGTGGCATAAAGACGAGTAGAAATTTGCCATTTTTAAATATTTTTTAACTTATCCTGCATTACTCCTTAATACAGCCACTGCTTACCTTTTGACAGTAGTGAAGCTGTGATTGATCCTGCTGAGGAAAGTGTTCCATTCAGAAGTAGAACCCTGTCAATCACTAGTCCTATAGTCCTTGCTAAGCTGCCCATCATAATGACTGGTAGAAATTTGCCATTTTTCAAAGTTTTTTTTATAAGGACCAGTGGACTGGAACTATTAGTTATAATCACTGTGAAGACCTCATTTCAAGGACTGTTACTTCCAGATTGTAGCAGAAGAATGGATCTGCTGCCATGTCAAATGAAACGTGATTGTGATCTTTGTTTTTGTGCCCCGTCTGTCTGTTCGTCCATCACGTTTCGTTTACAGAGCAGAACTCAAAAACCATGAGAGATATCTCAGCCAAACTTGGTAAATAAATAGGTCTAGTGGTGAACTGGTGCCTTTTGATAGTGCCTTTTTTGAAAATTGATTTTTCGAGTTTCCATTGCAACATGACTGAAAATGGCGGTAGTGCTTGTTTCCGGGGCAGATCTTAAAAACTTTACAATTTTTCTTCAGCGACTTTGACATAGACTGAAAATGGTGGTTGTGTTCGTTTCCGGAGGGCTAGTGCCTTGCACACAACCGGACATGTCAAATTGGCTGGAGATATTAGTATTTCATGCTTGTTGACCATTTTTTGTCCAGGCTCTCGCAGGCTACCATACAGAGGAAGAAGATGAAGTGGTTCCGGAGGAAGAGGGGCCAGGTTCGTATTAGTGACCATAAATTGAGCACGCACATTATCTTATAGCCAGTAATATTTAAGTTTGGTTTAATGCCGATTTCAACGGAATTCCAGTTATGGGAGGAAAACCTGAAGTGGTACCGGTCTCAGACATTTACCATTTTGGTGAAAGCTATGAATATAGGATGGTGCTAATAACCCTTGAAACATAATTGAGGCGAACCAGGATTCAAAGCCACAATCATAGTTTCCTGGCGTGCTCAAGGGATGTAACTCTGCATAGTGAATTGAGGTGCCTAAGATGACTGGACCACCCATGCACGTAGTAAAATTTGAGGTGGCCTTGTAATGATGCAAGTCTTCATTCATCTTCCTGAGGCAAGGGTGTTAACTGACTATAAAAGTCCAGTTTCCATCCTTGTTGAACTAGGCTGGTATTATGGAGTTACATTTTGGCGAAATCGAAATCTGGTTCGTAAACAGTAATGCCGATTTCGGTCTATTGCAGGATTTGCAAAGCATATGCACCGCCAAGTCATTGTCAGCAGATATTTTCCAAATCTTTTCATGTTTTTAATCAAGGTGCTCACTTTGATGCACTTTGCGATGTTAGACCCATTTTATCACAATATAGATCTTGATTATCGATCAGATCGTCTTGACTGGGTGCTGCCATTTTGTTTGAAGCAATACAAGTGATACGAGAGGTGGAATCTGATTGGTCAATAAGAGAGGCATAGAAGGGCCATAACTTGTAATAACCACTGGTGGCGCTACGATCGGGCCTATAAATTCCAGCCTAGTTCGGCAAGGGTGGAAACTGGACTTTTCAAATCAGTTAACTCCCTTGCCTAGGGAAGATGGTCTTCATTCTGTGAGAAAGACTATTTGTGGACTTCCCGGTGTCCAGTTTCCCTTATTTTTAGTTATGTGTTTTGCATAAAGAGAGAAGCCACAACCACTCGTCCATTGTTGGCTTATAACCTGTACTATTGTCGACAGAACTAATGGCGCCAGGCGACGGCGATGACGACGATGTGGAACCCCTGCATGTAGATGATGATCTGGCGTTCCCGGGAGGAGAACAGTTCCATCACAGAAACTCCATCGCTCTCAGTGAGTCAACCATGGATAGAATTCAAATTTGTAACTGTTAACCGTTTCATAGATTTCTTTTGCCTACAAATACGATCTCACCATAATCACTATGATTTTAAACTAAAAATTACAGTATTACGATGAAAAAGACAACTACTATGGAAAAATAGCATCCCTTTAGTGGTTTACTCATTGCATTGCATGTAATTTGCTTGAAGATTAACATAACATCCTTGTCAGATGTACGCTGTATGGAGCTTGCAGTTAAATATTACATTACAAAATATTCTATAGTTTCTAAATTCTATCAAATAACATTTGAGCGAGTATGCGAAGTACATAAACCGTATTCTGAATGTAAATACCATTCGTACTGGGTGCTTCTAAAAACAGGAATGGCAGATGGCGATAGAAATTTTAAACGAAAAACAGACGAACAAACTGCTAGGGTCTTGCTGATAAATAAATTTTTACTGAAAATACTCCTGATTTATCTAGATATTACTGATGGGATATATAGAGAATCTCACCCGAGTGTCTTGATATCAAATATATCGACACGAGTTGATAAAAGTGGGAAAACTCCGAGGTTGCCAAGGATTTTTTCCACTTTTATCAACGAGTGTTGATATATTTGATATCAAAAGACACTCGGGTGAGATTTTATTTATCATCCAACATCATTCTTCCAACTTTTTCAGTTTGTAGACAGTAATAAGCAGTGTCTTAAGTGTAAAAAGTACTGTTAACAGCTTCAGTAGCAGAGCCATTAGTGATGTCATTTGATTGTGACGTGATGGTAACCAATGAAGTCACAATGGTCTGCAAAGCATTGTGATGCAATTTCTTTGCAGCGATATCTACAATGTAGATATGGCTTGATCTCACCCAAGCTATATTTCCTGTGGGAGCCAGTTTGGGATGGTAAAAATAGGATAGGATAGGCACCTCTGTGATACAGGAATAGCTGTTTGTTTAAGATGTATTTACTACAAAATTAAAGATTATGTTTTCTCACTCACTGTTTTTATTACAATTTATATTGTTACATATTCTGCAGATGACAGCATGTTTGACAACGATGCCATGGTGACGAGCTACGAGGTGCTGGTCAGGAAGCATGTGGTAAGAGATGTGTTCAGCACGGAGGGGATAGATTTCCCAGGCTGATCCTGAGAATCTTAGTTCTCGCTACCGCCAAACAAAGATCTGACGACATCCCATTAGGGGTCAGGTCAGAACGACCTTTCCTCCGACCAATCAGAGAGTCGCTTACCAGATCATGTTAGTGACAGTCGGAATGTGATTTTCAATCTTGCAACCTTGAAACTTTAACAGAGGGTATTCTGAACGATAGTTACGGGTTTAACGACTGAATCCATACAGTCTCGACCATCTCATAGCCATTCCAGAATGTTCTTTTGTTCAGGTTTCAAATTTTTAATCGAGAATTTGTCAAAATATGTTTTGAAGCGTAGTCGCCAATTAGAAATTAGTGCCGTAAAGCACGAGAGAGCTGCCTTCTGATTGGCTAATGTCATCTTCTTGTCAGTCCTTCAAAAGGTCGGTCAAAGTTCGCGCAAGGTCGGTCTCACGTGACCCGTAATGGGATGTCCTCAGATCTTAGCGGTACCTAGAATTAAGATCTGGTTTTAATGAGATTGAGTTCCCCTGTACCCCCTGCTTGTAACAGTCGACTGAAATTAGGATCGGGTTGTTGTAACGTGTCAGAGGGTTGATTGTGTGTCACCTTTCCCCATCATGTTGCTTATGCTGTCAATCATACAGTGTGACATGGCTGGAATATTGCTAGCTTTGGCCTGAAATGTAAACAACATTACTCGTTCCCTCCTTAATGAAACACAACAATACATCTTAGACTAAAAAAAAATTAGTCTTGGTTCTTAGGCACCACCCGCATCATCATAAAGTCTGCCCCACGTTTTGTTTTTATTTCCATTTTTTTTTAAAATATAAAAATCGTAATACTTAAACACAATGCACAAAAGAATTTGAAAATTGAAACAAAAACAAAACGTGCAATGAACTTTATGATGATGTGGGCAGTGCCTGAGAACCAAGACTATTATTTTTTTTAGCCTTATGATCGTTAATGTTAAATTCCCGTGAAGAACCGGGTTAGAATTGACAACCCATGTTTGCCGTAAGAGGTGACTAATGGGATCAGGTGGTCAGACTCGCTGACTTGGTTCATACATATCATTGTATCCCAATTGTGTGGAGCGATGCTCATGATGTCAATCACTGGATTGTCTGGTCCAGATTTGATTATTTACAGACCGCAGTCATATAGCTGGAATATTGCTGAGTGCGGCGTTAAACAACAAACAAACCAACAAAATATTGAAAGTCAGATAGTACTGCTGTAGATGTCATTGCTTTAATGATGTACATGATAAATTTGAAATTCTATTTTTTAGGAAGCGTTTATGGCAAGTGCGCAGGAATATGCACAAATCACAGAGCTTTCAAAGCGTGTTGCTGATTGGGAAGAGAAAATAGTTCCTCGGTTACGAGAGGAAGAACAGCATGAACCGTTCGACATTCACAAGTATGGCACCTCGGTGATGGACAACCTCTCCAAGACTCAAACGATTCCCTTCAAACGGATAGCAGCAGGAAAACCAGAGTTTGAAATATGTCGCCTGTTCCTAGCAACGTTACAACTGGTAAGTAGATGAGGGAGACTATACAGTACATCCTACACTTCATCCTGTATCGGGGGGCCCGGGTGGCCCAGTCGTCTAAGGCGCCGCGATTCGCTGTGCAGAGTTGCGTCCCTTTGGCACGCCAGAAACCTATGATTGTGGGTTCGAATCCCGGTTCGCCCCGATTATGTTTCTAGGTTTGTCAGCACCATACCCGTGCTCGTGGGTTTCACCGAAGTGGTAAACGTCTGAGACCTGCATCACTTCGGGCTTTCCTCCCACATTAAGCTGACACGCCGCGATGTAACTGGAATACTGTTAAAAGCGGCGTTCAACCAAACTCACTCACTCAATCATCCTGTATCGAGGCATGTTTCACAAACTTTGTTTGTTTGTTTTGTTGTTTTACGCCGCACTCAGCAATATTCCCCCTATATGACAGCGGTCTGTAAATAATAGAGTCTGGACCGGAAAGTCCAGTGATTGACATCACGAACATCGATCCACGCAATTGGGATGCGATGACATGCATCAACCAAGTCAGCGAGACCACCTGATTCCATTAGTCGCCTCTTACAACAAGCATAGTCGCCTTTTACATGGGTTGCTAAAAAAACAATGCTTACCCGGATCTTCACTGATGTTTCACAAACTGTTTGAATTATCATCACACTAGAATTGGTACTGATCAATATTTTCACATTATCATATGAAGTTCAGTATTTGAATGGTTTTTAATGTTGTCTTAAAATAACATTTACATTGTACTTTGACTAGGGAGACTTGATTGTGTAGTTGTGGCCTCATTGTGTTCATGCTATCAACCACTGGTTTACAGGTCACAGAGTCAGTGTGTTCAGGCCACAGTGGTCTATAGCTGGTATATTGTCAACAACATTCACTTGATTCATCAACTGATTGTTCCATGCTCTTGTCATGTATTTGTCATGTATTTGTCATGTTCATGTCATGTTCATGTTTATGTCATGTTTATGTCATGTCATGTTTATGTCATGTTTATGTCATGTCATGTTCATGTCATGTTTATGTCATGTTCATGTCATGTTCATGTTTATGTCATGTTTATGTCATGTCATGTTCATGTCATGGTCATGTCATGTTTATGTCATGTCTATCTGTGCAGGCCAATGTGGGCAACCTGGAGATCAGCTGCCAAGGGACACTACATGAGGGCATGGACAAGATGGCGCTGCAACTCATCTCAACAAAACGACACTTTGAAGAACTAGCAGAGTATCAGGCTCCTTCGGCAAAGTAGATCATGATATTTAAATACTGTACATAGCTGTATAGCATTGCGTAGGCGTGGAATGGGTCCCGCTGTAGAAGTGGATGAGGGGGAGATGATAAGGAGAAAGGAGAAAAAATATGTTGGTCCACCAGAAAATTACACTGGTCCACTAGACAATTACACTGGTCCACCAGACAATTACACTGGTCCAATAGACAAATACGCTGGTCCACTAGACAAATATGCTGGTCCACCAGACAATTACACTGGTCCACCAGACAATTACACTGGTCCACTAGACAAATATGCTGGTCCACCAGACAATTACACTGGTCCACTAGACAATTACACTGGTCCACTAGACAAATACGCTGGTCCACTAGACAAATATGCTGGTCCACCAGACAATTACACTGGTCCACTAGACAAATACACTGGTCCACTAGACAACTACGCTGGTCCACTAGACAAATATGCTGGTCCACTAGACAAATATGCTGGTCCACTAGACAATTACACTGGTCCACGAGACAAATACACTGGTCCAATAGACAACTACGCTGGTCCACTAGACAAATATGCTGGTCCACCAGACAATTACACTGGTCCACTAGACAACTACGCTGGTCCACTAGACAAATATGCTGGTCCACCTAGACAACTACACTGGTCCACTAGACAAATATGCTGGTCCACCAGACAATTACACTGGTCCACTAGACAACTACGCTGGTCCACTAGACAAATATGCTGGTCCACCTAGACAACTACACTGGTCCACTAGACAACTACACTGGTCCACCAGACAATTACACTGGTCCACTAGACAACTACACTGGTCCACTAGACAAATATGCTGGTCCACCAGACAATTACACTGGTCCACTAGACAACTACGCTGGTCCACTAGACAAATGCACTGGTCCACCAGACAATTACACTGGTCCACTAGACAAATACACTGGTCCACCTAGACAATTATGCTTGTCCAATAGACAAATACACTGGTCCAATAGACAACTACACTGGTCCACTAGACAAATACACTGGTCCACTTAACAAATACACTAGTCCACTAGACAAATACACTAGTCCACTAGACAAATACACTGGTCCACTTAACAAATACACTGGTCTACTAGACAAATACACTGGTCCACTAGACAAATACACTGATCCACTAGACCAATACACTGGTCTACTAGACAAGTCCCTGTAAACGATAATCAGGAAGTGTAAGTTTCTAATTATGCCTTTTGGGGGGGCTACTGTCTATATGAAATGTCCTCCCTTCAACAGACAAACTTGGCAAATTATTAGTGATATGGTGTGAAAAGTAAGTGAAAAAAAAAGTCGTGAAATCTAGACCAGTGTTTTTCTGAATGTGTAAAACACACACTCGCACGTTGAGTCTTGTTCTTGAAGAGAACCTGGTGAGAAATAGACTGTCTTGCCTTGGAATCCAGATGTGTCCCGGTGTACAGAACAATGTATACAACTGGACGAGAATCACCTGGGGATATCTATGAATGAATTTTAGTCAGCTGTATAAATATGTAGATATTTGTGTCATGAATGGCTCAATTGTTTTATATTGTTGATTGTGGCATTGTAATATAGCTCTGAACATGCATGCTCTTCATGGAACACGTTTTAATCTTGTTAATCACAGACGAAGTTAAGGGTTTTTTCCCCATGAGGATGGAGACACGTGATATTTCTTTAAATACAAAACAATGAAAATGATCATTTCTTCAGGTATTTTGCATCTTGGCTATGATAAAGAGAAAATCTTGACTTTTAATATCAAATATATCAACACGAGTTGATGAAAGTGGAAAAACTCCAAGACTTGCTGAAGAGTTTTTCCACTTTTATCAACGAGTGTTAATATATTTGATATCAAAAGACACAAGGGTGAGATTTTATTTATCATCCAACATCATTCTTCCAACCTTTTCAGTTTGTAGACAGTAATAAGCAGTGTCTTAAGTGTAAAAAGTACTGCTAACAGCTTCAGTAGAAGAGCCATTAGTGATGGCATTTGATTGTGACGTCATGGTAACCAATTGTGATGCAATTTCATTGCAGCGATATCTACAATGTAGATATAGCTTCATCTCATCTCAAGCGATATCTCCTGTGGGAGCCAGTTTTGGATGATAAATGCCAGAGCTTTAACCGTGCAAGTATCAATGCATTGCTGTACTTTGGGCCATATGAGTAGCGTGAAGTCATCTTTAGATACAAATTAGGGCTGGGACAAGTCCACATTTACTACCCGGGTACCCAGCCCACTATTACCAACCCTACCCGGGTACCCACCCCACTATTACCAACCCTACCCGGGTACCCAGCCCACTATTACCAACCCTACCCGGGTACCCACCCCACTATTACCAACCCTACCCGGGTACCCACCCCACTATTACCAACCCTACCCGGGTAACCACCCCACTATTACCAACCCTACCCGGGTACCAACCCCACTATTACCAACCCTACCCGGGTACCCGCTGTAGGTTTAAAGAGATAGGTACAAAATGTCCGATTGGGAATAGTTTGACCGTAGCCCTGGGAAAATGTATTTAGATAAACTATAAAACGATCTGGTCATGCATCAATCTCATTAAAATCAGATCTCAGTTCTCGCTAAACAAAGATCTGAAGACATTCCATTAGGGGTCACGTCAGAACGACCTTTCATCCGACCAATCAGAGCGTTGCTTACCAGATTATGAAAGTGACAGTCTGAATGTGATTTCTGATCATGTAACCTTGAAAACTTTAACATGGGGTATTCCGAACGATAGTTACGGGTTTACGACTAAATCCTTACAATCTAGACCATCTATTAGCCATTCCAGAATGTTCTTTTGTTCAGGTTTCAAATTTTTGAGGTAATCAAGAATTTGTCAAAATATGTTTTGAAGCGCAGTCGCCAATTTGAAATTAGTTCTGTAAAGCACGAGAAAGCTGCCTTCTGATTGGTCATTCCATTGGTCAGTCAAAGTTAGCGCAAGGTCGGTCTGACGTGACCCGTAATGGGATGTCCTCAGATCTTTGTTTAGCGGTAGCGAGAACTAAGATGTGATTTTAATGAGATTTGTCATGCATACACTGTAAACTTACTGAAGTCTTATCTTTATTCCAATGTATAAAAGTCAGGAGAAATGGGTGCATAGTCAAAAATGAATGCAAACATAAGTGACTTGTAGTGTTACCATGGATACTTTTTGTCATTATACAATACTTACATCACATTTCTAACCACGGGGCTGGGTAGTCGTGTGGGTACCCAGGGCCTATTCAGAACCCACCCGACCCAAAGACCCGAGTTGCCCGTCCCAGCCCTAATACAAAATAAAGAAATATACTATAATCATATATTATTTTCTGATATTGTTACGAGAGTTAGCATCATGATGAAATCAATGTTAGGTAATCGGATTGAGGTTTACTAAATTTGCCTTAAATGATTCATTCCAGTAACTACCTTTGGTGCTAAAACTATGTGCCATCATCTAGTTTTCATGTAAAGTTGTGTGTATCTGGTTATTAACATACTATTTAGATATTTTTGTCAATACAGGGATATATTATGTAAGCTGCGCATGGTATAAGCTGTGAGGTGACTGTTCGATCATAGACATCTTCCCAAGGCAAGAGAGTTAACTGACTATAAAAGTCCAGTTTCCACCCTTGCCGAACTAGGCTGGTATTATGGAGTTACATTTTGACCTGACTAACAAGTCTATGCATAGTCCAATCAAAATCACGCACCGAAATCGAAATCCGGTTCGTTAACTGTCGTGCAGATTTTGGTCGATTGCAGGATTTGCAAAGCATGTGCACCACCAACCATTGTCAGCAGATATTTTCCAAATCTTTTCATGTTTTTAATCAAGGTGCTCACGTGATTTGATGCATTTCGCGATGTAAGGCTCGTTTTATCACAATATAGATCTTGATTATTGATCAGATCGTCTTGACCAGGCGCCACCATTTTGTGTGAAGCAAACGCAAGTGATACGAGACGTGGAATCTGATTGGTCCATAGGAGAGGCATAGAAGGGACATAACTGGTAATAGCCACTGTTGGCACTACGATCGAGCCCAGGAATTTCAGCCTAGTTCGTCAAGGGTGGAAACTGGACTTTTAAAGTCAATTTTCTCTCTTGCCTGGGGAAGATGGATCATAGAAAGAAAAATGCACACACATATATCACAAGCGTGCACACACGCGCATGCACGCACACATATCATGCACAGTTGAAGTCATGATCCATCACTAGGAGGTGATATGATGTTCTGAGGTGTTTAGGAAAAACATTTAGTTTTCAAACAATGAATCTTCCCTTTACCAGTGAAATGAAACGTTTAAATGTGTTAGGGAAATATTTCTTATCAAATGCAAATTCAAACCCTATGGGTATTCCTGTTAGGATTTATCCCCAGCAATTCGCGCTTGTCGTAACAGGCAACTTCACAGTTCAAATGATCAGGCTACCTGGTTGATTGTGTGTCACTGTTCACCGACAGTGGATCATTGCTCACAATATCAATCATTGGATTGTCTGGTCCAGATTCTATTATTTTCAGGCTGTCATCATGTAGTTCCAACCATGACGATGCAGGAATATTGCAAAAAGTGGTGTAAAACCATACTCTGTCATGTAGCGAAGAAAGTGCTGAGTGCGGCATTATACAACACACAAATTCAAAAGGCTGGGTGTAAAAAACAGCTTCCTTGATTCACATGCTCTGATTTCCATTAAATATTGGAACAGATCATTGTCCTGCCCAAAGATAAAGTTTTGTTCTTTCTAGTTCTTGGAACCAAACTTAAATATTAAATTGATAATATAAATTGTGAAAATAGAACTATCATGTCAAAAATGTCATTAACATAATCAGAATGCTGAATAAATGATGCAAGAATATTAATTAAGTTATGCTTTGTGTTGGATTCAGTTACTTGTCAGATCCTAGTTTCTGTCTGTCATTCCACATCCCTGATCTCAACAAGTACCATCTTTTGGAAACTCGGGGATCAACCTGCAAACCTACCTCCCTGGACAGATGCTCAATCCACTTGATCCACGGATAGGGCTGTGACGATACCTTACTTACAATCAGCTATGTATCACGATACTTGCATGTGCTCTTATCTGTGCCATCTTTTTCATAGACAGGATGGCCAAATACCTGGCACACTGACGATTTACAGTTGGCAGTGAGAAGTATGGCACAACAAATAAAAATATTTATGTTTTCACTATTAACTTGCACTACTGATTAGTGTTTAGTGGAACAGTTATTAAAGCAAACATTTAAGGTCAGAATCATTATTTCTTACTTAGTGTGTGACTGTGATGCTCTTACCTGAGTATTGACAGGAATATTTCAAAAGCTATTGTTGCAACTTAAAGACGAGGAAAATGGGGTTTAATGCCGCGTTCAAGATTCTTGCACTCACATAGCAAGGCGAGCAGGCATGCGTTTGTTATGCCTTTATAGTGCTAGCCCATTTAGATACCATGCCACAGTTTAACATGAATATCCCACTCAGACGCAGTGTCTGACTCCAAGCCGACCAGTCCTTTTTCTATCCCCTTAATGCCGAGCGCATTGGTCAACAAGTACCATATTTAACATCTTTTAGTACAACGTGGCCAGTTATCTGACACCCGACCTTCCAGGCTCCAGGCTGACGTTATAATCACGGAGGTGCAGAGCTCCAGATAAGCTGCGTATCTGCGTAAAATACGCATCAGAAATGCATAAATACGCAGTGAAATAAAATTCAAGCGTATCAAATACGCAATGAACAGATACACTACAAAAATAAAACTAGTGAGTATCATCAAAATATTGTGAAGTAACCCTGCGTAGTCGATTAGCAAATCAGCAACTTGTTTTGAAGTTATATACGGACATTCCGTCAACCTTGCCAAACTCCACGATGACAGTTACATCATGATCATTTGCCATCACACTTTCTTGTGGAAGTATCGCGGTATTTTTGAGTCCTATAAAGCTCTCGAACCCACACGACAACAGTTTGCAGGGACTAGATGAAGTGTTTTTAAATATTTAACTTAAATACCCACATGTGTAAAAACTAGTAGGTAACAGAAATTTGAATATGCCGATAGAATTACCGATACCAAATGATTTTAAAATGCATGGGTAAAATACCCACAACAGCAAAAGCTTATCTGGAGCTCTGGAGGTGGTTCCACAAGGGAACAAGAATCCAAGGAACATGCATCGAAGAAACTGGACACAAACACACATTAACAGTCTGATTTAATTCAATTTATTAAAAGTTGTCATAACAATCACATGATACATTATGCATCAATTATTCCACTCATGAACAATAGAAAAATAAATCTGTCTGGACAGTGGAATGACCGCAATATTAGCATGTATTTATTAATTACATCAACAACTAAAAGCATGTGTTCACAGCCAGAGTTTATCAGCTACCCTACAAGGATAAATAATCCGATCAACACCAGTTTGCCTGAAATCAAACACCCGACCAGTTCAGTACCCAAAATGCCAGAATTCAAATCAGAGCAGAAACAAATGTCACCACAGACGTGACAATCCAACTACTGAAATCCACAACCAGGAGGCCGAATAACTATAACAATCAGCAAGGATCCCAGGAATAATGTTTATCATAGAATTTGTTGATCTGGCAAAGCATATTGCTTGAATTTCAGCACACAAATGCTTTGAGACAAAACCATTACGAGGTCATAGGAATTCACTGGCCATTCTGAACATGCAACTGTGACGTCATTCTATTGTTTGAGCTCTCCATTATTTTTAATCGACAGTTAATTGTGTTCTCTGTCGCAAGTGCTCAGTTGCGAGCGGATCTTTACAGTTTATGTTTAATGGCTCCTTAGAATGTTTTGGCAAAGTTCAAGAGTAAGATGTGTTTTAAGTAGTGGAATATCCTTGTAACTCTCAATTCCTTAAAAAAATGGGCATCGGCTCCGTTATTTTTAAGGAATGGAGAGTTACTCGGACATTCCCTTCTACGTAAAACGAATGCAACTATAAGTCATCATGCAAAATTATAGAGAAATTTTTATCAACCATAATATGGTTTAAGTTTAAGGAATCTGAATCTGAATCTGTTGCCAGATTGATGGTTCTACTTCTGGTATCACCAGATTCTCACGTCTCCATCACACATCTCTATTCATAAGTATTCTAAAAAAATTTCATGAAAGATATAACTACCCTTGAAGCATGGATCTCTGTCAAGACATAGGATAAAGTGAAAACAGTACATAAACCCAAACCATCAAGCCAATGTTGGATGAAGATGAAAGAATATTCTCAAGGCCAAATCCTTCCCGAAGCTCAAAGTAGAGGCTTTGACTAACAACATTTTAGTTCTGTCATTTACTGCCACAAATATTGTTTCTTAAGCCATCAGTAATCCAAACTTGTCAATGTTGTTGTCCAGTCATATCATCCATACAAATTGCAATTGTACATAGCAATTATAAAAACTGTCTTTCGTGTCATTAACTAGAAATAATTGATGCTAAATTAGAACATACAGGAAGGATGGACCAGTGTCGCAACTGCAGAGTTTCCTCCCTTTATAAACCAGGATCAGCAAACTGGGATAACAAATCCAAGATAGCCTATGTACCTAGATGTGCTGGCTCCTCACTCTATGCTTGGGGGGTTCCACTAAACTGATTAATGTCGGACCTGAATTATCCAAGACCCTGATTTATCTGAAATACTGTTTAAAGCGGCATAGCTCTCCACTGTATATTCCGACAAACACTAATATCATTGCAGCAATTTCTTTTCCTGAGTACAAGCAACACTTTTTTAATAACATGGTGTTTAATGATCCTCGGTTATTCAGTGTATCAAATTCCATTCCATACTGTAGATCCATTTGCAACCTACTTTATTTGGAGGACAGTGAGGCAGCCTGGTGGCTACAGCGATGTCCGTTGCGCCGAAGGCATGGGTTTGATTCTCCATATTGGTACAATGTGCGATGCCCATTTCTGGTGTCCCCCGCCATGATATTGTTGGAATATTGCTAAAAGCGACATAAAATCCAACTCACTTTATTTCAAAGGTATGACTAGCACCTATCAAAGTCCAAACAGAAATGATCCCATACAAGACAGTGATTTTATTGGATCACGCATGGCTATTTTTAGCACTGTGTCATTCAAACCGGGACTCAAAACAAAGCCATAGTAGAATCAAGGGCACTTTAAAAACAGAATGGTGAAATAAAACACTGGAAAACTGAGGATATTTTCATCTTATGTGAGGTAGGGACAATAATTGTCATAACTTATAAATTAAAGATTCAAGATTAAAATACTAAATACTAAAAACATAAAGGATTTCCTTATGTCTAACAACAAGTGAACAAGAGTAGACATGAACATGAATTAAGTCAAAATATTGATAACATATTCAGATATACACTGCATAATAACAAACAGTCTGAAATTCAATGAAGTTAATATTAGGCAAACTGGCTCAGGCGAACACATTAATATTAAACTGGCTTCAGCTGATCATGGTTGTATCCGTCTAAAATGTTCTAGAGTAATATATAACCGACAAATGTTGACACAATATAGCATAATGCTAAAGTTTATGTCAATTATTGTGAACTATTAGCATAGATAAATTAACATATGCCTTTTCTAACTACTTATCTGTACTTTCATTTCACATACCTCAAACCCTTTTATCCAAGAAAACAAAATTTGTCCATTTGTGAAGAGGCATGTTAAAAGTATGTCTTGAAGTCATGCTTAGCCAATCAAGGTGTAACTGTTAACCGACAGGTATTTTAACCTTTGAATCTTGGCACTTTGGTCTTGAAAAACAGAATAACAAATAAAATACGGGGCCTGACTTTACCACCGTAGTGAGACAAAACTGTCTGGTAAAAGTATCCATAACAATCACGAACTTATCATCAGCTCGTGATTTAAAACTCATCAACTGTCAAAGGTTCTCGTCCGACCACATCAGCTAGCACGTGAAACAGACATTTTGCACTAATCACACTATTTCACATACGGTATTCGACTGATAAGCGCCCCGCTCTAATAAGCGGCAACATTTGTTAAGATATTGGCTAGTGAACAATACCAATTAGCACCCCTTCCGATTGATCAATGTACACAAGACTTTTTTATTCGCGTATAATACGCACTTGTATAGGCATTTAATTCTGGAAAATATATCTGTCGTACATAAACATTTCAGGCTGTCAGCATAAACCACGAAATTTATCTTTCAACGCTGTTTTTTTCCACCAAAATAACATTCTAATAGAGCCCCCTATTTCTAATTTTGAGAGCGCCCTGGGCGCTTATTACGTCGAATACGGTAATAAACAAGACTGGAAGAATGTCCTGATTGTAATCACATATTTGACTTTTAATCTAATTAATAAATGGTCTGAACAGTGTTTTTAATGTACTTGTCAGGTTAAAATAACCAATTCTTTGTGATGCCACAGATATGATTGTAGGTTGAGGTGATAACGCACAAAGTATTCAACTCTTAAGAGTATACTGTTGTAGAGCTGTCAGAAGTCACTGTTAATATCTCAGGATCAATGCACATTTCATGTATAAATTGGAATATATCACAACATATTGACCGATTTCAATTAAAAAATCATAGCAAAATTGAATACATTATTAAATGTAATTTCCAAGAGCTCTGCACGACTTGGGTAAGAACAATTATCATCACTGATAATTATCAATATTATACTTAACATTAACCATGTTAAAAAATGTTCTGGCATGGTTATTCAATAGTTTCAGTAAATAGAATCTTGATACATTTTTTTACGACAGCCCTCTGGTCTTAAATATCCTATTAATGCGATGACAATTATCAACACTGGTGACTTATCAGAACGACCAATGGCCACAACCCATCAACGCTGTTGACTGTAGCATGAAATGAGACATATAAATCATTAACACACACCTGGAGGAAAATTGCATGGCCCCATTTCAAATAGTTAACACAACAGCACCACAAGGAGTGAATTGCATATCATTGAGCTGCCATGAATATCACAGAGGAAGGTTGACAAGAGTTCAAAATCACAACGTGACCGACACCAGTTTAGTGTTTTTCAGTCTTGAATCGCTCTTCATAAACACACTGCCTATGTTTTGAGTCCAACACTGGGACTACCACAGTCTCAACATCCTGTGTTCTACGCTTGAAGCGGTCTCTGTCCCGTACATAATTTTCCCAATGTCCTTTGCGAGCTGCCTGGTATGCATACGACCAGTGTATCATTGGGTGAACCACTTTCAAGTCCTTGTCGTCAGGGAAATGAACCTGCAAGATACAGATAATGATATATCAGCATCACCTATTGTGATCATGACAACTTAACAAAATTAAGATTCCCCATTGTTCCCAAGTACAGTAGCGAGTTGGGTTTAGCGTCGCTTTCAACATTATTACAGTTATATCACGGCGTGTCAGCTTAATGAGGGAGGAAAGCCCGAAGTGATGCAGGTTTACCACTTCGGTGAAACCCACGAGCATGGGTATGGTGCTGACAAACATAGAATCATAATTGGGGCGACCATGTACAGTAGAAAGCAGAACTAACACAGCCCTGAACAGTAGCTCAGTTATATCTCAGCATGTCAATTTGATATGTTTGTTTGTATGTTGTTTAACGTTGCCCTCAGCAATATTCTGGCTATATGATGGCAGTTTGTAAATAATCAAGTCTGGACCAGAGAATCCAGTGATTGACATCATGAGCATCGATCCCCTTAGTCACCTCTTACGACAAGCATAGTCGCCTTTTAGGGCAAGCATGGGTTGCTGAAGACCTATTCTACCCCACATCTTCACAGGTCATGTCAAACCCAAAATCACAGGCATGGTGGAGATATACTGCAGAAATTAAAAACATAATCAGGTTGACCCCTGATCATAGGTTACCTGCATGTCTAACTCTACACTCAACATGACCCCTTAAACATCTGGGCGACCAGAATAAAACATACATTAATTTGAAAGAATTGATACACAACATAAAACCTGAAAATCTTAACCATGTTAATAATGAATTGTGAGGATGCAAAATATAACATATTATGGTCTTTTTTCTTTGCTCATCATAGTGTTTTTGATAGATTCCCGGCCCTATCATGTTTCAGTATCACATACAAATACTTTTCTCACTTCACAAAGCCTGAGGTATCAGCATTCAGGGATTTATCTAGTATCTAAGACACGTATTTCAAAACATGCAGTAGCAATTGGCACTAGTCCTATAGTCCTTGCTGGGTAAGAACTAAACTCAAAAGCTTCACTAAGTGAGCCCCGGTAAAGATAAAAGACTTAGTAATGTTAAAACAATGGGGAAATTTGTACCAGCCTGAAGGAATTTGTACTAGCCTCAGGCTAGCGGGCTAGTGTTAATTTCTAACTCTGCCTTGCCGAAACTGTAAGGTATCATAAAAGGACTAGAAGAATTTTGCCATTTTTAAGGGTTTAGCTATATGTTATCGTCATATAAACTAAAAATGAGTTTCTAGCACTGTGCAATATATTGGCAGACAATTGAAGAACACATTATTTTGTCAAAAGTTAGGATCCTTTTAGAAGTTTTTTTACCAGCAGTTGAATAAATTCAGCAATCATGAATGTGATGTGATTTTTCTTCATCACGATCATTGGTGCTGGTATCAGCATCATCAGTGATATACTTGTCAAATTTCAAATATTTGATTAGTAATAATTACACCTAAATATTCATAAACCCAATATGAGATCTTAGATATAACTTAGGTGTAATTATGTTAAAAACCTTTATACCTCATTTAATAATGCTACAATGTACCAAATAAAACGGATATCTAATGACCCAAACACTTGCATACCTTTTTCTTAGATTTTTTTAGATTTTCTGGAGATCCCTCTTTGAGGGAAATATGAATGTTCCATGAAGCATTGATATCCTCGAGAGTCTTGTCTCCATCACCGCAACTTTGAAGAGGTGAAATGTGGACCTGAAAATTGATGGGTGAAGGTTCTGTTTTCTTGCTCTTGGGGAGAAAATTTAAAAGATCACATTGTGAAAATGTGCCCTGAAAAGGACCAAAATCAATTTCATCCTCATCCTCTTCATCCCAGTCTCCATTATCACTGTCATTATCATTAAAACAAAATGTATACTCAGAGCTGGAGCCATTTGGCACTTTGGGTGATGCTGGACTAGGCATAAGGCCAAGGACGAAGGACACGGATGCACATCGTTTGGATTGCATATCCTTGCTAGCATCTCTCAGTTTATGGGGGAGATCATCTTCACAATCATCCACACAGGTTTCACTGCAAGATTGGGTATCAGGTCCATTGCAAGAACTAGCAGATCTAGCTTTTAAAATCTTCCTCCTACGCTGTTTTCTGGATGAAGGGCGACCTTTTTTTCGATTCTTTCGAATGAAAAGAACATGAATATTTGAGTCTTTTGCAGCACTATCACGGCCTTTCTCATTGTTGGAATTCATATCATCTACCTTGGAAGGCAAGGATTCCTCATTCTTGTTAATTTCTGGTCTAACCAGAGGCTGTCTTAATTCTTGTGCACCTACTTCTAAACCACTCACTTTTCCTCTTTTGACACTGTTATCAGACACAGAATTCTCCCTCGAGTCTGTCTTTTCACCAGTGTTTTTGTTGTCTTCATCATGGTCATCTAATATAGATGATACACAATCTTCAGGTTTTACCTGAATCTTGCATTGGTCAATAATATCCATGTTTCTGCTATCTACTTGTTTTGATTTTGGAACACTTTGTTGTGTGTGTTTCTTCATGGCATCATTGGAATGTTTTGATATATCCTCAGACTGAGTTTTTCCATGCTTCATTTCAATCGATGAGCTTGGCGATACCACATCTTCTGAAAGACTAGTCGTACTGTCAATCTTTGAATGTTCCCGTTTTTGATGTTTGGGGGAATGGCCTCTGTGACATCTTTCCTGCTTTCGCTGCCTCTGGTTCCAAAAACGATCTTCAATTTGGTCAACTTGGGATGAAAACCCATTGACAAACTGACACACGTTGAACACGCCCATATTGCCTTGACCATGGAATGGATAGTATCCAGCATTGAAGGAGTTGCTAAACTGATGACATGGAAACACAGCAAAGGCCGCAGTATTTACACCCCTGAGTCCTTGTCCATTGTAGTTCCATCCAGAAATACCACATTGTGGTTTCTGGAATTTCTGATGAGGTGTTTTTGGATTCATTTTGTCGGCAGCCCTCTCAGATAAAAGATCCCCGGTGAAACATTCAAACATGTTCTGCGTACACTCAAAATTAGTATTTGTCTTCGAATTTGCGAAGTTGTTGGCGCCTGTCAGACTATTGTTGACATTGAAAAACCTTTTGTTGGTGACCCAGTTCTTCATCTTGAAACTGCTATCGCTTCTCGGTGTAGACGCTAACTGCGCTTTATCTCTCTGGGAAGTATGGTCGACTGATGAAACCTCGCCGGTACTGTCCAACCTTAACAAAGGTTTCGCGTTTGACCATGAGACGTGCCCTGGCGCACAAGCGGAACTGTTTCCCCGCCATTGTCGACCATATGTCTGCATAGCAGTAGGATTTCTACGACTTATTCAGTTCTTAGCCTGCCATTCTGGTGCGAGAGTAATCAAATAAAAAGCGACGGGATACACAAACATATTGTCATTAACAGACACACTAGAATATCCATGAGAACCCATCATATCCTGGTTACACATATTGTCCGTCCAAACACGAAATCGATGATTGAGATTTGGTGGCTTCGACTGGTAACCGTGTGTTTTCTCTTCTTCTGTCGTGGATTCAACTTTGTTAAATGATTTGACTTCTTCCTCTGTATATTTTCTTCTCAGATCCATTATTTTCTCAGAGCTGTATACATTAAATTCTTGACTTTTCGTTAGAGTTATTGAATGAACACATGATTTCAGCTGCTTACTCATATACCGATAGGTTGATCACCGCAATCGTGATGCGCGGAAGTAACATAGTTCGTTATATATGTCGTGGCTATGTATTCAGATGATATTTTGTGAAGGTATGATACATGAAAATATCTCAATAACGCCTTTTGAAGAAAATTTGTCAGTTACGTTGCATATAAGACATCGTCATCTGAAAGTTACCTAAACAGCGTAGGGATATTTGCTACTTCCGCAACCACCTGCAAGGTCAAGGTTGTCGGCAAAATTGCATCAGATTTTCGTCGCAATGTCGGTAATCATTGAGGACGATACTTACAAGTTCGTTAAATGGAAATAGTTAAGAAAACATTCAAACAACATCCTACAATTAAAATAAAAGGTTTATTACAACTCACAAAATTATTTCAGTGTGGTAAAACAGATTTAGAAAATACGTCTATATTTAGATCTGTCAAAGGTCATTAGGGAAATTTCTCGTTAAGACCAGTTGATTCACGATAAATGATAACATATATGGGCAGTTATATAATTCTAAATTTAACTTTTAAAATTTAATTTTTATTTTGAGTGTTTTTTTTTACAGTGATGTTTATGAATTCCTAAGTTTGTATTCGTTAAACCAAAACGTGGGAAATAAGTGAGGCTAGTCGATCGAGAGAAAAAAATCTATTTTTAACTTTTAACAAGCAAGCGACGTGGTTCGTGACATCTCGGCCGTTGCCTTCTACGCAGTAGTGTGACGAAATCTACGTAATTTATTAGTCAGGTATTGACAGACACAAAATACATATACAAACATGAAAATCTAGAATGAGTGTTTTTACATTCTTATTAAAACACAAACACATATGTGGCCAACCATGAGCTAAGGGACCTAATGGGTGACAATTACATTTTGATTTCTTAATATATTTTAAAACTACGGTATCTTAGGACCATAAAAAAAACAATCCATGAGTTTTATTTCATACGTATTACTGAGACACATGTCATCAAACATTTGGACTCATTTTCAGACTCATGATATATTGTTTATGTAATGATTGCAGTTTTTAAATATAGTATCTGCTTAATTGAAAGTAGACATGTAAGCTGTAATATTTTTAAATTGTTTTATTACATTACGAACTAACGAAAAAGAAACAGGATATTTGTACAGTTCTGACAGGGCAATTTTTACGTAAGTAAGTTGATCAGTCTCACGTTCGGCTATTTCCGTCAATCCCGGAAACAAATCTGGTTATGCCATCGCCCCCTGTTGGCAGATTGACGAAAACCACAATAGTCGAATGACGTCAACAATCTTCTTTTATGACGTCATTTCTAGTGTGACGTCATTCCGATAAGAATCAAATGACATCAACGATGAATGCAGGATGACGTACGTAATCATGTGAAGTGATATTTGCCATAGTGCACATACGATTTTAATTAACTCGGTTATTTCCAACGCTGTAGGTTATAATTAAGAATTCTACCATGAATTTGGAATTTACTCGATTCTGATTGGTCAATCAGAGGCTATTAAATCACAATAAACCCCCTCTGATTGAAACAGCTGGTTTGACGACCGCATCACCATGGAAGCTAATATTCTTAGACGAGAGGGTTTTTCAGCGTACAATAAAACGCTTCAGGGAGAATAAACTAAAAGGGGCACGCCGATAAACATGTACAATAAACAGTTTCGTATGTGAGATGTCATCATTATTTACAGCCTCTTGATAATGAAATTTACAAGCTTTAAATATATTTACACGTATTAAAAAAATGCTGACTCCTTGAATACAATCCGATCTCGGCAATGTCGGACAAGTCCATTTTATGAAGGGGTGGGGTGCAAGTTTTGTTTCCAATATTTTCATGTCGTTAGTCTGGTCTAGACTCCATTGTTAGAGAGAGAGGGGAATCCGAAGTTCTGAATAATGAGTGAGTGAGTTGGGTTTAACGTCGCTTTTAACAGTATTCCAGTCATATCACGGCGTGTCAGGTTAATGTTGGAGGAAAGCCCGAAGAGTTGCAGGTATCACACATTTACCGCTTCGATGAAACCCACGAGCTAGGTATGGTGCTGACAAACCTAGAAACATAATCGTGGCGAACCAGGATTCGAACCCACTATCATAGGTTTCTGGCCTGCCCAAGGGACGCAACTCTGCACAGCGAATCGCGGCGCCTTAGACGACTGGGCCACCCGTGCCCCCCCTGTAGTCAGTTAACTCCCTTGCCTTGGGAAGATGCAATAAACCGGAAATAAAAACGTGTGGCCGCATTCCCCTACAGTATGCACGTGTTACCCCGTCTTAATCGACATCCGGGTATTTCGTGCACTATTCGGTCATAAAGACAAAAGAGGCATCAAATAATATACCAATTTCGATGTATTTAGTGATGTAATGTTATATTTATCTGAAAAAAACACAAAAAATCAAGAGAAAAATAACACTTAATGCCGGAACTACTTTCAAGTTTCCTTTGGAACACTCTGGTTTCAATATATATAGGGCAGTTTTTTTCACACTCCCGCGCAGTGATGACTTAGCATTTCACTTAGGCTGGTCGCATGGAACTCTGGGTAGGAGAGTGAGTTTGCTTTTCTTGTTAACTTAATCAAGTGACCTGACAAATTTCATAGTTATTATTATTCGCACAGCCACGTGTGTGAAAATGTTAACCGTTTCTGGTTAAGAGAAGAGTTAACATGTTTTATTCACAGGAAAATAAAAAATATCACACGCACACACACGAATTCCCTAACACCAGTCATTTAACCTGCAATTTCCGCTTATTTAGACTTGCATAGCATATTGATAGAATTACAATAATTCCATGGATTTATCATTAAGTACAGCCGTGGACAAGGCCAGGTAGACAGGAGGCTAGTCTTGAACAGACACGTATATGACCCCCATGGTTAGGCGCAGAGCGTTGTGGGTGGCGGACGTGCTCCGAGGTGCGTAGCCAGGCCAAGATAACAAGCATACATGCAGGATCGCATTAGGCAGGAGGGTGACCTGTAATGCTCTCTTTATCAAGTAAACAACAAAAGCACTGCGTGCGTAGAGTAAAAGCAGCACCGCTATTGATTTCATAATGCATACGTGTAACGGTACATGTATATACAGCGAACGATTTTACCGCTAGGGTACCCCACCGCCCATCATCTTATTACGAAAGCCCGTTAGGATCATATTGGTATTTTGTTTTTTCTCTTTTAAAAGTCGTAATTACGAATTTTCAAAACTCGTAATTACGAGAATTAAGTCGTAATTATGACTTTATAACGCATAATTACGAGAGAAAAAGTCGTAATTACCACTTTTGCAATGATGATGAAAATCACCGTGATATAATGACAAAGCAATTAGTAGAATCTTATTATAAACTATTTTTTCTCGTAATTACGACTTTTTCTCTCATAATTACGACTTTATTCTGGTTTTATTACGAGTTGTGAAAAGTCGTAATTACGACTATATTCTCGTAATTTCGAGTTTTGGAAAGTCGTAACTACGAATGTTTTCTCGTAATTACGACTTTTAAAAGAGAAAAAAAATTATACCAATACAGTCCTTATGGGCTTTCGTACATTAGGACCATATTGGTATTTTTTCTCCTTTAAAAGTTGTAATTACGAGAAAAATGTCGAAAAAAATTGCTTATAAAAGGCAGTATAAAAGGATGATTCTTCCACTTCCAGTTGTAACGTGTTGAGTCACTGCACCCGAAACAGTTCTATTTTCGTTTGCCCATCGTATGGGTTTAAAATTGCCATACCTATCTCTGTTTACTACAAACTATGGATGTATATATATGATACTTTATTAATTCATGGTGTTGAAATTCTTCTGTTATCACTCATTATTGTATTGATGTATTAAATAATTTAACGAAAAATACATTTCCCTGGTTATGTATTCGGAGCTCCCATTCACACAAATAGATACTAATTGTAGTAGGTACGTTACAAAGTAATGTGGAAATTATAAAATGTATGTTAATAGTGATATCTTTCCAGAGGAACAAGTTCGTGGTTTGATTTGTCATGAATAGTTAAATTATACACAAAGAAATATAAAAATTAATCTTTCTATACATCTAGTGATAGTGTAAATTGTAGTGTAATTGGAATCAAGTTTTGGTTTAAAGTTTAAAGGTTTAAGTTTTCTATAATATAAATACTATAGTATATAAAAACATCTTTGAAAATGTGACCCAAAATGACGAAACTATAACTACAGCATGAAACATACAATCTGAACTCTCTGTGATATTCAGCAAACCCCCTTTGTATTGATATAAACTTGTAAGTATGTCAGTGATTAAAAATGTGCTTGGCGCTTCAGCCGTTTCACCATTACTTTAAGGGAGAGAGAGGGGTTGCGTCAAAGTTGACCTATGAATATGGTTACGTATTCTAAAGGGGCAATTATCTTTTAAGCCCCGTTCATGCGCTCCCTCCATAAAATCCCAAAAGTCACCAACTGTATCTTCCGCAATTGTAGGCACAATGATGATGAAAATCACTGATATAATGACAAAGCAATAAATAGAATCTTATTATAAACTATTTTTCTCGTAATTACGACTTTATTCTCGTTATTACGAGTTTTGAAAAGTCGTAATTACGAATATTCTCGTAATTTCGAGTTTTAAAAGAGAAAAAAAAAAATACCAACATGGTCCTAGTGGGTTTTCGTATGTTACGGCACCGCAATCGCATGTGCAGAGCTTTTTTCGACAGCAGACTTACTAGCTCATATCAGCGGGAAATAAGCTCCGATTTCGAAACGCTGGTTAGTTCTGACGTTGGTTCGGTTGGTTCAATTTGCCAATTTGTAAACTGAATAAAATTAAGAGAGTTGCTGAAATTTGATGAGGGAATTGTCTTGCAGAAGAGACCATAAAATATTTTATGGTCTCTGCCTGCAGTGATGACGATCTTTGTGAAAGTTCTATCTCAGAAACTAAAAGATGGGTTCACTTAGACATACATTTTCCCGTATCTACACATAGGTCAAGTCATTAAGCGTTTTCTAAATTAGTGGTAAGACTGTTACAAACCGTTTGGCCCGTGAAGATCCGGGGTAGAAGAGGTCTTCAGCAACCCATGCTTGCCGTAAAAGGCGACTAACGGGATCGGGTGGTCAGGCTCGCTGACTTGGTTGATGCACGTCATCGATCCTAATTGTGTGGATCGATGCTCATGATATGAACCACTTGATCTGTTATTTACAGACTGTCGTCATATAGCTGGAATATTGCTGAGTGCGGCGTTTAACAACAAACCAACCAACCAACCAACAAACAAACCGTTTTAGTATACCTGTGTCTGACAGGTATGTTGAAGCACTGTGAAATTCGGCATTTTCCCGGGGCGGTGAGTTAGCCTAGTTGTTAAAGTGTTCACTTTGTAATACCGAAGGCCGTGGTTCGATTTCCCACATGTGTACAATGTGTGAAGCCCATTTCTGGTGTAACATCTAACTCACCTACTAGGTATTTTCTCAAAGCACTGAGAGTAAGTCAGATGTATAGTAAAAGCAGCATCTGCCCGAGGCTATAAAAGTCCAGTTTCCACCCTTGCCGAACTATAGCTTGCAATTATGGAGTTATATTTTTGCTGGACTAACAGACAGACAGTTTATTTAGTAATTTAGGCATCAAGGCCCCTAGTACAATGCAGATTGGATATTAACATTTGTTACGTGATGTACATGATTAGATTTGAAATCTAGTTACACATTCCTCATTTTAAAGACATGTTTTAGAAATACAGAAACAGCATGGATCATATCAGGATTTTCAGAGTTTAGCAGATTTATCATTAACTGGCGGTCTTTAAAATACCTTGCAACATGGGGAGAAATATATACCTTAAATGGGAATACGTTTCACATATAAGTAAGACACGGTATTCATCCTCTACTTCTCTTGATGAACAGTTTGTACAAACAGAGCTCGCAATATCACCGTTTTTGGACCTGCGACATACATTTACATTAAAATTGTGTAATGAAATTCTAAGTTTACAATAAGCTCTTTTTAAATTTTTATCATTTAAACAAGTTAAATATCTTTCAGTTTGTAACAATGATTTTACTTTGCTGTAATTGCTGAGATAAAGTGATTCTGAAATACTTTGGTGCCACTGTTGACAAAATATATCCTTTAGTCTTTGCTTAAATGAATATTAAAATAACTGTGGATCTCCCACATCTTGGGAAGTCCATACATATGAAAAGCCACGAACAAATAATAGATTACTCACATCTGAAACCCAATTATTTTTACTGTTATCATCAAGTACCTTTAACATCATGTAACACTGATATGGGTATCTATCAGGCATCATTCTAAGTAACTTAATCCAATTCGCTATGCTGAGTTGCCTTCTTTTGGGTACACCAGAAAAAGACTATGATCGTGGGTTCGAATCCCGGTGCGCCCCGATAATGTTTCTAGGTTTGTCAGCACTATACCCGTGCTCGTGGGTTTCAATGGAGTGGTGAACGTCTGAGACCTGAATCCATTCAGGCTTTACTCCCACATTAAGTTGAGTGAGTGAGTGAGTGAGTGAGTGGGTGGGTGGGTGAGTGAGTGAGTGAGTGAGTGAGTGAGTGAGTGAGTGAGTGAGTGAGTGAGTGAGTGAGTCAGTGAGTCAGTCAGTGAGTGAGTCAGTGAGTGAGTGAGTCAGTCAGTCAGTCTTGAATATTGGTTAACGCCGCATCAGCAATCTTGCAACTTTTCAGGGCGAGACCACCCCCACCCTCGGTCTGATGCATGGAAGAAGGGTTTTAAGGAATGTCTGTTCTGTCACTCCAACAATATTTTAAATAAAATCACGTGGATGTTAGTTATCTTCGGCACAGTCCTCTCCCAAGGGCCAACAGTAGTCCCACAGACCCTCGAAATTTTATGAATCCAACTCAAGTCTAGAAAAAAATTGTCAAGTCTAGAATGCCCAAGCTGAAATTAAGCATTTTATATTTTAGTTTGTAGATACATATTTTTTTTTAAATAACACAACTTTATTTCTGGGCCTAAATGTTAGCCTAGGCCAGTAGTATAGTAATCCAATCATTTTGAAGTGAAGGAGTGCATTTCAGTTCACTAGCCATGTACAAGTATGACTGACATTCGCACCTGTTAAAGGACCATCAAAGTATTGGCGAGTGGTCAATTAGTTAAAAGCCATTGGAGTTTCTGTACAGTATAAATACAGACTACTGGAGGATTTAACGATGAATGCAATGACTCACCCGTGAAGATTCCGGGTTAGAATAGATCTTCAGCAACCCATGCTTGCCGTAAAAGGCGACTATGATTGTCGTAAGAGGTGACTGACGGGATCGGATGTTCAGGCTCGCTGACTTGGTTGATGCATTTCATCGTATCCCAATTGCGTGGATCAATGCTTATGATGTCAAACACTGGATTGTCTGGTCCAGATTCGATTATTTACAGACTGCAGTCATATAGCTGGAATATTGCTGAGTGCGGCGTTAAACAACAAACATACAAAGCACGTGACTCCATTTGTAACGAACATTTATCTGGCTTTAACTACTTGTCCGTCTCTTGTCGTCTAGGTTAGAACATCGATTTATATTGGCCGCCAACTGTTCACAGACTTTCGTAACGACCCTCTGGTGGTCGTCACATTGAATGTAATTACTTTTAAGGGCAGGGCCTATGTAATATACTTTTGGTTCCTTAAGCGGATTCTTTTTACTTCGTTACATGTATTTTTTTGTTCAATAATATAATCGGTATAATTTGAAAACGGTGTATTTATATGATGGTCACGCTACCGACAAACTATTTCACCATTCGTATGCAATCTGACTTATCTCCCCGGAAACACGTGTGCGCCCTCTTTCCCCTCCGCTTTTACAGTCGGTGGTGGTGCAACTTGCTTGGTCGTGTCCTATCGGGCTCATCCAACACCATTGCTGACATCTAGATCGAAAACAAGTTCACTTTAATCAACTACAATGCCTCCCAAATTCGATCCAACCGCTATTCACGAAGGTAGATCCATATATTCCGTTATTTTCAGCTTTCCCCCGACTTAGCCCTGGCTGTCAACACCATGGCAGAAGAGACGTTGTAAGTAAGGTTGGCGTGATATGAATCATGTCATGTGCCATGAAATTAATTTCTGATATAAAACATTTTTCAGGACAAGTTTAAGATAATTTAAAAGATTTAAAAAAAGGGAAGGAAGATAAAAAAAATTTCAAATTGTCAGTAATAATTAGTATTAACAATGTCGGTGTTAACCCTTTGTTTCTGTATTTTGTGAAATTGTGCTTGGCCACTTCTGTGGGAATTATCAGGTGACCACAATGGTAGGTGATTAGACATTGGATGATTCTAGTATTATACTTGCTGTTTAATGTTTGAAATAGTGTGTTCAAGTGATTAGCCAATGTAATAAAACGGGCTGAAAAGGCAATAGTCGCGCAAAACACACGTGTTGCCTGTTTCCATAAGAGGGTCAGTATATTTTCAAAAGTTCTTGTTTCTCTTAATGATTTATCTAAATGATATGCAACAAAATCACACTACTGGGATTGACTGTCATCAATGCATGCATGATGTATTTTTGCTGTTAATGTGTTTTTAAAAAATGTTTTTGGGCTGTAGTCTGATAGTGATAGGCATTTAGAAGTTGAAAGGACATAATGCTTGACAGACATTTTCTACAGTTAATATGTGAATGAAATGTTTTTTGGATAAATCCTTTTATGCTCTGTTAGACTCATCTTAAACTCTTTGATTGTGTATAATGCTGTTAGTGCAATGTATAGGCTAGGGGAAGATTTGCATCTGAGGCAAGCTGTATTTAGAAAATGAATATGGTTTTTTTCACCAGGTGCTACATTAACTATCAAGTCTTAGGCAGTGGGTCATTGTTGACATCACTGTCACCTAACTTGATGACATTATCTACTCAATTCTTTGCTGGATATATATTCGAGGGAATAAAATGCTTGAGGCGACTCCATGGATAAGGTGGTTGAGTGACTTGGTTTAAGGCTGCTAAGTGTTGCTTGGTTAATAGTCTTTTAAGTGTATTGGTGTGTTAATATTGATTGGTTAATTGATTTGTATTTTATGATGGAAGGCTTCAATCCATACCAAATAAGTGGTAGACCTGGGCCTAATTATCCTAATTAGCATGACTGATTAGTAATCTGGGCCCCGTTCCACAAAGCGATCTTAGGGCTAAGTTGATTGTAACTCACTAAGTACGCGATCTTAAATTTTGGTTACGATCGGCCGCCCGTTCCACAAAGCAATCTTAACTAAGAGAGTTGTAAGTTAAGATCAAAATGCTAAGTTGCTCCGGACCAACTTAGGATCGCTAAAATCGATCTTAAATATTGTACCATAACAACAAAGATGGCGTATGTTGACTTATTATTATATCAGATAACATTCTGACAGTCCACAGCTCACTTACTTGTTAGCGATGTCCTCCCATATGCTGCCTTTCAGCTTATTGGTGACGGTAGAGCTGAATGAGGAATTCAGTGTCGTGTGGTGAACAGCCACCTCATCAACAAGGACAGCGATCTCGCTTGCTGAAAAATTGCTGCGACGAACGTGTTTGACGCCGACAGAGGTCTGCGATTCGGCCATATTTCGACAATGCGTCGTCTGCTAAACATGACCAAGGGAGGCCACTCTTAGGGAAACTTTCGTATCTTCATGGCTGAAGATTCCGATCTTTGTTAAGATCGGCTACTTAAGAACTTGTAAAGTTACAATCGCCCTAAGATAGCTTTGTGGAACGGGCGTAAACTTTAGCTAAGACGATTTTATAATCGACGTAAGTCTCTAAGATTGATTGTAGTTACGATCGCTTTGTGGAACGGGACCCTGGTTAATATATTTTCTATTTCAGTATGTGTGAGGGCTGTCGGTGGAGAAGTTCCAGCCACTTCTTCCCTTGCCCCCAAGATTGGTCCCCTCGGTTTGGTAGGTCTGGCCATTCACCAATTGTAAATTAAAAACCAGTCGATTTAAGATCTCCAGGTGAAGGCCACAGATTCAGGGCAGTAAATCCAGTTTGATTTCAAATATCACTGATTTTTGAGACACGATATTATCTTTGCATGATTGTGTAAGCAAAAATTCATGGTACCTCAGTTCTAACTCCCAATTTGTGAAAGATCCTGGCTTGAATCTTATGTTGAAATAGTGTACATTGATGTATTCACTGATCTGTGGACCTGGTATCCCTGACATCTAACGTAGAACGATAACATGGTGTGGGTGATTGGTTGAAGAAACTCCTCAATATCAGAAGTTGCTCTTTTTGTAAGGAAGACCATATAATTACCAAACCTCCTAAATGTAACTGAAAGTGAACACTTATATTCTTTAGTTTTTACCAGCACAGGGGTAGACACCATTGGTTATAGGCAACAAGTCCACACCTGGTTTCTGACAGGAGAAACGGATGGCCTAGGTGCTGCAATTTGTTGTGCAGGGTTGTCCCTTTGGCATGCAAGAATCCTATGATCGTGGGTTCGAATCCTGGTTCACCCTGATTATGTTTCTAAGTTTGTCAGCATCATACCCATGCTTATGTTTCACCAAAGTGGTACACATTTGAGACCTGCATCACTCCAGGCTTTCCTCCCACATTAAGCTGACACACTGATGTAACTTGAATACCGTTAAAAGCAGCTTTAAAATCAACTCAATCACTCAATTGAAGAGGTATTGTATATTTGCCTTCTCCAAATTCAGTCTCCCAAGAAGATTGGTGATGACATTGCCAAGAACACCACCGAGTGGAAGGGACTGAAGATCACTGTGAAGCTGATCATCCAGAACCGACAGGCCAAGGTCGAGGTTGTAGCTAGTGCTGCATCCCTCATCATCAAGGCCCTCAAGGAGCCCCCAAGGGACAGGAAGAAGGTCAAACACGGTCAGTAGCCATTACATCAGGGTTCATGTTGACTTGACCCCCGTAAAGATCTGGGTTAGAATTCTTTTCAGCAATCTGCTGCTTACAAGAGTTGACTCGGGGGGGATTGGGTTGTCAGGCCACTGATTTGGTTGATGCATGTCATCGTATCCGAGTGATGACAACTACTCGATTGTCTAGTCCAGACTCGATTATTTACAGATTTTTGTCATTTAGCTGGAATAGTGCTGGAGTGTGGCATTAAACAGAACAATCACATGGACTTAAAATGCGCGTCTGTTTAAAAAGTCGCAGTGTGATGGTACTGTAAGGGCTAATAAGAAATTGTGTGAAATGATATTTGCTGTAGTCTTAATTTCTGGATGTGCTCATTTAAAAAATGTGAGAAGAGACATTAGACAATGAATGTCCTGATGGACTAAATTGTTGGTCGTTTAAGTTTGCATAAAATCTGCATTAGACACTTTTTCCTTCTAAATATATTTAGAATTTAAACAAACCGTTGACATATGAACTCTTTCAGTGAAGCATTCTGGCAACATCACAATGGATGATGTCTTCAAGATAGCCAGACAAATGAGGGCAAGGAGTATGGCAAAGTCTTTCTCCGGAACTGTCAAAGAAATTCTGGGTATGTAGAAACTTTTTTTGAACTGATCCTGTGATGTAATGAGGTGGTTGTTGCACTGGCTAACCTGGCATTGTTACTAATACTGTCAACCACTAGTTTCACAGGCCCAGACACATTTGCATGGAAATTACTGACTGGTGTTAGACAACATTAATTCAGTCAGAATTGATATGGTCTTTGTTTCATATGACACTAATTATAATGAAGGTTTGACACATGTCAGTTTTAATGATATCGGCCAAGTTTTTGCATGGCAAAATATGACTTAAACGTTAAGTATTTGGAGAGACAACCCGCTTCAGAGTAAAAGTTGACCTAAGAATTACAGGAAATTGAATAGCCTGTTACCAATGTTTTTTCTTTTTGTGTTCAGGAACCTGTCAGTCAGTTGGGTGCACAGTTGAGAGAAGTCATCCACACACAGTCATTGAGAAGATTGACAGTGGAGAAATGGAAACCCCAGAGGTAACTGATAGTCACAAATTACAGTGCTACAAAATCCCCTTAAACAAACTGGGCAAAGTTAAAAGACCAGCACAGATAATTTATTCGGGTGTGTGTGTGTGTAAAAATAATGTAACAGTTTGTCCATCTGTCTGTCCGCTTCTCAAAGGGGACAAATTTTCTCAAACTATTCAAATTAGAGAAATGACATTTTACGTACTGATATTACTGGTCGTGATCTTGAGTGGGTTCGAAAATTGGTGTCTTAATTAGTCATGGACCTTCATCCATATTAATTTACTTAGTGGATAGTGTGTGCAATGGGGACAAGTTTTCTCAGAACTACTGAAGTAACATCAAGGAACTTATGCAAGTTTACCTTTGAGATAATTAAGACTGGGAAAAATAATTTATGCCGTCACTTCAAACAAATTGCTTCCTTTGCTATTTTCAGATTTTGAGCACACAGTTAAGACCCTTGATACATGTTATTTTACAAGTAATAACAGGCTAACTTTAGTAGTTTCTGACACTAAGAGATACCTATTAAGACCAGAGTTATTTTCTCCAGATAAGGGCCTTGTGTGCATTAATTTCACATAATTTTTACTGATGACTTCAAGCAACCCTATCTCTTCTGAAGGCTTTTGAGGACTCCATTATCCAAATTTCTGATGTGCCCCATAGTCGGGGATAGTGATAACGCTGTTTTCTTGTCACATCAGGAATACTTCTTGTGATGCATTGTTTTCTTTCTGTTGCAGGAATAAACTGGCAGCATGGATGTTTTGAAATAAACTTTTATGCATCCACGACATGTCTTGTTTTCAATTTGAAGTCCACACGCCTGTGAGAGTTTGCAGGATATTCCCAGGTTTACAAATGAGCCTTTGTCAGCCTGCATCAGTTGATCATGAGACAGATGAACACATTGTCAGCAGTGCAGCCATGATGAAGATGGAATATTACTGGCTGCTGAAACTTGAAACATTGTGGAAGGTCAAGCTTGTGGCCGACATACCAATGATATGGCATTGATCCCATGACCAACAGACACTGGTATGATGGGGCCCACCTGACCAAATCGCAAACATACCATGTCACTTCTCAAACATCTATGACAGACAATACTTCATGACAATATTTTTATTTTATTCAATTATGTCAAAAAGACTAGCATGCTTGCACTATTCCCATGTAAACAAACGAGCACTTTCTGTGATGTCTTCTGATCAGTAGTAGCTGTGGGCAAAGTTGACTGACTGCATCACATGTGGTCATTGGTAATATACTTCTAACAGTAAATGCACAACCTGCAGAGAACGGTCCAGCAGACTGCTTGAATAGAGAGCTACATAGTACCATCAAACTATTTTTGGTCTCTTTAAATGAACATCTTTTCAAGAATGTATACCAGAGTAAGTACTGGCTCGTTTATTCAGTGTATCTGCTCTGACAAGATTACTTCTGTATTAGTTTTCCTCGACACATCACGCTTCCTTCAATCCTATTTGTAACCGGTTGTGTGATCTGCACTCCTCTCATGACTTTCCGTTTGATGTGATGTGGATATGGTGTAATGAGATGCCCCTTTACTCCCTTGTAGCAGGGATCGATTTGGCTTTACAAAACGTGCCAATGCAACTTGTCAAACAAAGATTATTGGGTACTTGAAGATTGTGTATGTTTTCAGGTCAACATGCACCTGCTGCAAGTTAAATCAAGTTCCTTAAATGAAACCGTGTGTAGGTAGTCGGTGGTTGTATAAAAAATGTTTCATGATCTTAATATATACTACTCAAAAGAAGTTAAGGATCACCCGATTCTTTCATATTGGTAATGTTAATCTGTCATGGCATGAGAGATTAACTATTGTAATATGGAAGAATCAGGTGATCCTTAACTTCTTTTGAGTAGTATATATAGTAGTATATATAGTAGTATAGATACCAAATCTACACATCTGAAATTGCCACGAGTCTTGCATACATTAGTGTAATGTACATACACTGTGCACCTAAAAGTGACCAAACAAAGCACTGTACAAGATGTATATCTAGATGTGTGTATACATGTAGAATGTACAATCATTCATAACAAAAGTCTTAACCCCTGTAAGATGTAAAAGGTCTCCATTTAATCCTATACAAAATAAGCAGCAAGTTGAGCCATCTTGTCCTTTGGTTTTCCTCGTCCCCGACCCCTGCCACGGCCACGCCCACCTCTTCCTCTCCCTCCACGTCCTCTGCCACCATGTCCGCGGCGGTTTGACATGTTGATGGCGTAGTGTTTCTCCATGAGTGACTTGAAGACGGCATCACAGAAGGCACACCCCGTATGCTCTTCATCGCCGTTAGGGAACGGAGACTTGCTCTGAAAACCAGAGATACCAAATCACTAAATTCACTAGATCAGTCTTTCCCGGACCTGTGAAGATCCGGGGTAGAATAGGCCTTCAGCAACCCATGCTTGCCGTAAAAGGCACCTATGCTTGTTGTAAGAGGCAACTAACGGGAACGGGTGGTTTGGCTTGCTGACTTAGGTGATATACGTCATCGTATCCCAACTGCAAGGATCGATGCTTATGATGTCAGTCACTGCATTGACAACAAATAAACAAACAAAAAATCGCTGGATTGTCTGGTCCCAACTCGATTATTTACAGACTGCCGTCACAAAGCTGGAATATTGCTGAGTGCGGCGTTAAACAACAAATTTACAGACTGCCGTCACAAAGCTGGAATATTGCTGAGTGCGGCGTTAAACAACAAATAAACAATCACTGGATTGTCTGGTCCTGACTCGATTATTAACAGACCGTCACCATATAGCAGGAATATTGCTGAGTGTGGCAAACAAACCAACAAACCTAATGAAATGTTGGCGGGGAATATGTGCAGGAGCATCTAGTGACTTAATGATCGTATGTCTGCTAGGAATAAGTGCAGGGGCCATAACTGATGTACCGATGAGGTCAAGTCACATATAATGGCATCTTCTACAATGAAACATTTCAACCTGAGACTGACACTGACACCAAGACAACATTGTATGATATCCTACCTTGTACTGCACAACAACAGTATTAGCACCACAGTCGTCACAGGTGTCTTCACCGATGGTAATCTTGGAAGCATTGTCAAAGAAGTTGATTACCACGCTACACCTGAAACAAAAGGGGGCAGTTGGTCAGGTAGGCGACATGCTAGCCTGGCCAAGATATACTACTCAAAAGAAGTTAGAGAACAACTGATTCTTTCATATCACTATGTCTAATCTGTCATGGCATGCAAGCCTTGCCAAGTTGCTCACCTGACAACTAAGCAATCCATAGCAATCTACACATAAACACGTGTTGAAAATGCTAGCAACAATTCAGCAAGAAATAGACATAGAAGCTACAACCTCATGGAAATTGGGTAATAAAACATTAACCCAAACATAGACAATAGGATGTGGTTTCAAACCACTTTGTAATATATTTTCAGTGTGACAAGCAAATGCTTCAGGTACAATGCTACCCAAATGTTCCATGTTTTTGTTTGATGTGTTTGTCATGTCTTGAACCGATATCTTGGCAGCGCAAATCGGTGATTGATAGCCTAGGATGGGATGACACACAATCATCACTGGCCCTGGCCAACTGATCCCCATGTTTGTCTGCTCTCAATAGAAACATGAGTTACTGCAGACCATTTGGGTCTCCCCACAATTTAAGTGAAGTGAAGATTAACACTGATTCAAGCATATGTAACACATATAGCCATGAGCCTGCACACGTGCATGTTTTGGTGAGCAGGTGCGGCTGCTTGTACTAGTCTGGACAAATACCTGTTTCATAGTGCTAGCCTACTGAGATACCATTCTTCAGTTTAACATGAATACCAAACTCCGACAGTATACTGAATCCGAGTTGACCTGTCCTTGAATCCTTTCAATGCCGAGCACCAGACCGGGAAAAACGATCCCACGGGCAACCAAGGTGAACATTTTTCTAAACTTTCTCTGATTGCTACTCACTTGTTACAGGCCATCCTCCACTTGGGTCCTGACGTCTGGTCCAGGACGAGGATGCCGTACTCGCACTCCACGCACTCCGAGATGCCGGTCTGCGAGAGGGAGTGTTGGCAGGACGGGTGTGTACACTCGTTACAACCCATCCCCTTCCTCATGTTCTTGAAGGGAGGGTGGTTGTAGCAGTATGGACACAATGGATAACTCTACAAAACAAACATGCGTGTCATAGTCACAGTTTCTGTCAGCATCATCAAAATCAGATCTTAGTGCTCCTGCCGCTACACCAGGATCTCTCTCAACGTCAGCAACCCATGCTTGACATAAGAGGTGACTATGCTTGTCATAAGAAGTGATTAACGGGATCAGGGCCCACTTGCACAAAGCGATCTTAGCGCTAAGATGATCGTACCACACTTTAACATAGGCTTACAATAGTCTTAGCGCTAAGATCGCTTTGTGCAAGTGGGCCCTGGTGGTTAAGCTCGCTGACTTGGTTGATGCATGTCATCGTATCTCAATTGTGTGGATGATGCTCATGATGTCAATCACACATGAATATTTATAGACTGATGGAATATTGCTGTGTTATGTGTTAAACAAACAAACAAACAAACACAAAGATCTGAGGACATCCCAATACAGGTCATGTCACATTTTGAACTTTGATCAATGAAATGTCAAAGAGGACGTCTACATTAGCCAATCAGAAATAAGCTTTCTCGATGTTTACAGCACAAGTTCCAAAATGGCAACTTCCATTCCAGACTATGCTGAAATATTGCTAAAAGCGGTGTAAAACCATACTCATTTGATTCAAAATCTGAAAACTGAACAAAAGAAGTCTTGAGTGCCTAATAGATGGCCAAGATTGTATGGCAGTATTTTCCACAAGTTACGGAAAGTCGTAAGCACATAACTGTCTTCTGGAATGCCTTGTGTTAACATTTTCAAGGTTGCATGGTTCGATAACACATTGGGACTTTCACTTTTGTGATATCATAAGCGACGCTCTGATTGGTCGGATGAAAGGGCAGTCTAATGTAACCTATAATGGGATGTTCTCAGATCTTGTTTGTTGTTTAACGCGGCACTGAGCAATATTCAAGTAAGTAAGTAATCGAGTCTACGTATTCTACATATTCGGGATATGATGACATGCATCAACCAAGTCAGCAGGCCTGACCACCTGATCCCGTTAGTCACCTCTTATGACAAGCATAGTTGCCTCTTACAGCAAGCATGGGTTGCTGAAGACCTTCTATTCTCTACCTGCATCTTCAGGGGTTTCCTCAGATCTATTTAAAGCGGTAGCGAGCACTAAGATTAGATTTTAATGAGATTGAGTTTCTGTTTGTATCATTCCACGATAGCCTGCAAATTATCAGTCAAACAAGTGATTGATATTATGAGCATCTTCCAACAGTTGAGTATGATGAAACACATTCAACCATTTCACCCAGCATGACCACCAGATCCATTCAGTCACCTCCTTCAACAAGTAGGTACAAAGATTAAAGGATTCACAACACAAGGACCAACCTTGCCCTTGGAGCCAGTTGTCCACAACACCAGCTCGTAGTCGTCTAGCGGACACCGGAGTTCCTTGTAGAGCTTAATGTTGCCGTTCTGCGGCAGGGAGTACGTCTCGTCACACATGGAGCAGTGCAGCCGGGAAGGTTTTGCTTGAACATACTTCATGTAGCGTCGACACTTGCCACACCTGAAAATTATTTCCGTGCTTAAACAAAAAATCTTTGGATATTTCAAAAAATGGCAAAACCCAAGAAAACAGATCTTGTGGGAGTTAGTTGGTAAGTGAGTTGTGTTTGAACAGTGCCTTGCACAGGTGAGGTGAGGTGAAATTGGGTTTAACGTCGCGTCTAAGATTATTGCGCTTATATAGCGACGTGCATGCACTTGTATGTGTGTGTGTGGCTGCTTGAACTAGTCCGGACTGATGCCGATTTATAGTGCTAGCCCACTGAGATACCATACCGCAGTTTAACATGGATACCCCACTCAGACACAGTATACTGACTCCGAGCCGACTACTCCTTTTTTTAAGCCCTTTAATGCCGAGCGCCAGACAGGGTAACAACAAGTACCATCTTTTAACGTCTTTCGGTATGACGAGGCCTGGGATCGAACCCCGGACCTTCCGCTCTCCGGGAGGACGCTCTACCACTGGACCATGGAGGCAGTCCGCCTTGCGCAGTATTTTTAATATATCACGGAATGTGAGCTTGATGTTGGAGGAAAGCCCAAAGTGAGAAAGGTCTTGAATGCTCACCACTTTGGGTTGAACCCTTAGGCATCTATATGATGCTAATAAACCTAGAAACAATCTGGATGAACAGGGACCTGAAACCATGATCATAGGTTTCTGGCACGCATAAGGGAGGCAACTCTGCACAGCAACATGGGGCTTCTTAGACAACTTGGCTACCTGTAGCTGAGGTGAAATGGGGTTTAACGTCGCGTTCAAGATTATTGTACTTATATAGCGACGTGTATGCACGTGTGTGTGGCTACATGTACTAGTCTGGACTGATGCCAATCTTATTGTGCTAGCCCACTGCCGTAGTTAAACATGAATACCCCACTCAGACACAGTATACTGACTGAGCCGACAAGTCCATCTTTTAGCCCCTTAATGCTGTGCACCTGGCAACAACAAGTACCATCTTTTAACGTCTTGGCCGGGGATTGAACCCCGGACCTTCCTCTCTCCGGGGGGATGCTCTACCACTACAATATGGAGACAGTGGGCTACCGGTAACCTCTGTGTTAGTATGTGTCTCCACAACAAAGATATTTCCATTCTGAACATACCTTGACAGAGGTCGACCACTGTCGGCCAGGGATGAGAAAGTGACTTCGAACAGTTCATCCATACCGTTGATATTCTCAACAAAGTATCGGAACTTCCTGTGGAATATGTCCAAACCATGCTGCTTGACTGCGTAGAAGTCTGCCTTGCCGTGGGAGATGAGGTTCAGCTGTTGCTCCACGGCTGACCTCATTGTGGGCAACACAAGGTCAGCATCAATCTGGAATCACAGGAATCTCTTACCCCTCTTTCTTAACTGTCATCCTGACTACATGATGTAATATTCCTGTATAATGCCATTAAGGCTACATAATGTCATCCTTTGGTACATGATGCCATCCTGGCTACCTAATGTCACCCTGTTATAATGTCGTCATCACTGTCACCCTGCCATACTGTCATCTCTTTAATGTCACCCTGTCATAAAGTCATCATCTCTGTCACCCTTTCATAATGTCATCTCTATAATGTCACCCTGTCATAATGTCATCTCTATAATGTCACCTGTCATCTCTATAATGTCACCCTGTCATAAAGTCATCATCTCTGTCACCCTGTCATAATGTCATCTCTATAATGTCACCCTGTCATAATGTTGTCATCACTGTCACCATCATCCCAATAATGTCACCCTGTCATAATGTTGTCATCACTGTCACCATCATCCCAATAATGTCACCCTGTCATAATGTTGTCATCACTGTCACCCTGTCATGTAATCTCTATAATGTCACCCTGTCATAATGTTGTCATCACTGTCACCATCATCCCAATAATGTCACCCCATCATAATGTTGTCATCACTGTCACCATCATCCCAATAATGTCACCCTGTCATAATGTTGTCATCACTGTCACCATCATCCCAATAATGTCACCCCGTCATAATGTTGTCATCACTGTCACCATCATCCCAATAATGTCACCCTGTCATAATGTTGTCATCACTATCACCATCATCCCAATAATGTCACCCTGTCATAATGTTGTCGTCACTGTCACCATCATCCCAATAATGTCACCCTGTAATAATGTTGTCATCACTGTCACCATCATCCCAATAATGTCACCCTGTCATAATGTTGTCATCACTGTCACCATCATCCCAATAATGTCACCCTGTCATAATGTTGTCGTCACTGTCACCATCATCCCAATAATGTCACCCTGTCATAATGTTGTCATCACTGTCACCATCATCCAAATAATGTCACCCTGTCATAATGTTGTCATCACTGTCACCATCATCCCAATAATGTCACCCTGTCATAATATCATCATCACCATGTCACCCTGTCATCATCACTAATTCACCCCGTCATCTTCACCATAATGTCACTCTGTCATAATATCATTCTCACCATAATGGCATCCTTGCAGTAATATCTAGCTATTTATATTGTCATCCTTACAAGTAACTTTAATCAAACTGGTCCATATTTAAGGACACAGACAGGTAGTTCAACCATTTACCTCTTGCAAGATCCTTCTAGTTTACCCAAATCCCATGTCTTAGAGTGTCTTCAACTGAGCAAAGCAAATCTCCATACGACCAGCAGGAGGTGTGTGCGTCCCAAGTGATACTGTACTTCCCCCATTCCTGCAGGCAGCTGGCAATAACGGTCAAGGAGGCGCCATCTCTGCCCCACAGTATACCACCTATAACTACTTATGTGAACTAGAACTACTCAGTCGAAAATAATAGTGTCCACTAAATGTTAACAGATTAACAGAAGATTTAGATATAGCCTTGCTCCAAGGCTGTACTGAAAGAAAAGTCCATGGATGTGTAGTAATTCTATAGGCAAGTCTAGATATGTTGACAGTCTAAGCACTTCATTCTCTTATAGAGACAACTAGTTCTTATTATTTACAAAAGTTGCCTTAGAGACTTGTGCAAGTCTAGATTAACTACGGTATGACAAACTACCAAAATGTGCTAGAAAAAACTCTTGAAAAAATAATTTAGATGTGGTCGCTCGCACACACAAGAAAGAAGTGAGGTTTTCCGCCTTGCTCATGTGCAAGGGCCTTTTGGGATTAGGATACTATATATGATATTTAACAGTGAAGAGGACTACGGTTGAAACTCTGACAATCTTATGGTGTGATGGCAGCCAGAATACAGGATTTATGTCAGGGATGTAGTGGAGGTAGGGTATTTGCATGAATTGTCCTGTGTCTTAGATTACTCCGACAGTGACCTACCTTTTGGTACCCATGCACCAGTACAATACCAAGTGGGGTGGGCTTTAGCTTTCGGCCGGCGATGATGTTGACATAGTTCCTCTCACAGATGTTGTTGATGTGGACGGGGATGCTGGCGTCGGTGCCGATACCATGTTTCTCCATCAGAGTGATCAGCTCACTCTCTGTGAGGTAGTCAGGGGGCGAAGTCTGTCGCTCGTTAAGCTTCACCTGAAGTCACAGGGACATGCTAATACAAATATTCCTTTGACAGAAACACTGTGTGTGGTCTGTTGTAAGATTGCTCTGCTCTGATTGATGAGGTGAAATGGTGCTTAACGTCGTTTAAGATTATTGCACTTGCATAGCGACGTCAATCCATGTGTGTATGCTTGCACTAGACTGGACTAATGTCGATTTAATAGTTCTAGCCCAGAGATACCATGCCGCAGTTTAACATGAATACCCCATTCACACACAGTATACTAACTCCGAGCCGACCAGTCCTTGTTTTAGCACCCTTATGCCGAGCGCCAGGCAGGGTACAACAAGTACCATCTTTTAACGTCTTTCGGTATGACGCAGCCGGGATCGAACCCGGACCTTCAGCTCCCCGGGCAGACGCTCTACCACTAGACCACGGAGGCGGTCGTTTTAGGAAGGGAGAGCAAGGAGGAGCCTGGAAGTGAATACCAGCCACTCACCCAAAGATTAACTGGTAAGATAACACACAGGACGTTAGACCCGTGATGACCCGGGGTAGAATAGGTCTTCAGCAACCCATGCTTGCCGTAACAGGCGACTAACGGGATCGGGTGGTCAGGCTCGCTGACTTGGTTGATGCAAGTCATCGATCCCAATTGCGTGGATTGAAGTTCATGATGTCAATCACTGGATTGTCTGGTCCAGACTCGATTATTTACAGACTGCCGTCATATAGCTGGAATATTGCTGAGTGCAGCTTAAACAACAAACCAACCAACTACAGGACGTTACTTGCCCTTGTTTGTGGATACTGAAGAAATGCTCAAATTAATACCAAAGAAAGCCAACCAGATTGGTGATGATACAGTTATGGTGGCCTACATGCTTCTCCTAATGATTTCACACAAAGTATTGTTGCTCACGTCCAAATCCAAATGTAAACCAACTTATTGTTGTCTTAGCAACTATTTTCATTTCTTCAATACACAGAAGATGCATACAGCCACATCAAAAGAGATCCAATACAACGGAAAGATGAAAGATATACTAAAACACCCGAAAAACACATAATCAACTTTAAACCATAATCTGAAAAGTTTTTGTGCTCAAGTCCATCTCCAAACACATCGAATAAGATTTGAACCCATGACGACATTGTTGTGTTTGATTATCCCATGCTGAAATATCCAGAATTCTACCATGAATTTGGAATTTACTCGATTCTGATTGGTCAATCAGAGGCTATTAAATCACAATAAACCCCCTCTGATTGAAACAGCTGGTTTGACAGCCGCTTCACCGCGGAAGCTAATATTCGTAGAATGGTACTATTTTCAGTCATTGTCGGTAGGCGTATTTAAATAATAATATCTGCAATTACAGGTTACAAAATGCACAGATGCGGTTAATACAATATACAAAGGATGTGTGGCAATACATTTTGTGCAGAAAAACACGACAGAAATCAACAAAGGGAATGTATTTACGTTTTGGAGACAACAGAGAGCATGGAATTTTGGCGCTTTTCTATATACGACTGTGACGTCATATCTTTTGCGTCACAATGAGCGGCATGACGTCATAATGGTGACGTGCGATGTAGAGCGAAAGCCTTGCAAAGCTTGCTTTGTTTTCCTTACGGATGCCCACCTCATGTTTGCTTACCAAGTTGCCGTGCTTATATGCTTCCAATGCCTGTCATATGTTCGATTGAAGTATTACGGTATAAACAAACTGCTTGAGGATATACAGCACCATATTATTTTTTCGGTGATTCCGTAATTCAGATCGATAACGCACTCAAAACACTCAACCAATGACGCTTCACTCAGTATATTTGCTAACACCAAAGAGTTCGCATTTTATTTAGTCATGGTAGAATGGAGATAAACATACTGTGTTTTCAATGTAGAGCTAGGTTACCTGTAGATTTAACCCCGCTAAATTTAACATTTGAAACCTCACGCTGCGCCTTCGGTTTCAAATTCAATTTAGCGGGGTTAAATCTACAGGTAACCTAGCTCTACATTGAAAACACAGTATGTTTATCTCCTAATTAATTACATCTGTTTCTGTGGCCATTTTGTCAAATATTACAAATAACGTAATGTAAAACGTGAAATTAATGCGTCTCCAAAAGAATGCGACCGCTGGCCCCTAGCCAAAAATCCGACTCAATATGAATGCGACACCCCCTCCTCTCAAGCATCAGTGGATTTATATCTAAACAAAATGTCCTCTTTCAGGTTTACAGGAGAATCCTCACCTTAATCCAACCTTACATTAATCCAAACACACACCAAATAGCACTGCTTATTAGCGCTGAGTAGAGTACTTCAGCTAAAACAATACATGCGCGCTGGCTCGTGTCGGCCTTTGATGCAGTCGCAAAGAACAAAGACACCGTGTTGGGTGGCGTCTGTCTGGATAAGCAGGTGTGATCAGTGATGACATGAGTGAGTAGAATGCTTGTCTTGACCCCAGCAGTGACAATTCACAGGATGTTATTATTGTTTGAATGACATTATTTATATACTTGTTACAAGTGCTGCTCAATAAACATTGATGTGGAATACATAGTTGTTTGTTTTCAGCGTATGTCTAAGTTGGTATTTCTGCTATCCAAAATGTCTTATTTTTGATATAAATGCGATTTTTAATAATGCGAGCAAAGACCACTCACATTTTTTCTATTTAATTCACGCTTGCGTTAATTTCACGTTTTACAGTATTACAAATAACCGATTGTGTGTTTTCAAAGTGTTTCTGTATAAGTTGTGAAATCTGAACAACTTACATCCTTGAAGCTGAGCATCTGATCCCGGTGAAAGCGTGGCATTTCCTCATCACTGGTAATGGCCTGCCACGACATGACGTCCGTGTACCCGGGGTCGAGCAATGTTTTACCAGAGCAGGAAAATAACTCGGCACCAATCTCAAATGATACGGTTGTTTGTAAGTACGTGCAGTCTGGAGCCAACTGGAACAGAAGGTGGAACCGGATGGAGACATGTCATCATTTCCGGACACTTTTACTTGTCTAGACACATACCTATCACTAACTGAAATAGAGAAATTGCAACACTCTACTGTTTCAAAAGTATATTATCAGTAACAAATGGACAGTTTACGGACCTACTCTCTGCAATGCATATTTTAAGCTCATGCATTAATTTTAAGCACATACATTATGAATATACTGGCTCCAACGATCAAATCTAAAAAAATAAATGTGCAGTACAAATATACGGGCTAGTTAAAATGTAGCACAGATATAGAAGTTACAAAATTTCTGTGAATCATATTTGAGTTACATATTTCAATTTCTTTATTGATTTATTAAACTTTAAAATCCTATTATGCAGTACTTTGTTATTTTGATGCTATTTTTAAGTCAGATAATGCACAAGCAAATAGACATTCATTACAATGAAGAACATTATTTGTAACTAATGTCCAAGTACTTGTATGTTATCCTTAATCCTTGTGTTTAACGCGGCACTCAGCAATATTCCAGCCATATGAAGGTGGTCTGTAAATATTCGAGTCTCGACCAGACAATCCAGTTACTGACATCATGAGCATTGATCCATGCAATTAGGATACGATGATATGCATCTGACCACCCGATCCCGTCAGTTGCCTCTTACGACAAGCATAGTCGCCTTTTACGGCAAGCATGGGTGCTGAAGACCTATTCTACCCCGGATTATTAGTAGACTTTCATTGATATTCTGCAGGCACCGGTCAATGGTTCAGTGTGCACTCTAATTTCATTCTCAGCTCCCTGGGGAGGATACAACTTGGTTAACAACCACATTGCCATCTCAACCTACCAGGTACCCATTCACTGCTGGGCGGACAGAGTTCTATGTTATGAACATGATCTTAAGCTGCATCAGCTATGATCAGAAAGTTTGTTTGTTTGCCGAACTCAGCAATATTCCAGCTATATTGCGGCAGACTATAAAATCAAGTAAGCACGAGACAATCCACTGACTGACATCATGAGCATCAATATTGGGATACAATGATATGCATTATCCACTCTGTAGGCGGTCTCCATCTCACAGATAAACATGTATTACAATGGCAGCAGATGAGTGAGTGAGTGAGTGTTGTTTTACGCCGCTTTTAGCAATATTCCAGCAATATCACCGTGGGGGACACCAGAAATGGGCTTCACACATTGTATCCATGTCGGGAATTGTACCCCGGTCTTCGGCGTGACAAGCGAACACTTTAACCACTGGGCTACCCGACCCTCCGGCTGCAGATGAGGAAGGGAGCAGTACTACAGGTGAGCTACACGTCATGTGTCAACTCACAGTTCCAATAAAATGTCTGGTGATGTAGTCGTACAATCTCCAGGCGTCATGCTCCAGCTCTGCGCTCGTGGCTGACCTCATCGGAGTAATGGGGGGATGGTCACCTGCATCAGATCCTTTCCTGTCAACCCCCAGGGTAAATGAATAGAGTCTGTTATATCAACACAACAGCTAAACAATGACGATCTGTAAGGCAAGAGATTTAGACTTGGTGCTGTAATTTGTCTCGGGTACCTGCTAACTATAACAAGTGAAAAGAAGATACCCATACATCTTCCCAAGGCAAGGGAGTTAACTGACAATAAAGGTCCAGTTTTCATCCTTGCTGAACGAGGCAGGAATATCTGGGTTCGATCTTAGCGCCACCAGTAACTATTACGAATGACTAATTAGGTCCTTTCTTTGTCTCTCCTATTGATCAATCAGATTCAAGCTCTATTATCACTTGCATTTACTTCAAACAAAATGGTCGCGCCCGGTCAAGACAGTCTGATCGATAATCAAAATTGATATTGTAATTAAACGAATCTTACTTTGCATAGTGCATGAAATCACATGAGTACCTTTATTAAAAACATTGGCAGCACACATGCAATGCAAATCGTGCACAGCAGTTTACAAACCTGATATTGATTTCACAGTTTTATCGATAGTGTAACAATGCAGGATGCAGCCAAACTTACTTGGGTCTCTGAATGCCCTTGTTGAGGAGGTCGCGGACGAAGTTGCCCCAGTCAGGGTGAGATTGCTGCTGCCTCAGGGTGCCCCTGGAACACAAGGAGCAGTGAAGTAACTGTACCAGCCCATCACTTGCATGTCAAGGATTGTGAAGAAGGTTGCTCTGGGATGAATAACTCGGGTACTCGGGCCGGGTGGGTACTGAGTAGGATCCGGGTACCCAGATGACTACCCGGACTGGTACTGGTCACGTGATATATTGTTAAATTATCTAGATCTCTATGGTTACACTACAAGTCGCTTATATTGGCATTTCTTTCTGACTTTGGTATGTTTGAATAAAGATAAAGCTTCAGTCTGCTTCAGTGTATACGTGACCAGATTGTTTAATAGCGTATCAGTGGGTGGAGACCTACGAGTACCTGGGTAGAGTTAGGTAATAGAGGGAGGGTACCCTGCTGTAAATTTGGACTCGTCCCAGCCCAAGAAGAAGGCCCTGCCTGCTAGGACAGGACTTCTGGGCTTGTTCATGTATTCCATGCAATTATTCTGATTGAGAGCAAACTGAAGAACTGTCACAAGCACAATGTTGTAGAACCACTGAGGTCTTTGTAAGTAAGGATAAGATTTATGGATGAACAACTTCTTTATTACATTTAGCCTGTCAACTCACCAGCAGCTGGCACCATCCTCCAGAAAGCTCCTAATTGTAATAAAGAAGTTGTTCATCCATAAATCTTATCCTTACTTAGTACTCCAACTTCTAAATGCCTCTCAAAGAAGTGAAAAGGTCTTTGTCATCGCTGAATAGACAGTAGCAAAGTGGACCTAATGATCTGGTTCAAGGTGCCCTTCATTAAGAAAAAGATTACTAGGATATGTTTTAATTGGTCTTAACCAAGTCTTTTTGCAAAACTTACAAAATCTAGATATTTCGTATATTTGTATACATTTCCTGCATTACTCCATAATACATATACTGCTGTTCTTGACAGATGAGAGCTGTGTGAGGCCTTGCTGAAGAAGAAGTTGTTCCAACTAGTTGTATGGCTAACCCCATCACACAGCTCCCACAATACCAAGTCTCTTTGCAAAAATATGCTGTCAGAAGGTGGAAAAAACAACAGTCCTTATTTCTGTTCTTGAAAAAAGTTTTCTAATATGATGCCATGGGTGCCATATTTGTTTGCCTTGTAGTCATTGTATTGCATACACATTCATAAAGGTCAGCACATTTGCATTTTGTATCTGTCCTCACTTCAAACAACTATCGCATGTACATTTGATAAACTCCTACTTGAGGTCAAAGTTTTCTGGATAGTGCGTTGTCTCGGTCCTGGGGTAGCTGATGTAGCCCTGGGTGTAGAGACGCTCCGCTATCTGCATCACATGGTGGGGGCCCATACCTGCAGGCAGCAACAAGTAGAGAGTGAGTGAGTTACCATAGTTGGGTTTTACGCCGCTTTCAATATTAAGGCAGGTGACATCAAATATGGGGCAGCAACAAGTATCATAGTGCCAGAAATAAATACATCCTGAGGTTACCATGGTAATGCATTCCATTAACATGCTGATGGAATGACCGAAGGGAACAATTATTGTTTGGCAGTGTAGTGGTCACCATAGATATTAGCACCATACTCGGTGGCACATTTTTACGATAGTCATAACAATCCATTATTATATTGCTATTGGTGTATATTTTTGGCCATGAGTTTAAATTGTATCCATCATTATCAATGCACAAACGACCGTTTTGTCAAAAATATGCTGGTTCTGAATCTGTTATCTCCAGGTCAAATTCATGCTATATCAAAACCTGATAAAATCATTAAACCTGACTGAATTAGATGCACCAAAATTCATAGAGACACTATCTGTCAATTTTCAGGAATATTCCTGGATGTTTCATGTATGTCGATGTTCACTAATACACCCTATTGTTGCCAAAAGACAGCCCTGGACCTCGTCCAAGACAATATCTGTTTCAGATGGAAAGAAACTGTCAGCATACATGTCAAAGGTAAAACCCACGGTGAGTCATGAAATCTTACCGAGTCCGGAACTTCCCACTCGTAGCATCTCGACTGTATTGAGGGCCATGGGGCGAGCCTTGCTCTTCTCCTTGGTGACAACACCCAGCACCCTGTGGACACAAAGGGGAGATAACTCAGACATACACAGGGGAGATAACTCACACGCAAAGGGGAGATAACTCACCCACAGGAAAGACAACTCACACACGTAGGGGAGATAACTCAGACATACACAGGGGAGATAGCTCACACACAGGGGAGACAACTCCGGACCAATACAGAGGAGATAACTCACACATGTAGGGGAGATAACTCAGACACAAGATAGATAACTGACACACACAGGAGATAACACACGTAGGGAAGATATCTCAGAAAAGGAGAGAACTCAGACCTGCAGGGGAGATAACTCACACATGTCGGGGATAACTCAGACATAAGAAAGATAACTCAGACACAGGAGAGATAACTCAATATAAATAAAGAAAAAGAAACAATGTCTTTCATTGCAGATCAGTGGAAATTATTGTCACCATAATTTTAGACAACAATGTAGTCACCATGATTAATTTATATGACTTTTGGTTTTATTTTGGTTTGAAAATTGTACCTTGCTCCATCACTGGACTTGATCATGTTGACAAACATCTGTGCGACTTCCTTGTCAAATATCCTCACCCTGTCCCACTCCAGCTTCAACTCCTTCCCATCAGGATGTGTGATCTACAGAAACAGTCAACGTATACACGCTATCAACCAAGTCACCAAGCCCGACCACCCCACCCATTTAGTCACCTCTTACGACAAGCACAGGTTGCTGGGGCCCACATGCTTACCCTGAATCCAAAGAAAATCTAAAAAAATCCTCAACATTGAGCAAGATTAACACCATCAGATATGTCATTGTGTGGCAGTTACATGTGGGGGTCAGGTCATGTAGAGGTCTGCTAATTACCATAATGGCAGGTATGGTGCTGACAAACCAAGGAAAATAATCATGGCAAATCTGGGAATTGAACCAGAAAATCATGAGACATGCAACTCTGCAGAGCAACTTATGGCATCTTAGATGACTGGACCACCTTCCACAACAATTGGGCTGAATAACTGGAGTGTCAGTTCCTTCTACAGGTGGCATCAAACAAAGGGAGACTATTCATCAGGGTTTCCAAATGCTATATCATCATCTTCTGATTGTTACCATGGTTACAGGATTGAAAAATGATCATACCTATTGTATTGAATCATCAACATTTTCAATGACCTCCCTTGATAAATGGTATTTGTTGAGCATAGTTTAGGTCAATACTTTTTTAGAGTATGTTCCAAACATTACGCTAGTAAACATGAGTAGGCTGTGTATGTTCTACCTGTACATCAATCACCCAGTAGGCCTCAGGCTTGAAGGACAGGATTTTGTCATGTCTCTCCACACAGAAGCCCAGTGTCGGGGTCTGACATGGACCGTAAGATATCAGAGTGCTGTCCAGGTCTCCGTACTTGCCCTGGCAATATAACAATAACATATATTCATATGGTTTTCCTTGGTTGACAATATTCCAGCATGGTACTTGTTCACTATCATCTTGTGTTGGAAATCATTAACAATTTAATCAGTCATTGGTTATATCTTGTATGTACCGACCAATTAACCATCAAGCATATTCTAGTCACAAATATTTTGGGTACTTTTTATATATTCATCTGTTTCTTGTAAATCATGATTTCAAATTAGAAAATCCTTTTGATATGGTCCCTGATAATAATTGAGTCTAAATCAGTCAATCCAGTGATTGACATCATGAGCATCAATCCATGCAATTGGGATATGATGACATGCATCAACCAAGTCAGCGAGCCTGACCACCCGATCCTGTTAGTTGCCTCTTACGACAAGCATAGTCAACTTTTACGGGAAGCATGGGTTGCTGAAGACCTATTCTACCCCGGATCTTCACGGGTCAGGGAGTGAAGTAGGGTGACAGATCAGACTAAAGCTACACCAGTGATCTTGTCTTACCTGGAAGAACTTGGTCTGGAACCTGGTGAAAGCACACCCTATCCTCAGATCCAACTCTTGGCGGGCATCCACAGACAGAGCCTCGTTCTTGTTTGGTTCTCCCAGGTTCTGCATGGCTCTCTTGATATCAGTATCTGTGATTGCACTGAATTTGGCTCGGTAGATTTGCTGAAAAGGACACCAGAACTTTGATTAGTTTTGAGATCCTTGCATACAAATATGTATAAATTTCAAAAACCACAATCGTACGTAATTACCCAATGTGTCCTTATACACATATTTCTTTACAGATTAGTTACTGATCTGAAAGGGGGCAGTCGGGTAGCCTAGTGGTTAAAGCGTCACGCCGAAAACCCGGGTTCGATTCCTGACATGGGTACAATGTGTGAAGCCCATTTCTGGTGTCCCCCGCCATGATATTGCTGGAACATTGCTAAAAGTGGCGTAAAACAATACTCACTCACTGATCTGCCTGGTCAACAACTGAAGTTCCCCGAGTGGTCAACTCACCTGCCCAGGTGAAATCCAGGTCCTATCTCCTGTGTGCATGGTCAACAACTGAAGTTCCCCTGTGATCAACTCACCTGCTCATAGGGAATCTAAGCCTCACTGTCAGTGTGCCTGGTCAACAACTGAAGTTCCCCTGTGATCAACTCACCTGTCCATGTGGAATCCAGGCCCTATCTCCTGTGTGCCTGGTCAACAACTGAAGTTCCCCTGTGATCAACTCACCTGCCCAGGTGGTATCCAGGCCCTATCTCCTGTGTGCATGGTCAACAACTGAAGTTCCCCTGTGATCAACTCACCTGCCCATGTGGAATCCAGGCCCTATCTCCTGTGTGTCTGGTCAACAACTGAAGTTACCTGAGTGGTCAACTCACCTGCCCAGGTGGTATCCAGGCCGTATCTCCTGTGTGCATGGTCAACAACTGAAGCTCCCCCTGTGATCAACTCACCTGCCCAGGTGGAATCCAGGCCCTATCTCCTGTGTGCCTGGTCAACAACTGAAGTTACCTGAGTGGTCAACTCACCTGCCCAGGTGGTATCCAGGCCGTATCTCCTGTGTGCATGGTCAACAACTGAAGTTCCCCTGTGATCAACTCACCTGCCCATGTGCTCTGTTCATCATGGGCTCCACACAGTCAATAACCTCAAAGCAGATGTTCTCGCCTTCCTTGTCACAATCCAGCCAAAGAACAAGATAGTCAGCACCCTGACCCTGAAACAACAATCACACGGAATTATCTATAAAACTCACTAAAATCAGATCTAAGTGCTCACTACCACTACATACAGATCTGACCCATGAATATCCAGGGTAGAATAGGTCTTCAGCAAACCATGCTTGCCGTAAAAGGCGACTATGCTTGTCGTAAGAGGCGACTAACAGGATCGGGTGGTCAGGCTTGCTGACTTGGTTGATGCATGTCATCGTATCCCAATTGCATGTATCGATGCTCATGATGTCAATCACTGGATTGTCTGGTCCAGATTTGATTACTTACTGACTGCTGTCATATAGCTTGAATATTGCTGAGTGTGGCCAGTGGCCACCAGTGTCTCGGAACTACCAAACAATTACTATTGTAGACTACATGGATATTATGGTACGTGTCAGTAGAAACTTCAAAAGTCTTTGGACATTTGCAATAAGTGTGAACCTAAATGTAATAATCATGATCATTAGTTAGTGAATAAGTTGGGTTTTATGCCGTTTTTTAAGCAATCTTGATATTAGAGAACATACCTCCTTTCTCAGGAAGGCAGGCATGTGTAGGTTTGGTGTGGCCTCCTTCTTCTGAATGGGTGCTTGAAAAAGCTCAACCTGAAAACAATGAAACAGGTGCAAACAGGTGTTAAACCAGCAATAGAAATTAACAGTTTTAGTCCGCTAGTCCTTATAATGATAACATGTAGCAAAACCTTAAAAAAGGGGCAAATTTCTACTTGTCCTTAGGATACCTTAACTATTTGGCAGTTTGGCAAGGACTATCGGACTAATGCCAATTTCTAATGCTCAATGTACAGTTCTTATACTATTCTGGGTTATATTATTTTGTCTACAGTCCTCCTGATGAGGGGATCCAAAGGCTTAGGATAGAGTTAGGGGGAAACTTACCCTAACACTGGCGACATTTGGATGTGTTCACCGCATCCCTTATAAACTGCATTCTTGTGCATAATAATGAAAATTAATGAACCGAAAAAATAATACATGTATGTTAGTTCCCCTTCATAACCATTTTAGCCACTTGAATTACGAGAAAAACGAAATATAACACATATAAAAAATAAAAGTGCTTTCGTAAACTAGCGCTTGCTATAAAATGTGCCGCCATAGACTATATTTAGCAAACAAATATTTAAAACTCTCAACACCTCAACTGAGTATTGAAGATTCTTTGGGCAAGTTGTGTTCACGTTAGGGTAGGCTACCTACTATTCTATCCAAAGCCATTGGATCCTGAAGGAAAAAAGTTGTGAACACAGCGTTATAGTTTGACAACAAAAGCACCATAAAGCAAGCCGCAAGAATGCCTCCAGTAAACTGTAGTTTTGCCCTTGGAAGCATAAGGCCATAATGTCACAATCAGTCTATGCAACGTTGTGTAAGTTTTCATAGGGAGCTTTTTCCCTTCAAAGAAACTGATGTATGGGTAGCATACCGGCATTGACCAACAGGTCCATGTGCATTAATCTGTTAAGATTATTAATGTCTGTGTATATGCCTTACCGGATCAACCTTGTCCCAGTTATTGTACTTTCCCATAAAGTCACAGCTCATTACATGACCACAAACGGATGTCATCTTAAAGTAAACAGTTTCTCCGTTGAACTTGCCCCTGTATTCATGGACCGAGCAAGCCCCATTCATGCCTTTTCTACTGTTCAAGGTTCCATTTGAGAGTATCTTAGCTAGAGATTGGGCCAAAGATGGCTTCTCTGCTACCATAAGAACAGTTCGCATTTTTGCAACTTAAACCACGCAACGACACAATAAAATAGCTGTGCAAACACAAACTAAACTGGGTTACACCCAAACTTTTCAGATTTTGACGCCATGTTCTAAATCTCGTATATGTAATAGTACTTCCCAACTGACTACTGTTATATAGACTGAAAATTCGACATTATTGCAAATATATTATCTGAAAATTATCTGCTTCATTATTTGGAAGACCATAAATAACCAAATTTAATATATTTGTATTGTGTAGCCTCGATTACAAATGTATAGCAAGCGCTGCTGAATATGACCTTTGCATAATTTCTTGAGTTAAAAGACGTTGTATTCAAATAGTATGCAACATTTGTAATCTCGCGAGTTGTATAAATATCAAGATGGCGCCAAGTTCGGATTATGAACGTGTTGACATTTTGTTGTGGATGGAAATAGTGCCCAAATGTAAATAATTCGGTCATGACAGTGGTGCTCATCTAACCTTCACCATGTCTCAGTTAGAACTTAACGCCGATGAGACGTTGAAATTGAAGGGTTTGTATGTTTTCTCTACTGTTGAAGAGGAGGTTACGATTTTCTCCTCTGCTTTCACCAGCCTGTGCAAAGAAAGAATTGAGTATGTGGTTTACGAGGCGCAGATAGATCTACCCGCAATCTCGCTAATTAGTGCTGATTGACCCAGACTGCATAGCCTTTACTTACGTACCCACTGGGCCTTGCAAGGATGTGTATGTTGGAACATACACACACTGCCCTTGGCCCTTGCCATGGATCTCGTTTATTAAGGGCAAGTATCGGTAAAAATAATGTTCTCAATTTTCTTGGTAATATATTTTTTTCTAGATACATTAATGGTATATGGTCTCTGATTTAGTCAATTTCCCATCAAGAAATAGTCATAATATTTGTAAAACGTATTTAAATGTCTAAGTGAAAGTGCTTCCAAAACAAACCTATTTGGAAGTGGGGCCTAAGCTACTGCCACAGCGGTGACAACTGTTTTCATTGGTGAAGATGTTTGCCATTTTTATCTATCTAGTAATTCAGAACCGTTATGCATATACTGTTTCTGCTATTTCTGTTAATCCCTTCAAAAATAGCAACATTGCATACATTGTTGAATGTGTGAAACAACCTTTGATCATGTCATTGGGAATGATTAAAATAGCAGTAAACAATCGTTAAGTAGCGTTTTATTACTAACATACTGTTTAGGCAGAGACCATATAATATTATATGGTCTCTGGTTTAGGTAATAAAACATGAGCTGCCCTCAGCCCTATTCTACACTGTAGGGATTAATCCCCTGAGTAAACAACTGAAGACATATTCAGTGTTGTTACTAAGGTTACACAAGTTGTGGACACAGGTAATCAAATTGATGAGCAGACAGAAAAAAGATATCATGTATTCCAAAATCTGAGGCCTAAGCAGGAAGCCTGGGTGTCATCAGAATAGTTGAAATTGTGCATCACGTCAAACACTGGGGACCCGTTTTAACCCATTAAGGGGAATCCCCTCAGTGGAGAATTTTTGTTGTTTGAGGTACAATTTTCATGTAATTTTTTATCATCTTTTTACTCTATTTCCGTTTTTCAAATCAAATTTTGGTCAAACATGTGCTATTAAGTATGCCCTAAAGTATTAAAATCTGCGAAGTTGCTATGTTGGCTTTGCTTGCCTTTTGAGGTTAACTTTTGAGGCAATATTTAAGAGATGACAATTTGAGCCATAAATATGTGAACATCAGTGGCATGAATATATTTGTAAGGACTTTTCCATTTGCAGAGCTCCAGATAAGCTGCGTATCTGCGTGAAATACGCATCAGAAATGCAGAAATATGCAGTAAAATATAATCCAAGCGTATCAAATACACAACGAACATTACAGATACGCTACAAAAATAAAATTTGTGCGTATCATCAAAATATTGTGAAGTAACCCTGCGTATTTGATTAGCAAATCAGCAACTTATTTTGAAATTATAAACGGGCATTCCGTCAACCTTGCCAAACTCCACGATGACAGTCACATCATGATTATTTGCCATCACACTTTCGTGTGGAAGTATCGTGGTATTTTTGAGTACAATAAAGCTCTCGAACCCACATGACACCAGTTTGCAGGGACTGGTTGAATAGTGTTTTTAAATATTTAACTTAAATACCCACATGGGTAAAAACTAGTGGGTAACAGAAATTTGAATACGCAGATAGAATTACTGATACCCAATGATTTTAAAATGCATGGGTAAAATACCCACAACACCAAAAGCTTATCTGGAGCTCTGATTTGTTTTGCATCAAAAGTTTGAATGCTTTCAGTTTCTGTTGATGTTTGCAGATATCCTACGGTCATATTCATTGGCGTTCCATCAAAGTGAACTACAAGAAATTCTGTTTGAAGATGAAGATGAAGACCATTTCTCAATATCAGTGGAGTGAGTGAAAATACAAATACATGGGAGTTGTGCACTTTACTGGGTGCACTTTTTAAAATTTCAATTAGCACTGTGTAGAGGATCTAACTCATGTGGCCAGCTTGAAGCCAAGACAGGCTAATGAGTTACCATATTCGATGTAATAAGCGCCCCGCTCTAATAAGCACCACAGCAACATTTGCTAATATATTGGCTAGTGAACAGTCCCAATTAGCACCCTTTCTGATTGATCAATGTACACAAGACTTATTTATTCACGTATAATACGCACTCATGTGTTATATGCACCCTTAATTATGGGCAATTAAATTCTGGAAAAATATATCTGTCGTACATAAACACTTCAGGCTGTCAGCATAAACCACAAAATTTATCTTTCAACTCTGTTTTTTTCGCCAAAATAATATTCTAATAAGAGCCCCCTATTTCTAATTTTGAGAGCGCCCTGGGCGCTTATTACGTCAAATACGGTAATCTAATTAGCCAACACCCCACAACAGGACCACGGGTGTCATCACAAACAATTAGTGTTTGTTTAACAAGTGCTCATTTACCAAGTCATCAGCACCCGATTGTTTACCTTAAAGTGCAAATGCAGTTGCCATTTTTTTTTTAAAAAGTCGAAACTTGATAAAAATTGTACAGTTTCCTCGAATTACATTGGATTCATTCGTTAAAAGAGATAGCTAACCCATACCCTACCTGACAACTAACCCTAAGGATCGTAAAGGGGTGTTTGATTGACAAGTGGTGCCCAACCTTGAGGATTGTGAAGGGATGCTTGATCGGAAAGGGGATCTATGGGCTAGGGATAAATTTGGGGATAAACACACAAGGATCGAAGAGGCACGCAAGAATACAAATACATTTTCTCGCCAGTAGAACTTTTAGATGGCATTCGCACATCATTGGAAAATTATGACCTGTGTAATACTTTTAGAAAACTACAAACTAACAATGAATATATTCTGAGGATACTCCTAGCAAGTTTTCAGATAGAAGTGCATATTCTGGTTAAATGAGATTTAAGATTTGTGCCAGGTTTATGTTTATTTTGACAATGAATCTTTTGCTTCAGTGCTCTCTCACTCTTTGAGAGTAACACCACGGTCTGTGAGGTGCTTCTGGCATCCCCATTGAAACTGTTGTCCCTGTTTGATGAGACTCTGGTGATCGTACAGGAGGCTATAAAGTCTGAGCATGAAGCTCAACACAGAATGGTAATTAATCTGCCTGTGTATTTTCTTATAACAGAATAGATACAGTGTTTGCGTTTACGGCGTCCCATATACAAAAATACGCACTGAAAAAAAATAGGACGCAAAAAACACAACATACACGCGTCCCCTTAAGCATTTTTTCATTCAGTCATGGTGCAGGACTAATGTTTTACAAGCAGATATTTTCCTTGATAAATGTTGGCTTCATCTATCACATAAGAGTCTCTGGGACCTCAGTGTAACAGCAGTTAAAGCTTCTGGTTGACTGGTGTTGAAAGAGGCAAGTGGCTAATCTATGAAGATTCAAAGATGTTTTGTGTACACACATAAAAACTGACACTTGAAGATTTTAACCACACACTTATTTATGCTCAGAATGGCCTAAAGTTCACCATTTCAGGTCCACATTTAACAAAATTTCTTGGGGGGGCATGCCCCCGACACCCCCTAGATGGCTTCCGCTCACAGCGACCGCGTCCCAGGGGACCCCATTATTTGGGAGAACAACGCAAACACTGATATATATACCATTTTGTGTGTATAATGCATATGATGTATATTTTGCCCCCATAAAACACATGTGAATAGCAGGATGCACATTAGGCCAGACTTTTCTATTTTTCGTTTCATGGTCCCGCCGCCCCTACTGAAAAGCAGCTGAAAAAGAAATAAATGAAACATAACTATACTTATTTTTATAATGTCTCCTGTTTGTAATATAGACTCTCATATCAAAATTTAAATTTTATATATCAATTCCATGTCTACATCACTATCGGTGATTCAAGAAGCCAATCTCATTAAAATCAGACCTTAGTTCTCGCTACTGCTAAACAAAGATCTGAGGACATCCCATTACGGGTCACGTCAGACCGACCTTGCGCGAACTTTGACCAACCAACAGAATGACCAATCAGAAGGCAGCTTTCTCGTGCTTTACGGCACTAATTTCAAATTGGCGACTACGCTTCGAAACATATTTTGACAAATTTAGATTACAAATCTGAAACCTAAACAAAAGATCATTCTGGAATGGTCTAGATTGTATGGATTCAGTTGTTAATCCTATAACTATCGTTCGGAATACCCCATGTAAAAGTTTTCGAGGTTGTATGATTAGAAATCACATTCCGACTGTCACTTTCATGATCTGGTAAGCGACGCTCTGATTGGTCGGATGAAAGGTCGTTCTGACGTGACCCCTAATGGGATGTCTTCAGATCTTTGTCTAGCGATAGCGAGAACTTAGATCTGATTTAAATGAGATTGTTCAAGAAGCCAGCAGCAGAATGACTTTCATGTTGATAAATAAATGATTGACATAGCTATTTATTTTTATTTCGACGACCTTGATAAATAAATGATTGACATAGCTATTTATTTTTATTTCGACGACCTTGATAAATAAATGATTGACATAGCTATTTATTTTTATTTCGACGACCTTGATAAATAAATGATTGACATAGCTATTTATTTTTATTTCGACGACCTTGATAAATAAATGATTGACATAGCTATTTATTTTTGACGACCTTGTGTGGAAAAGCTGGAATAAATCTGCGAAATCTAAAATCTAAAAAGTGTGGCCTGATACATCCAGACAAGGAGTTTTGATTATTAGTGCTGATTTCTAAGCATGATTTTTTCTTGTAGCTAATTGGAACCACACGTTTTGACTTATGACTACTGATCCTATTTATTTCCTTAATAAAGTCGGGGTGGTCGGGTAGCCTAGTGGTTAAAGTGTTCGCTCATCACGCCCAAGACCCGGGTTCGAAATCCAGACATGGGTACATGTGTGAAACCCATTTCTGGTGTCCCCCGCCGTGATATTGCTGGAATATTGCTAAAAGCGGCGTAAAACCTTACACACTCACTTAATAAAGCCAGAACTGTTGAACGTGAAACTATTCATAAATGTTATGTGAACCTGAGATGAAAACAGGACATTCATGCGAGAGTGGTCGTTAGACTCTTTTTCTGTCACCTCTGTGTATAATAGTGTTCGTTTTACACTATTTCTAGACAGTAAAACAGGACATTAATGCGAGATTGGTGGTTAGACTCTTTTACTGTCAGCTCTGTGTATAATAGTGTTTTATACACTCTACCTTCTAGACAGTAAAACAGAACATTCATGCGAGAGTGATGGGCCTCCCCGTGTGTCCCGAGTTGACCCGCACCACACTCCCCAGGACGTCGGACGTCGGCAGCTTTCTCTCTGTAACAGGTAAAGCAAGGTGTTCTGATGACAATGATGTCCTACCCTCATTTGGAAAATAATGTAACCACAAAATAAAAAAATAAAAATTTGCCCACACTCAACTGATCTAGCAAGCAGGCTTGACTCTATAATATCATGATCATGTAATTTCTTGTTAATGCAAACTTAAATAGGTTAATACCACATGGATTTTATATCCATTTTATATCCTTAAAAAATAACAAATCCCACAAACTTCCCATTTGTCTCCTCTTCTTAAAAAATTGCAGTCTTGTGATCAGTTGTCAAAATATATTTGTCTGTTATTACATCGTTAACAGTAATTTTTAATTGAAAAGAGATTTCACAAAACTTAGGCATTTGACTCGTGGCTAAGATCACAGATAGCAAGATGGTTGGTGGGGTAGCCCAGTGGTTAATGTGTTCACTCGTCATGCCAAAGACCTGGTTTCAATTCCCCACATGGGTGTTATGTGTGAAGCCCATGTCTGGTGTCCCCTGCCATGATATTGTTGGAATATTGCAAAACAATACTCACTCACTCACAGACAGCAAGAAAGCAGATGTTTGGAAAAAATGAAATATCTGGTTTAACATTTGAAATAATTGTTCTTTTCTGTTCTATATGCCCAAAATAAATAAAAAAGCACATATCATATTTAAACTTTCACTACATTTGTTTAACTCTTTCTTTTTTAAGTCTAATTGTTATAATTTAGTTTTGAGGATGTTCCTGCTCCAGTGTGATTATCCCTAACACTCCAGACAAAATTACCCTTTTTTTTTTTACCACTCTGTTGATATGCATCTCCCCGAGGCAAGAGAGTTAACTGACTTTAAAAGTCCAGTTTCCACCCTTGCCGAACTAGGGTGGAATGCCTGGGCTTGATCGTAGCGCCACCAGTGGCTATTACGAGTTATGTCCCTTCTATGCCTCTCCTGTGGACCAATCAGATTCCACCTCTCGTATCACTTGCATTTGCTTCAAACAACATGGCGGCGCCCAGTCGAGATGATCTGATCGATAACCAAGATCTATATTGTGATAAAACTGGTCTTACATCGTGAAGTGCATCAAATCACGTGAGCACCTTGATTAAAAACATGAAAAGTTTTGGAAAATAACTGTTGACAACGAGTTGGCGGTGCACATGCTTTGCAAATATTGCAATCGACCGAAAACTGCATGACAGTTTACGAACCGGATTTCGATTTTGGTGCGTCATTGTGATTGGACTATGCAAAGACTCATTAGTCCAGCCAAAACTCCATAATACCAGCCTAGTTCGGCAAGGGTGGAAACTGGACTTTTATGGTCAGTTAACTCCCTTGCCTCGGGAAGATGGTGGATATGAGATTGTTTCAGTTCAGCCTGATATATCTCTATGTGTAAATTGTTTGCAGGGACTGTGATCAGGGCAACAGTTGTTCGAATCCTAGAATATGAGAAAGAATTTATTTGTACCAAATGCAGGACAGTCTTCAACGTCAAGGTTAGTTTTCGGACGATTACTGTTTGGAACGTCTGTATGTATTTAAGGCGACATTTGTATGTACCGTATTCGACGTTATAAGCGCCCACGGCTATATTTGCTAATATATTAGCTAGTGAACAATCCCAATTAGCCCCCCTTCCGATTGATCAAAGTACACAAGACTTATTTATTCATGTGTAATACACACTTTTGCCATCTGGGTTTCCCCTTGTCTATTTTCTGTGCAAGAAAATAACATTTTGCATTGCTTCTAGGTTAGTTATATATTTGTAGCGATTTAGTCATGAAATATTCACACACAAAAAGAGAGAAAATTGTGACTGAACTTTGTGTGAATGAAGTGTAGATGTAACTATATGATGATGTCTTTTATTTGTTGGGACTGACAAAAATTAAGGGACTGGTTTCAAAAGCCAGCGGGAACGCTGCAAACATTACAGAAACTGGGTTTTTATCAGAAGCAGGTCACAATGGTTATAAACGATGTTCTCTGTGTTCCTAGGCTGACTTTGAGCAGTTCTATTCTATGGTCAAGCCATCAAAATGCACCAACGAGGCCTGTAACTCCATCAACTTCTCCACGCTGAGCGAGCAAGGTATTTAATGTCTCTTTGTAACAGTCCTTGGGATTTTTTTATGTCCTGCTTCTAGCTTACAAGTAGTGAAGTCTACAATAATATCCAAACTTTTTAACACCTACACATATAAGTGTCAAGTTTAGTTTTTCGTTGACCAAAGAGTGAGTAAATGAATATTGTTTTTTGCTGCAGTGAATGTTATTCCATTTTGAGTATGATTAAACTGTAACGAAACTGACATGCATCAACCAAGTCAGCGAGTCTGACCGACCGATCAAGCATAATCGCCTTTTATGGCAAGCATGGATTGCCGAAGACCTAATCTATCCCGGACCATCACAGGTCTAAACTGTAACTAGCTGTAACTAAACAAATCTGGGCCAGGCAAACCAGTGGTCAAAAGCATGAACATCAAGCCTGACAGTGAGTTGCATCCATTGCTGGAATATTGCTAAAAGCGGCGTAAAAACATACTCACTCACTCACTTAAATCGGTAGTGTGTGAGATCATGATATGCTATAAATAGAACAGGAACTAATAGAGTTACCTCCCATAATGGTAGAAGTAGCACAGCGCCACCTGTAAACATGGAAGAACACAAGGACAAAGTCGCTGAGGACACGCCGACTGACTGTTACATTTAATAACAATCCCTTCAAAAACCTGTTTTTTCTTGTGATAAATATGAAGAAAGAAGTTTTAGAACTATGTTTCAATTATTTATCATTTCTTACTATTTGATGTGGGGTATCGTGATACCAGTAGTATTGTTAGTCTGTATCGTGATACGAATCGTATCGCAAGATACCAGGTGATACTCAGCTCTTATGAACATTGTCTTGTCAAGAATTTGGTACAGTGAATATTTTGTCTGTATCCATCTTATACATGTGTGCGTACCTATTTCATTAAAATCAGATCTTAGTTCTCGCTACCGCTGAACAAAGATCTGACATCCCATTGCGGGTCACGTCAGAACGACCTTTCATCTGACCTATCAGAGCATCGCTTATCAGATCATGAAAGTGACAGTTGGAATGTGGTTTTTGATCGTGTAACCTCGAAAAAAAACCACACAGGGTATTGAACGACAGTTGTAGGCTTTATGTCTGTATTCATACAATCTATTATCCATTTCAGAATCTTCTTTTGTTCACTTTTAATTTTTTAATCGAGTATTTGTCGAAATATGTTCGAAGCATAGTTGCCAGTTTGAAACTTGTGCCGTAAAGCTTGATTAAGCTGCCTTCTGATTGGCTGTTGTTGATTTCTTGGCTTCTTGTTGGTCATTCCATTGGTTGGTCAAAGTTCGTGCAAGGTCGGTCTGACGTGACCCGTAATGGGATGTCCTCAGATCTTTGTTTAGCGGTAACAGATACTAAGATCTGATTTTAATGAGATTGGTGTCCGTACTGGATGCACATTTCTGCATTCTGTAAACTCCTGATGGTGTTCAGGTGCCCCTCCTGTCAAGTGCCGGAACTACCAGGAGATCAAGATTCAGGAGCAGGCCCAGCGCCTGGCGGTGGGGACCATCCCTCGGTCCATGTGGGTGGTGCTGGAGGACGACCTGGTGGACGGCTGCAAGGCTGGAGACGACATCACAGTCTGGTAGGCCACGACACAGTTTAAGTGTTGGATGACGAAACATGGTCAGTCACTTCCGAACTATTAGCTGCGAATTAATTCTTTGACTCGGTGAGGTTGAACTTGTATATACATGCATGGATTTATCTAGACCACCACTGAGGTCGATATTTGTCCCCAAGTCTGAGTGAGTGAGTGAGTGAGTATGGTTTTACGCCGCTTTTAGCAATATTCCAGCAATATCATGGCGGGGGACACCAGAAATTGTCTTCACACATTGTACCCATGTGGGGAATCACACCCGGGGTTTCGGCATGACGAGAGAAAGCTTTAGCCATAAGGCTACCCCAATGCACCCCCAAATCTGAAGAATTTGTCAGTAAAAATTCCCAAGTTGGAATAAAGTATTGCCAAGTTTTGTTATTTTGGTAATAACTAATGTTACTGCTTCTGCAGAGGTGACTTGCATTGCATTGATAACAGAATCAATAAACACAAAAAGGATTAAATGTTCAGTTTTGCCATTTTTGCATTGAAGGAACTTTTAAGATACCCCTCAAGTTAAGAAAATAAGGACTTTTAAGAAAGTCCCAATTTTGAACAAATTTATGTTTTGTTTCTATTTTTCACTTAGTTTGGAATCCTGGATAAATCCCTGCCTTAATACTATGGACCTTGACCTTGGCTTTTGTAACTGCCTTACTTTGACACAGATTTAAGACAGTAGTAACGCTATGGCTTTGTGGAGCAGGACCCAGCAAGCCTGGCACTATGACTGCCGTAAGTCTGTGTTAAAGTATGGGAGTTACTCCAATCTTAGCGCCATGATCATTTTGTGGAAAGGAACCCATCGAGCTTGGCACTATGACTTCCGCAAGTCTATGTTAAAGTATGGGAGTTACTCCAATCTTAGCGCCATGATCATTTTGTGGAACGGAACCCATCGAGCTTGGCACTATGACTGCCGTAAGTCTATGTTAAAGTATGGGAGTTACTCCAATCTTAGCGCCATGATCATTTTGTGGAACGGAACCCATCGAGCTTGGCACTATGACTGCCGTAAGTCTATGTTAAAGTATGGGAGTTACTCCAATCTTAGCGCCATGATCATTTTGTGGAACGGAACCCATCGAGCTTGGCACTATGACTGCCGTAAGTCTATGTTAAAGTAAGGGAGTTACTCCAATCTTAGCGCCATGATCATTTTGTGGAACGGAACCCATCGAGCTTGGCACTATGACTGCCGTAAGTCTATGTTAAAGTATGGGAGTTACTCCAATCTTAGCACCATGATCATTTTGTGGAACAGAACCCATCGAGCTTGGCACTATGACTGCCGTAAGTCTATGTTGAAGTATGGGAGTTACTCCAATCTTAGCGCCATGATCATTTTGTGGAACGGAACCCATCGAGCTTGGCACTATGACTGCCGTAAGTCTGTGTTAAAGTATGGGAGTTACTCCAATCTTAGCACCATGATCATTTTGTGGAACAGAACCCATCGAGCTTGGCACTATGACTGCCGTAAGTCTATGTTGAAGTATGGGAGTTACTCCAATCTTAGCGCCATGATCATTTTGTGGAACGGAACCCATCGAGCTTGGCACTATGACTGCCGTAAGCCTATGTTAAAGTAAGGGAGTAACTCCAATCTTAGTGCTAGAATCACTTTGTGTCCCAGAGAAATACACTGGTCAGTTTGATGTGTGTCAACTCATCATAATTCGGCTCCAGCAATCTGAAGCAATAGTGTGTGTTGATGAGGTGTCCCTACTGGTTTTATCTCTTCCTAGTGGGACGGTGATGCGGCGATGGAGGAACCTGACGGCGGACAGCAAGTGTGATATCGAGATCGTCCTGCAGGCCAATCACGTCCTTGTCACTAATGAACAGAGGAACTCTGTTCTCATAACACAGGAGATGGTTTGTTGGAAATAGTTACACTTGTGAGAAAACCTAGTTGGTCTCATGATTCTACAGAAGTGATAGCAGTTTATGTCCGTAATTTTGATTTTTGTTCATTTACAATAATTACAAATTCAAACACCTTGATTACAATTTTTTTTCTGGATTTGGATTTGGAACAAAATTTCAGTGGTAGTTTTTCTCTAGTAATATTTTTTTTTTTTCTCATAGTGACAGACCTTTGAAGACTCGGGTTAGAATATTATGTCTTCAGCAACCCATGCTTGTCGTAAGAGGCGACTAACAGGATCGGGTGGTCAGGCTCACTGACTTTGTAGATGCATGTCATCGTATCGTATTGGTCTCGTGATTCTACAGAAATTACAGCAGTTTATGTCCGTAATTTTGATTTAGAATAATTACAAATTCAGACTCCTAGATAACAGTTTTTATGTTTGTTTTTTTCGCTGGATTTGGATTTTGAACAAGATTTCAGTAGTAGTTATTTTTTAGAAATGATTTAGAATGAAGACCTGGGAAGTCTCGCTGACTTGGTTGATGCATGTCATCAATACCAATTGTGTGGATCGATGCTCATAATGTTAATCACTGGATTGTCTGGTCCAGACTGAATTATTTACAGACTGCCCTCATATAGCTGGAATATTGCTGAGTGCAGCGTTAAACAACAAACAAACAAATAAACATGATAGTGAGGAGCCTTGAAATATTTGCTGTTGAACATTTTGACTTTCCAACAGTCCGTAATTTCGATTTTTGTACATTTACAATAATTACAAATTCAAACAGTCAACATTTGTAACTACTGAGCCATTACAGCACTGAAGTCCTGTGGTTTCATGGAAGAGAGTGTTAGTTTGTTATTGTAAACTTTCAGAAGTCGGAGATTGTGGCATTTTGGGACGAGCACAAGATGGAGCCATTCACTGCCAGAAACAAAATTCTGGCCAGTTTCTGTCCTCAGGTGTATGGGCTCTATGTTGTCAAGCTGGCTGTTGCCATGGTGATGGCAGGTGGAGTACAGGTAAGGATATGTTTTTAATAGATCTGTAAGTTTTCCATTTGACAATATTATTTTTTCAGAGGATGTACAGTTCAATGCAATAAATAACAGCACTATTAAATCATCATATTTAATCCTGAGAATGAATTACATCGCTGTTTAAGTGTCAGAACGCGTTGAGTTAAGAAACAGTCAAGTTGACATACTTGAAATGCCAGTTTTAGGAATCTGTGCAAAGTAGGATTTTCATTTGCACAGGGACCGCCTCCGTGGTCTAGTGGTAGAGCGTCCGCCCGGAAGGTCTGGGGTTTGATCCCCGACCGCGTCATACCAAAAGACGTTAAAAGATGGTACTTGTTGTTACCCTGTCTGGCGCTCGGCATCAAGGGGCTAAAACAAGGACTGGTCGGCTCGGAGTCAGTATACTTAGTCTGTGTGGGGTATTCATGTTAAACTGCGGCATGGTATCTCAGTGAGCTAGCACTATAAATCAGCATCAGTCTCGACTAGTACAAGCAGCCACACAAACACACACACGTACATGCACGTGGCTATATAAGTGCAATAATCTTGGATGCGACGTTAAACCTCATTTCACCTCACACCTCATTTGCACAAATACATTTTTGGGGGTTTTATGGATGTGTGTGATGGGTGTGACTAAAAACTGATGTTTCGTATCCAACATTGAACTTCTCCCTAGAGATTGAGATTGCTTGTGAGTATGCTGCAGTGAACTCATGACCAGCAGATCCTGGTACTAAGGGGAAACAACTCAACACAATGAGTCTGTGGAAATGTCTCATGAAGACAACCTGAAAGCAATGTGATTCCCCTTTTAATAACTGCTGCAATATCTTAGTATGGCTAATTCAATATGATGTTATCCAATGGCACAAAGGTCAATATGATGCTATCCTATGCCACACAGGTCAATATGATGTTATCCCTTGGTATACAGGTCAATATGATGTTATCTCATGGCACACAGGTCAATATGATGTTATCCCTTGGCACACAGGTCAATATGATGTTATCCCGTGAATTAGAACACTCTAGTTAGTGGTCATTTTAGTTATCAATCAATATGTTTTGTGTGTTCTTCCACCAGAGAGTTGATGACAGTGGATCGAAGGTGAGAGGAGAAATACACCTGTTGCTTGTTGGGGATCCCGGTGAGTGTATGGCTGAAAACATGGAGATAACAAAATAACGGCAACCATGGTTCTGAACAGTTTCAATCATATGATATCAAATGATTATTTTAAAAGAGGTATCAAATAATGAAATAGCATCATTCGTTCCTAAACATGCATACAAAGCTTTCTGGGTCTCTGTGGATGAACTCTGTATTTCTTTTGCAATTTTTAAAAATATAGGACGCATGATTTAGGTGATATTATGTTTCTGATTGCACTTAGTTTCAAACGTCTCCAGGTAGGTAGGCTTTGTTTAACAAACAACCCAGCAACTAGGCTGTAAGGTACATATTGGTGCACATGTCATATTAACTGTTTGTATTGTCATGGGCAGTAAGAACTAATGAAAAAATGTTAGGGTCAGTTGGGTCAATGAGAACCACAGCAATTATTGTTTGCTAGGCCTTAGGAATGCATTTTGTTGGCACTGATAATGTTGCTTGAGATGTTCTATTCTCAGATCTGGGGGCGGTGGGGTAGCCTAGTGGTTAAAGTAGACAAGTTCTATGGATGAACAACTTCTTTATTACAATTAGTGCGACGTTTCGGTGTAGATCCTAACACCTTTATCAAGCAAGTGATATGGATGATCAACTTGCTTGATAAAGGTGTTAGGATCTACACCGAAACGTCGCACTAATTGTAATACAGAAGTTGTTCATCCATAGAACTCGTCTTACTTCATCACACCAACTTCTAAATGCCACTGAAAGAAGTTGTAGTGGTTAAAGTGTTCGCTTGTCACGGGTTTGATTCCCCACATGGGTACAATGTGTGAAGCCCATTTCTGGTGTACCTCACTGATATTGCTGGAATCTTGCTAAGAGAGGCGTAAAACCATACTCACTCACCATTCTCAGTTCTTGATGTCAGAGTTAGGTGTAGTTTAAATTGGATCATGACAAACGCATCCCACTGACTTGTACACGTCACTTGTGACAGATCAGTTGAATCAATATCCAATACCGTGTCACAATTAAAACATGTTCCCTAGTTACCTTGTGTTTCTGTATCCAGGGACAGGGAAGTCTCAGTTTCTCAAGTACGCCACCAAGATCACCCCGAGATCGGTTCTCACCACTGGTATTGGCAGCACCAGTGCCGGACTCACAGTCACTGCCGTCAAGGTGAGGACCAACCGTGTCTGCATTGACACCACCCATGTCTGTGTACCTCCAAAGAATAGGATTGTATTGTGTGGCTGTAATTTGTAAGCAAATATCACAATGCATTCCATCAACAGTCTCATCAAATTTATTGAACCATTCAGCGTGACATCTCTGAGGCTTTTTCCCGACAGATGCCGAGCCAGTGTCTTCACGCGTAGACGTAGTTGTGGCGGTTTCGCCAGCCGATATGCTTGATTCATCATGATTACTTGTGCAATGGCTGCTTCATTTCCCCCGAAACAACTTCCTCAGATCCCCCAGATTACTAGGCCTATTCATTGCAGAGAGCGTCGATTAGCTTGGCCACTGAAAACATCCCATGTATGGATTGCAACACTGTAAAGACATGTAAACATTGTTGGTCCCAAGGCTGAATAACAACCCAGTCACTAGCGGGATACGATCTCAGCACCTGGGGATTGCTAGTCTGGTGCTTTTGACCGCTTGCCCACTCTGCCCCCCAAGTGGTATCTGTGAGCTGAGCCAGCTAGTCACATGACATTTATGGGCAGGACTCGTGGGAATGGCAGTTGGGGCGGGGACCTTGGCCCCCCAAGTAGTATCTGTGAGCTGAGCCAGCTAGTCATATGACGTTGTTTGTTGGCAGGACTCAGGGGAGTGGAGGCAGGGGCGGGGACCTTGGTCCCCCCAAGTAGTATCTGTGAGCTGAGCCAGCTAGTCACATGACGTTGTTTTTTGGCAGGACTCGGGGGAGTGGCAGCTGGAGGCGGGGGCCCTGGTTCTGGCTGACGGGGGCTTGTGTTGTATTGACGAGTTCAACAGTATCCGGGAACACGACAAGGCCAGTATCCACGAGGCGATGGAACAACAGACCATCAGTGTGGCCAAGGTGGGTGGATGTGTGCGATGTGTGCAGGACACCATCACAGTAAACATGATGGCTGTAGTTTGTTTCTCGGTCTCCCTTGAGTTCATAACCTAAATGTTTTTCTTTTTTGGTCATATCTCATGTGGATGGAAATTTACAGCAACTATTGCTATGTTTATCCCCCACCACGAAGGGGGATATAGGAATGGGTGTTGTCCGTCCGTTCGTTTCCAGAGCAGAACTAAAAAACCGTGAGAGATATCTTTACCAAATGTAACACATAGATAGGCCTAGTGGTGGACTGGTGCATTTGATAGTTTGGGATTTTTTAACAAAATATACCATGGCAACGACTTTGACTTAGACTTAAGATGGCGTTAGTGCTCGTTTTGGGAGCAGATTTTGAAAACCGTAAATATTTCTTGCCTTGCACACAACCGGACATGTGATATTGGGAACTGAGTATTTCATGCTTGTTTAGTTAGAACATGTGTCACAGGATTGCAGTTGTGATAAAGGTGATAATGTTATTTAAAAAGCAGTATCTCAGTTCTTTAGAACATTCAGGTTACCCAGAAAGCCAGGTATATGCATCTTACCGAGGCAAAAGAGTTAACTGACATTCGAAGTCCAGTTTCTACATTTACCAAACTCGGCTGGAATTCCTGGGCTCGATCGTAGCGCCACCAGTGGCTATTAAGAGTTATGTCCCTTTTATGCCTCTCTTATGAACCAATCAGATTCCACCTCTCGTATCACTTGCATTTGCTTCAAACAAAATGGCCCAGTCAAGACGATCTGATCGATTATCGATTTCTAAAATTGTGATAAAACGGGTCTTACATCGCAAAGTGCATCAAATCACGTGAGCACCTAGATTTCATTGCACGATTTTGATTGGACTATGCATAGACTCCTTAGTCCAGCCAAAATGTAACTCCATAATACCAGCCTAGTTCGGCAAGGGTGGAATCTCAACTTTTATAGTCAGTTAACTCTCTTGTCTCGGGAAGATGGGTATATGCGATGTTACAGTCAAGACGAGTAAACCGAGTATTACAATAATTGTTGCCTAACCATGTTTGATAAAAGTGTGTGTTTGTGTTTCAGGCCGGGATGGTGTGTAAGCTGGCCACAAGAACTACGATCCTGGCAGCTACCAACCCTAAAGGCCACTATGACCCAGACCAGGTTTGTCACTGTCTCCCACTTCCATGCCCTTCTGCCAACTGAATGCCTCTGTTATTGGTTGTTGATACTTTAGACTTTCAAAATCCCAAATCGTGTTGTACAATGGACCAAAGCCATTTGTTGGTTTCACCCAAATGGCAAACATCTCTAGCCCTGATCAGAGTTTGATATTTGGCCTAAAGCAAATTTCAGTAAACATTCCCAAATTGGAATAAAAACGATCATAGCTCATGATATTAATAAGTAATGTTATGGCTTTGTAGATAGCTTTGTGACGTTCACTGGTAACAGGACCAGCATAGTTTTATGTAAACACGTTGAATACCTGTGAGTGTCAGAAAACAAGAGTTTAAAAAATCCCAATTTTGAACAAAATATTTATTCCAAATTTGCTTGCCAAGGGCACTAGTTTTGAGTCCTAGATTTTTTTATTACTCAATCTGTGTGTCATTTATCATTTATATTGTGTGGATATACCAGTGATGTAAGTGTAAGTGTGTGTGTGTGTGTGTGTGTGTGTGTGTGTGTGTGTGTGTGTGTGTGTGTGTGTGTGAGACATTAATTTGATGAATGTGATGTGGTTCCAGTCTATCTGTGTGAACGTGGCGCTGGCAAGTCCGCTGTTGAGCCGTTTTGACCTGGTACTGGTGCTCCTTGACTCGCAGAATGAGGACTGGGACAGAGTTGTCTCCTCTTACATCCTGGAGGACAAGGACCCTATGGGTATGACCTACGTGCCTGGATGTCAGTGAAAACATCTCAGCTGGACATACTGTTTGTTCATTTGTTTTTGTTTTTTTCTTTTTGAAATAATTCTTTTTTAAGTAATCAAATGTAGCAAAAAATGCCAATTTTGAAAGACTCCCTCCCCATTTTGACCTACATTATCAAATTTAGTTAAAAAAAGAAAAAAAGACTCAATATTTATTCTCTATTTGTAAAATGTTGGGTAGAATGTAATTATAAAAAGAGAAAGTCCTTGCTGGTTGACATTGTTTCAATGCTTGTTTTATTATGAATGACATCAGATGTGTATTTATCAGTGATCACTGCCTGTTGTTTGTTTGTTGTTTAACGCCACACTTAGCAATATTCCAACTATATGACGGCGGTCTGTAAATAATAGAGTCTGGGCCAGACAGTCCAGTGATTGACATCATGAGCATCGATCCATGCAATTGGGATATGATGACATGCATGAACCAAGTCAACGAGCCTGACCACCCGATCCCGTTAGTCGCCTCTTACGACAAGCATAGTCGCCTCTTACGACAAGCATAGTCGCCTCTTAGGACAAGCATGGGTTGCTGAAGATCTACTCTACCCCGGATCTTCACGGGTGACCACTGCCTGTTGTCCAGGCAGTGTACATGTTTCCCCAAACACAAGCTTCTTCCATTATTCTAACCCCATGACAAGAGATGAGGGCTGCAGTCTTGGACTCGGATTCCATCATTATTGTTTCAGGTGACCTTGACATTAAGTCGCTGTGGAGTATGGAGAAAATGCAGGCGTACTTTGCTCTCATCAAGACCATCACGCCACAGCTGACTGACGGAGCAGTAAGGTGAGAACTAAATACTGTGTCTAGAGTTAGGTACAAGTTTTATGTGTCTGATCATAAACAAAGTTTCCAAAGGGAAAATATATGTTGTTTCAAAAATATATCTATAAGATGCAGGCAAAAGTACAATGATGTTATTGCATTTTGGTTTACTTAATTACTCTGTAGTAGTATTTGTCGTATGGCTAGGTGCCACCTGTATAATGTAAAAGACTTTGTTGTCTCCCCCGAAACCAGGGTGCTGGGGTCTTATTACCGAGCCCAGCGAAGTGCTGATGACCGGAACGCTGCCAGAACAACCATGAGGTTGTTACAGAGCATGATCCGTCTAGCTCAAGGTGAGACAGGGTCCGTCTAACTCAAGGTGAGACAGGGTCCGTGCAGCTCAAGGTGAGACATGGTCCGTCTAGCTCAAGGTGAGACAGGGTCCGTCTAGCTCAAGGTGAGACAGGGTTTGTGTAGCTCAAGGTGAGACAGGGTCCGTCTAGCTCAAGGTGAGACAGGGTCCGTCTAGCTCAAGGTGAGACAGGGTCCGTGTAGTTCAATGTGAGACAGGGTCCGTCTAGCTCAAGGTGAGACAGGGTCCGTCTAGCTCAAGGTGAGACAGGGTCCGTCTAGCTCAAGGTGAGACAGGGTCCGTCTAGCTCAAGGTTAGACAGGGTCCGTCTAGCTCAAGGTGAGACAGGGTCAGTGTAGCTCAAGGTGAGACAGGGTCTGTGTAGCTCAATGTGAGACAGGGTCCGTCTTGCTCAAGGTGAGACAGGGTCCATCTTGGTCAAGGTAAGACAGGGTCCGTCTTGCTCAAGGTGAGACAGGGTCCATCTAGTTCATTGTGAGACAGGGTCTGTCTTGCTCAAGGTGAGACAGGGTCCGTCTAGTTCATTGTGAGACAGGGTCCATCTAGTTCAATGTGAGACAGGGTCCGTCTTGCTCAAGGTGAGACAGGGTCTGTGTAGCTCAATGTGAGACAGGGTCCGTCTTGGTCAAGGTGAGACAGGGTCCGTCTTGGTCAAGGTGAGATAGGGTCCGTCTTGCTCAAGGTGAGACAGGGTCCGTGTAGTTCAATGTGAGACAGGGTCCGTGTAGCTCAAGGTGAGACAGGGTCCGTCTAGTTCAATGTGAGACAGGGGCCATGTAGCTCAAGGTGAGAGAGGGTCCATCTAGTTCAATGTGAGACAGGGTCCGTCCAGCTCAAGGTGAGACAGGGTCCATGTAGCTCAAGGTTAGACAGGGTCCATCTAGTTCAATGTGAGACAGGGTCCATCTAGTTCAATGTGAGACAGGGTCAGTCTGGCTCAACATGAGACAGGGTCCATCTAGTTCAATGTGAGACAGGGTCCATCTAGTTCAATGTGAGACAGGGTCCATCTAGATCAATGTGAGGCAGTGTCTGTGCAGCTCAATGTGAGACAGGGTCCGTGTAGCTCAATGTGAGACAGGGTCCGTGCAGCTCAAGGTGAGACAGGGTCCGTGCAGCTCAAGGTGAGACAGGGTTTGTGTAGCTCAAGGTGAGACAGGGTCCGTCTAGCTCAAGGTGAGACAGGGTTTGTGTAGCTCAAGGTGAGACAGGGTCCGTGTAGCTCAATGTGAGACAGGGTCCGTGTAGTTCAATGTGAGACAGGGTCCATCTAGATCAATGTGAGACAGGGTCCGTGCAGCTCAAGGTGAGATAGGGTCCGTCTAGTTCAATGTGAGACAGGGTCCATCTAGATCAATGTGAGACAGGGTCCGTGCAGCTCAAGGTGAGATAGGGTCCGTGTAGCTCAAGGTGAGACAGGGTCCATCTAGTTCAAGGTGAGACAGGGTCCGTGTAGCTCAAGGTGAGACAGGGTCCATCTAGTTCAAGGTGAGACAGGGTCCGTCTAGTTCAAGGTTAGACAGGATCCATGTAGCTCAAGGTGAGTCATGATTTGCCTGGTTCAAGGTCAGTCTTGTATCATCCCAGTGACACAAGGGACACATAACGTATAAAGGAGGAAACAGTTGTGTTTTTACCTAACTATGGGTCATAGACAAAATATTGGCATAAGAGATCGCACAAAACGAGCAGTGTTTGATTCTGTCCTTGTGTGCAGTCTGAGTCGCATTGTCACGTGATGACATGCAAGCAAGGACGTCATGTCAATGTCATGAGTCGTGGGTGTGGTTCTAAATATCAGTTATTTGTATGGATGACTTCTTTATTTGCTATGTTTTGGTGCAGATGTTAGCACCTGTTAAGTTGTCATCAATAAAAACTACCTTATGAAACCTTTGTTAGGCCAATGAAAGACTTGGTGATTGTTCTTATTTACCTTTACGACCTTAGTCCTGGGACATCCTGTACCCATTAGGTCAGTTTATTTTTAGAGTAAGGCTGGTAATATTTATACAAAGTCTAACATCTACATTATTCATTGAACATGCCTGAGTAAGGTCTGTCATACATGGTCATAAGTGGGAAATATTTATCAGACTTTAGGATTTGCCAATGATCTGAATCCTACTGTTGATCTTTAACTATCCCCAGCCCTGATAATTGTGTAAAGTTGTATTTTTGGCCATATTTGCTTGTGGTCTACATGTTGTATGATTACGGATTTATCTCCCTTAGCTTTCCTATTCCAATATTACTTCTGCTTTCTTTTGACGCTCAAGGTTCGTGGGTGTCTTTGGATTCCTTACAATCTGGGATGTATTTGTATTTATGTTCTATGAGATTGTCATGTAATAAGGTGATGTGCGTCAGTTACTTGCTGGTAGCGGTGCGCGGGGGGATGGTGTGTTCCAGATGGCTGAGTCCATTGTGTCTGGGGGCGGTCGGGTAGCCAAGTGGTTAAAGCGTTCGCTCATCATGCAGAAGACCCGGGTTCTATTCCCATACATTGTGTGAAGCCCATTTCTGGTGTAGGGGGCACGGGTGGCCGAGTCATCTAAGGCGCCGCGACTTGCTGTGCAGAGTTGCGTCCCTTGGGCACGCTAGAAACCTATGATTGTGGGTTCGAGCCCCGGCTCGCCCCGATTATGTTTCTAGGTTTGTCAGCACCATACCCATGCTCGTGGGTTTCACCGAAGTGGTAAACGTCTGAGACCTGCATCACTTCGGGCTTTCCTCCCACATGAAGCTGACACGCCGTGATATAACTGGAATACTGTTAAAAGCAGCGTTAAACCAAACTCACTCACTCACCATTTCTGGTGTCCCCCGCCGTGATATTGCTAAAAGCGGCGTAAAACCATACTCACTCATTCCATTGTGTCTGTCTGTAGCATATTGTCCGATGGTCCGTTGATGTAAAATTAAAAGTACAGACCATTGTATCCTGTGTTCCCGGGATGTTGCAGCTCATGCCCGCCTGATGTTCCGGGATGAGGTGTTGGTCCAGGATGCTGTGGTTGCCGTCACCGTGATGGAGTCGTCCATGCAGGTGTGTTGGTGGAGGCTGGCAGGCCAGGGTATCAGTTTGATGGATATTGACTTGTAGATTTGGAGATTCTAGATTTATTTCTAATTATTATTTTAGATGCCTTTTTGTACATCTTTGGATAAAGTTCCAAAGAAGAATTATTATCTTTTTAATCAGCTTGCCTCACTTGTAAGATGCTCCTAAATATTGTGTTTTTCTCCCTTTTTTCCCAGGGGGCAGCATTGCTGGGTGGGGTCAACGCCCTACACACGGCCTTCCCGGAGGATGCAGAAGAGGAATACAGGCTTCAAGGTAAAGTTGATCCAACACATTCGTATTGATGTTGGAGTGGTCGGGTATTCTTGTGGTTGAAGCATTTGCTCATCACGCCGAAGACCCGGGTTTGATTCCCGACATGGGTAGAAAGTGTGATATTGCTGGAATGGGTTTCTTGCAAGCCTAAGGGACCTCTAGTCTAAGAAGTTGAGATGTTCTAAAGGTTCAGGTGTTCATTTGCTTTCACTGAAAACCTTCAGCGAAAAGTGATGAGATCTTTTCAAATGTTTTAACCCCCAAATCATTGACTGGCAATAGTAGTGGCATTGTCATCATTGCTGTAAGTGGGCCTTGATGGGATATGTGTCCACTCACTCACCCATCCACCTACCCACTCACTCACTCTGCCATCCGTCCCTCCACTCACTCACTCCACTCACTCACTCACTCAGCCACCCCTCCACTCACTCACTCCACTCACTCAGCCACCCCTCCACCCACTCACTCACTCTGCCATCCGTCCCTCCACTCACTCAGCCACCCCTCCACTCACTCACTCACTCGGCCATCCGTCCCTCCACTCACTCACTCCACTCAGCCACCCCTCCACTCACTCACTCCACTCACTCACTCACTCAGCCACCCCTCCACCCACTCACTCACTCCACTCACTCACTCTGCCATCCGTCCCTCCACTCACTCAGCCACCCCTCCACTCACTCACTCGGCCACCCCTCCACTCACCCACTCACTCACTCACTCAGCCACCCCTCCACTCACCCACTCACTCAGCCACCCCTCCACTCACTCACTCAGCCACCCCTCCACTTACTCCTCCACTCACTCACTCACTTAGCCACCCCTCCACTCACTCACTCACTCCACTCACTCACTCATTCAGCCACCCCTCCACTCACTCACTCACTCACCCATCCACCTACCCACTCACTCTCTCTGCCATCCATCCCTCAACTCACTTACTCACTCACTGTTCCAGCTGAAATGATCCTGGAGCACCTCGGCCTGCAGGATCTCCTGGAGGAAGAGCGGACTCAGCTGGCTGTGTATCATCAGGCCAAGCAACAGAAACACGGGGGTCAGCCCCCAGCTGGGGCACCTGGCACTGACCCTGGCAGCATGGGGGAGGAGCCCATCATGCGAAATAGTAGTGGGGGTCAAGTCGGAGGGCAGCAAGGGGAGATACTTCAGGTATCAGATGTAGGGGATGCATCTGGCATCCAAGAGGTGGCAACACACAGCAATACAAAGGCTCATGACAAACGTGAACAGAGGGTTCCAAATCATTCCACTAAACCTGGCATGAACAAGGAGGAGCTCCCAAGAACAGAATCTAATACAATTGATCAGCCTCCTAGTGTCGAGTCTGTTCAGCCAGGACGAGGACAAGACATGGGTTTACAGGAGAGTATTAGTTCAACGGACCAGATTAACTTGCCGGCATCAGAGGACAGAAGTAGGAGTATTATCAGGGATCATACAGTTAGGACAACTGGCAGCTCATACCCTGAAGAGTCATCAGCTGCCCGATCTGTTCTACCTGAAACACTGGTTCTGGATAAACACATCTCTCACAGTGATGATGTAGATTCATCAGCTGTTGTGCTACCTGAAACATCAGCTGTTGTGCTACCTGAAACATCAGCTGTTGTGCTACCTGAAACAACTGTGGATAAGCCCAGCTGTTTAGCAACTGGGCCTGATGATCCCAGTGAGGGGAATTTGGGGAGGATCTGTGAGAACAGTTTGAACCAGTCAAATTTGTTCAATTCGTCCTCCTTATCGGATCTGTTGAATTCTAGCTGTGAAGATTCTGAGGATTTCTTTTTAAAGCCGTCCAAGAAAGTTGTCAGAATGACTGATCTTGGCAGGAAAGAGAATAACAAATCGGCAGAAACGGATCCTCAACAGCATTCTATGGTGAGCCAAATGATCAAAAATAGATTGGACAAATTTAATAGGAAGCCAAACATCCCCAGGATGGCCTCCACTCCAGACAAGGCGGATATGTTAGAGAACATTGAAAAGGATCATGGCAAACTTGTGTATATCAAAGATCAAAGGAAACCAACTGGCAAGAAATCAATGGCTGCCAAGGTTAGACAGAGAATGAATCAAGGTCATTCCAGTGCAGCAGATGTCCATGTGGACGATGATGACTTTGAACAGACATCCTATACCAACCAGAATTTAGATACAGAGAAAACGTCTTCTAACAGTGTCTCAACCACTGCACATGAAAATCTTATTAAAGAGTCTTTGGACTTGGAGCCTTCAAAGAAATTAACCAAGTCAAGGTCAGCTAAAAAAATGAAACGTCTGGATGGTACCAAGTCATCAGATTCAAGTGGTAGGATTAGAATTGGTGAAAAGTCTTCAGAGAGTTCTTCGGGTAGAGAATCAAAATCCTCCAGTTCTTCAATGGATACAGATTTAAGCTTCATTGAAGACATTTTGGATGACACTCTTCCAAACTTTGCAAAGAAGAAAAAACGGGCATGTTTTGATTTAGCTGACTCAAGTGAAGTGATTTCTACAAGAACTATGACCAATATGTCCGAGAAGCCAAGATGTAAGAATTCTTCAGGAAAAGTTGCACAATCAACGCTAAGTAAGCTCACCAAATTCTCATTCCATAAAACCGATTCTGTGAGTGATGCTTTGAATTCAAGTTCCGGGTCTGATGTTGTCTCTGAAAGTATTCTTTCAGGACATTTATGGACATCAGGCGAACAGGACAAAGAAAACAAACAAAAATGCACTGAAAGTGAAACAGGTAAAATTAACAAAGATCAGACGAAGTCAAACGATCATTCCAAATCAAATAAAGAGGCTTCTTTCAGAACGCCGGCTTCTCTGTCCTTGTCTCAGCTCAGTAGCTCTCAGACTTCAATACCAGATAAATCAGGGGAAGGAACTACAGACAGCTCCAATGTGCGGCTTCCATCCATTGGATGTTCTCCATCAGAGTCTGTGGGCAAGGGAGGTAACTCTGCAGCATCACAGCCGCACAAGAGTAGCCCGGCATGGTTGCTGAAGCTTAAGGCCAAACCGTCGCCTGTGTTTTCCGTGGCAGGAAAAGATGATGAACTGGATGATCTGGATTTAGAGCTGGACTTTACTCATCCTTCTAAACGGTTTAAGAAATGAGTTTTTCTTGCTGAGCATGCAGAAGTTATTGTATATATGGGTGCAGTGTCTTAGGACAAGGTATATTGTTTAATAATATATTGTTATCAGACTGCATGAAATATAAGGTATATTGAAAGATAGGTATTTGTATGGAGTGATAACTTTTTAAAAATTTATGAGTGCAAGATCCTGTGAAAAAGAAAATAAGTTTAATTTTAAAATTCATTTTTTAAATCCAAAAATGAAAATTAATTTTAAAATTCATTTTTTAAATCCAAAAATAAAAATTAATTTAATTTGGATTTCTTTCTATTAATTTGGATTAATAAACTTGCATTAACTTTATTTAATATTTTCAAATTAGTGGAACGTTTTAAAAATGAAAATTTATTTACTATGGTATTCATTTTATTCATTTGGATTAATAAAGGGGCATTACCTTTAGGTAATATTTTCAAATAAGTAGATCTGCGAACAGGGATATATAATTAGCATGGCCACCAGATACATTATGCAGGCTATTGATATCATAATCTCTGTGATACATCCATCTTAATAAAGTAATAGTAAGCATCACTAATATGCTTGTTGTTTATCTTTGAATAATTGATGTACTCCTTTTCGTGGGATGGATGGAGTATTGATGGCTGTAGAATGAATCAGCATTCTCCGTTCCTCGGCCTTGTGGGTGTTATTGCCTGAATGTTCCAAGGTCCAGTGCTTGACATTAATATTTCAATTGGTTTTACACAACTTTGTGTTCGGCTGTACATTCTTTTGTAGCCGGTAGGAAAAAATGATAGTGAAACAAGTTATCGCCAGTTCAAACTTATATTTTACCAGACAGACTGGACTGGAGATTGAGATTGAGATTGCGATTAAAGTTTTGGCCACGGGAGGGCGGGCAGCGATCCTAGAAAGTCTGCCCTGAGAGAAGAAGGTCGGTGCTTGATCTCGACCTCGTCATACGTAAATATATTGTGAAAAGTGGTACTTGTTACCCTGCCTGGCTCGCCATTGAGCAGATAGAAAAAGAACAAGTCAGCTCGGAGTGTGAATACTGGTATCCATGTTAAACTGCGGCATGCTATCTCACTATAATACTAGCATTAGTCCGGACTAGTAAAGCGCGCGCATGCACGTACACACATGCATGCAGGTCGCAATAAGCACAATAATCTTTAACGCGACGTTAATCATATATCATCGTCAATTATCATCCCAAACTGGCTCCTACAGGATATACTGCTTGGATTAGATCAATTAAATTGCATCACAATGCTTTGCAGACCATCGTGACGAGGGTGAGATTCTCTATTTCTCCTACATCCAACTGTTACGCTACTTTACAACAACACAAATGACTGTGGGACAAGCTGTGGGTTGCACGGCCAAGATTTAATAACACAACTGCGTAAACATGCATATATTAGATGTTCGTAACTCCCATACTGATGATAGTAAAAAGGGCGTTCTGGACCGGAAGTCCGGGGAGTTGGGGGATTTTCATTATTTATAGTAACAGGGGAATGCCCTTGTGCTAAAAAAAGATGTGTGACGTGTCGATCGTGTATCAGCATAATCTTGAACTGTTTTGGGTTGAGTCAATATATCAAATGTATTTGTGTAAGGGAAAACAATAATAAGCATGGAAATGATCATGAATTTAACGAAAGGTATAGTTAAACGAGGCTAACCATATAACTCTAAACAAGGGAACCTCGCTATGTGTATAAAACAAGTTAGTCTCAACATGTCACGCCTGCAGCCAATGAAAGCGCGCTTGAATGGACTGGTTTATCGCGTAGGGCTTTGAGTCCCAATTATGTTTTCAGTGAAGCAATGTATTTGTGAAACAGCCTCTATCATATACAGCGAGTGTGAAACGAGGTCACGTCGCCAGATGGTATACAATGAAGGCAGTCAGCTTCAGCAGTCAATGAACCCAGGCCCGTCTCTGTAGTTATGATAGGCTGTGTAGTTGATAAATATTTAAGCTCTTTTTACCTCCCTTAGACAAACTAGTCAAAAACATGAACAATGATTGCAGGGATGAGTCTGGAATTCTCGACATGGTGAAGACCAAATCTAAATTCAAACATCTAAAACAGGAAACATCTGAAAATGGACAATTTGAACTTCTACTGAGAAAAGGGGTATACCCGTATGACTTCATGTCTGATGAAAGTAAATTCAACTTGGCTTAACTTCCGAAGAAGGAAGATTTTTTAGTGCATTGCTAGATAGTCATATGTCCGATGCTGACTATGATCATGTCAACAAGGTATGGTCAACTTTTCACGTGGAAAAACATGGGAGAGTATCATGACTTGTATATGAAAACTGATGTTTTGCTTTTGGCTGATGTATTTTAGAATTTTAGGGCCACTTCCATGGAATTCTATTACCTAGACCCTGCTCATTATTACACTTTACCCGAAATGGGATGGGATGCTTAAAATGGGAAATATCGAGTTGGAATTGTTAACAGACTACGACATGCATCTCATGATAGAAAAGGGTCTCAGAGGAGGGATTTCAATGATTTCCAAGAAATATGCTGAAGCCAATAATCCTGAGTTTAAAACATTAGAACATAAATCAGAAGAACCCACAAAGTAACAAGGTATTGGGATGCCAATAACCTCTATGGGTGGGCAATGTCACAACCACTGCCCGAGCGGGATATTATGAATGTAGATGAAAATGCAGATGGGGGATACATATTTGAGGTAGATCTGGAGTATCCCCGAAACCTCCATGACACTCATAGTGATTATCCCCTTGTCCCTGAACCCATGGCAGTCAGTCATGAAATGCTCTCCCCTCACTCTCAAAACTTGAAAAAGGAATTGAAAATCAAAGAGAAACCTTGCAAAAAGCTAGTCCCCAATTTATTTGATAAAGAAAAGTATGTCATTCTCTATAGAAATTTACAAGTTTTATATATCTCAAGGATTAAAGCTCGTCAAAATTCACAGAGCCGTTCAATTCACTCAATGTCCCTGGTTGAAACCGTTCATTGAGTTTAATACACAGAAAAGTAAAGAAGCTAAGAATGAAACGGATAAAGCATTTTTAAACTGCTCAACAATTCTTGTTTTGGCCGTAGCATGATGAATGTGCGCAACATGTCAATGTTGAACTCGGCCAAGCGTCTCAAGAAACTGTGCTTAACCTACTTTTGAGGCTTTCAAAATTTTCAACTCTGATTTGACTGCTGTGCATTTGAAAAAGGCTACATTAAAATTGAATCAACCACTGTATGCAGGCTTTTCTATTTTGGATCTCTCAAAAATACACATGTATGATTTTCATTATAACTTTATCATACCAAAGTAAAGGAACAAGGCCCAACTCTGTTTCACTGACACATTGAGACAGAGAATGTTTTTTCTGACATGGGAGAACATATGGAGTTGTTTGATACTTCAAACTATCATAAAACCCACCCTCTCTACTCAGAGTCTAACAAAAAAGTCCTAGGCAAGTTTATAGATGAAGCTGAAGGTTCCCCCATGGTTTCATTTGCGGCCTTCGACCTAAATCATATTCTTATGATGTTGAAGCCCAAGAGAAAGATGAAAAACTGATGAAATAATAGATTATGTCATCAATGAGGAACAAAGAGGCAAGGGAATTTCTAAAACTGTGATTAAGAGACAATTAAGACATGAACTGTACAAACATTGTCTCATGAAGCATACTCAATTTAGACACCAGATGACCTAAATTCAAAGTGAAATAATAGTTTATGTCATCAATGAGGAACAAAGAGGCAAGGGAATTTCGAAAACTGTGATTAAGAGACAATTAAGACATGAACTGTACAAACATTGTCTCATGAAGCATACTCAATTTAGACACCAGATGACCTAAATTCAAAGTGAAATAATAGTTTATGTCATCAATGAGGAACAAAGAGGCAAGGGAATTTCGAAAACTGTGATTAAGAGACAATTAAGACATGAACTGTACAAACATTGTCTCATGAAGCATACTCAATTTAGACACCAGATGACCTAAATTCAAAGTGAAATAATAGTTTATGTCATCAATGAGGAACAAAGAGGCAAGGGAATTTCGAAAACTGTGATTAAGAGACAATTAAGACATGAACTGTACAAACATTGTCTCATGAAGCATACTCAATTTAGACACCAGATGACCTAAATTCAAAGTGAAATAATAGTTTATGTCATCAATGAGGAACAAAGAGGCAAGGGAATTTCGAAAACTGTGATTAAGAGACAATTAAGACATGAACTGTACAAACATTGTCTCATGAAGCATACTCAATTTAGACACCAGATGACCTAAATTCAAAGTCGTAACCATCAGCTTTATACTGTTCAAATCAATAAAATTAGCCTTTCCCCCTTTGATGACAAAAGGTATGTCTTGGAAGATGGGTTAAACACATTAGCTCATGGACACTATAGAATCAAGTCTTAGAAACCATTTCATTCCTTGTGTGTATGATGTATTAAGATAAATTGACACAGCCATGTTATGATGTAAAAGCTTCTGTTTGAATATGATGCTACATGACTCATGAAAATACCCAAATATATCATCTCAATGATTTATGTTTGTTCATAAAGTATTATACTTCTATATATGTCTTATTGCATTGAAAATGGTATATAAAATGCATTGTGTTGGAATATATTGTGCTGTAATCAATGGATATAAAATGTACTGCTATTAAAATTTGATTGTTGAATAAATGTTTGAACTGTATCTGGTGCGTTTGTGTGTTTTATCAATATTTAGAGTACACAGTTGATAACAGTGTGATGTGATGATTCGACTCATATGCTAATAGAATATGATATGATTCGGTGACTTAACATTTCAACTAATAGGTAAATTCAAATAAAATACTAAAATATTGTATCATTCAAATCATAACTCAACTAGTATTTTTTTTTCATATACATGACTTTATTACATATGTACAATACATATAACAATATGATATGCAGAGTCACATAATTACAGAACAGTGTTTTAATGTACAAGAATTTAATTATTATTAAATATCCTCATCATCATTATCATTATCTTGGTCATCATCAGATTGGTTGACCAGTTCTAAATCTTCGGCCAGTGACATGTCCACATGAGAGAGGATATCTTTGACCACTGGTTTCATCCACAGAGTGATTTTATGATCCATTTCATTGCGATCCATGTCAGGGTCTAACTGTTTCATTTTCTCTAGAACAGGTTTGAAGAGAGGTCCGTT